ATTCGAAATTTTATTTTGAGGTTTTGATGCAGAATTGTGGAGAATGAATCCAGAAATCGTTTAAGGTATGCCCCTCAAGAATCGGATAGAAATTGGTAGAGATATAGCATTCCCAAGGTCCATATTTTGATATTTCTGATTTTCCCCATTTTTGCAGGGGGTCCATCAGAAAAATTTGAAAAAATGGGATCCGAAATTTTATTTTGAGGTTGTGATGCAGGATTGTGGAGAATCGTTCCAGAAATCGTTTAAGGGATTCCCCTCAAGAATCGGATGGATATTGGCCGAGATATAGCATTCCTAAGGTCCATATTTTGATATTTCTGCATTTTCCCCATTTTTGCAGGGGGTCCATCAGAAAAATTTGAAAAAATGGGATCCGAAATTTTATTTTGAGGTTTTAATGCAGGATTGTGGAGAATCGTTCCAGAAATCGTTTAAGGTATTCCTCTGAAGGATCGGATGGATATTGGCCGAGATATAGCATTCCCAAGGTCCATATTTTGATATTTCTGATTTTCCCCATTTTTGCAGGGGGTCCATCAGAAAAATTTGAAAAAATGGGATTCGAAATTTTATTTTGAGGTTTTGATGCAGAATTGTGGAGAATGAATCCAGAAATCGTTTAAGGTATTCCTCTGAAGGATCGGATGGATATTGGCCGAGATATAGCATTCCCAAGGTCCATATTTTGATATTTCTGATTTTCCCCATTTTTGCAGGGGGTCCATCAGAAAAATTTGAAAAAATGGGATCCGAAATTTTATTTTGAGGTTTTGATGCAGGATTGTGGAGAATCGTTCCAGAAATCGTTTAAGGTATTCCCCTCAAGAATCGGATGGAAATTGGTCGAGATATAGCACTCCCAAGGTCCATATTTTGATATTTCTGCATTTTCCCCATTTTTGCAGGGGGTCCATCAGAAAAATTTGAAAAAATGGGATCCGAAATTTTATTTTGAGGTTTTAATGCAGGATTGTGGAGAATCGTTCCAGAAATCGTTTAAGGTATTCCTCTGAAGGATCGGATGGATATTGGCCGAGATATAGCATTCCCAAGGTCCATATTTTGATATTTCTGCATTTTCCCCATTTTTGCAGGGGGTCCATCAGAAAAATTTGAAAAAATGGGATCCGAAATTTTATTTTGAGGTTTTAATGCAGGATTGTGGAGAATCGTTCCAGAAATCGTTTAAGGTATTCCTCTGAAGGATCGGATGGATATTGGCCGAGATATAGCATTCCCAAGGTCCATATTTTGATATTTCTGATTTTCCCCATTTTTGCAGGGGGTCCATCAGAAAAATTTGAAAAAATGGGATTCGAAATTTTATTTTGAGGTTTTGATGCAGAATTGTGGAGAATGAATCCAGAAATCGTTTAAGGTATGCCCCTCAAGAATCGGATAGAAATTGGTAGAGATATAGCATTCCCAAGGTCCATATTTTGATATTTCTGATTTTCCCCATTTTTGCAGGGGGTCCATCAGAAAAATTTGAAAAAATGGGATCCGAAATTTTATTTTGAGGTTGTGATGCAGGATTGTGGAGAATCGTTCCAGAAATCGTTTGAGGTATTCCTCTTCAGGATTGGATTGATATTGGCCGAGATATAGCATTCCCAAGGTCCCAAGATATAGCATTTTATTTTGAGGTTTTGATGCAGGATTGTGGAGAATCGTTCCAGAAATCGTTTAAGGGATTCCCCTCAAGAATCGGATGGATATTGGCCGAGATATAGCATTCCCAAGGTCCATATTTTGATATTTCTGCATTTTCCCCATTTGATGGACCCATCAGAAAAATTTGAAAAAATGGGATCCGAAATTTTATTTTGAGGTTTTAATGCAGGATTGTGGAGAATCGTTCCAGAAATCGTTTAAGGTATTCCTCTGAAGGATCGGATGGATATTGGCCGAGATATAGCATTCCCAAGGTCCATATTTTGAAATTTCTGATTTTCCCCATTTTTGTAGGGGGTCCATCAGGAAATTTTGAAAAAATGGGATCCGAAATTTTATTTTGAGGTTTTGATGCAGGATTGTGGAGAATCGTTCCAGAAATCGTTTAAGGTATTCCCCTCAAGAATCGGATGGAAATTGGTCGAGATATAGCACTCCCAAGGTCCATATTTTGATATTTCTGCATTTTCCCCATTTTTGCAGGGGGGTCCATCAGAAAAATTTGAAAAAATGGGATCCGAAATTTTATTTTGAGGTTTTAATGCAGGATTGTGGAGAATCGTTCCAGAAATCGTTTAAGGTATTCCTCTGAAGGATCGGATGGATATTGGCCGAGATATAGCATTCCCAAGGTCCATATTTTGAAATTTCTGATTTTCCCCATTTTTGTAGGGGGTCCATCAGGAAATTTTGAAAAAATGGGATCCGAAATTTTATTTTGAGGTTTTGATGCAGGATTGTGGAGAATCGTTCCAGAAATCGTTTAAGGGATTCCCCTCAAGAATCGGATGGATATTGGCCGAGATATAGCATTCCCAAGGTCCATATTTTGATATTTCTGCATTTTCCCCATTTTTGCAGGGGGTCCATCAGAAAAATTTGAAAAAATGGGATCCGAAATTTTATTTTGAGGTTTTAATGCAGGATTGTGGAGAATCGTTCCAGAAATCGTTTAAGGTATTCCTCTGAAGGATCGGATGGATATTGGCCGAGATATAGCATTCCCAAGGTCCATATTTTGATATTTCTGATTTTCCCCATTTTTGCAGGGGGTCCATCAGAAAAATTTGAAAAAATGGGATCCGAAAGTTTATTTTGAGGTTTTGATGCAGGATTGTGGAGAATCGTTCCAGAAATCGTTTGAGGTATTCCTCTTAAGGATCGGATGGATATTGGCCGAGATATAGCATTCCCAAGGTCCATATTTTGATATTTCTGATTTTCCCCATTTTTGCAGGGGTCCATCAGAAAAATTTGAAAAAATGGGATCCGAAATTTTATTTTAAGGTTTTGATGCAGGATTGTGGAGAATCGTTTCAGAAATCGTTTGAGGTATTCCTCTTAAGGATCGGATGGATATTGGCCGAGATATAGCATTCCCAAGGACCATATTTTGATATTTCTGATTTTCCCCATTTTTGCAGGGGGTCCATCAGAAAAATTTGAAAAAATGGGATCCGAAAGTTTATTTTGAGGTTTTGATGCAGGATTGTGGAGAATCGTTCCAGAAATCGTTTGAGGTATTCCTCTTAAGGATCGGATGGATATTGGCCGAGATATAGCATTCCCAAGGTCCATATTTTGATATTTCTGCATTTTCCCCATTTTTGCAGGAAAATTTGAAAAAATGGGATCCGAAATTTTATTTTGAGGTTTTGATGCAGGATTGTGGAGAATCGTTCCAGAAATCGTTTAAGGGATTCCCCTCAAGAATCGGGTGGATATTGGCCGAGATATAGCATTCCCAAGGTCCATATTTTGATATTTCTGATTTTCCCCATTTTTGCAGGGGGTCCATCAGAAAAATTTGAAAAAATGGGATCCGAAATTTTATTTTAAGGTTTTGATGCAGGATTGTGGAGAATCGTTTCAGAAATCGTTTGAGGTATTCCTCTTAAGGATCGGATGGATATTGGCCGAGATATAGCATTCCCAAGGACCATATTTTGATATTTCTGATTTTCCCCATTTTTGCAGGGGGTCCATCAGAAAAATTTGAAAAAATGGGATCCGAAAGTTTATTTTGAGGTTTTGATGCAGGATTGTGGAGAATCGTTCCAGAAATCGTTTGAGGTATTCCTCTTAAGGATCGGATGGATATTGGCCGAGATATAGCATTCCCAAGGTCCATATTTTGATATTTCTGCATTTTCCCCATTTTTGCAGGAAACTTTGAAAAAATGGGATCCGAAATTTTATTTTGAGGTTTTGATGCAGGATTGTGGAGAATCGTTCCAGAAATCGTTTAAGGGATTCCCCTCAAGAATCGGGTGGATATTGGCCGAGATATAGCATTCCCAAGGTCCATATTTTGATATTTCTGATTTTCCCCATTTTTGCAGGGTCCATCAGAAAAATTTGAAAAAATGGGATCCGAAATTTTATTTTGAGGTTTTGATGCAGGATTGTGGAGAATCGTTCCAGAAATCGTTTAAGGGATTCCTCTTAAGGATCGGATGGATATTGGCCGAGATATAGCATTCCCAAGGACCATATTTTGATATTTCTGATTTTCCCCATTTTTGCAGGGGGTCCATCAGAAAAATTTGAATAAATGGGATCCGAAATTTTATTTTGAGGTTTTGATGCAGGATTGTGGAGAATCGTTTCAGAAATCGTTTGAGGTATTCCTCTTAAGGATCGGATGGATATTGGCCGAGATATAGCATTCCCAAGGACCATATTTTGATATTTCTGATTTTCCCCATTTTTGCAGGGGGTCCATCAGAAAAATTTGAAAAAATGGGATCCGAAAGTTTATTTTGAGGTTTTGATGCAGGATTGTGGAGAATCGTTCCAGAAATCGTTTAAGGGATTCCCCTCAAGAATCGGGTGGATATTGGCCGAGATATAGCATTCCCAAGGTCCATATTTTGATATTTCTGCATTTTCCCCATTTTTGCAGGAAAATTTGAAAAAATGGGATCCGAAATTTTATTTTGAGGTTTTGATGCAGGATTGTGGAGAATCGTTTCAGAAATCGTTTAAGGTATTCCCCTCAAGAATCGGGTGGATATTGGCCGAGATATAGCATTCCCAAGGTCCATATTTTGATATTTTTGGATTTTCTCCATTTTTGAAGGGGGTCCATCAGAAAATTTTGAAAAAATGGGATCCGAAATTTTATTTTGAGGTTTTGATGCAGGGTTGTGGAGAATCGTTCCAGAAATCGTTTGAGGTATTCTTCTTAAGGATCGGATGGATATTGGCCGAGATATAGCATCCGCAAGGGATGGAAGTATCATTATCCATGTTTTCCCGAGGGTTTCGATATTTTCTAATATTTTTTTAAAAATATAGTATCAAGAATTGAATGGATTGCATGCATTAATATTTTAATGTACCTGAAAGGTATCGTATACAAAATGTGTTGATAAATAAGATATAAATATATGTTTAAGTAATTAATTGGAATGTGAATAAGTTTGAATGAATAAAGTGAATTGGAATGTAATGAAAAAAGAGAGACTGGATCCCAGGATGAGGATTCGATTTAGATGCCTCCCCTGGCTCCGTCCTCCTCCTCGTCATCGTCCTCCTCCTCCCCTTCCTCGCGACCCTCCACCTCCTGCTCCTCCTCGATCACCTCCTCGATGGTATCATTGGTGTCCGTATTGGTTTCTGCATTCAGATCCTGCCAGTTGTCGTCGCTCAGCTCATCAATGGTGTCCGTGTCATCCACAACAGCGGCCACACTGACATCGTCCATTGATCCGGAAGTAGTGCCCGTAACTGCCGACGAGGGCCGGAATACCTCCTCCTGGGTAATGCCCGTGGGCGTGGTAGAATTCGTGTAGGATGCCGATGAAGGCGTCTCCGATCGTGGACCAGAACCGGACAAAGAAATAGATCCCGATCCAGAGCCAGAACCTGATCCAGAACTTGATTCAGTGCCAGTTGCAGTGCAGGTTCGGGAACAGGAACTGGTGGCCGTGCCCGAAGTGGAGGGTATATCGTCGCTGGCCAGGGCATCCATGGAGAGCCGGGGTCGAGGGCCTTGCGCCTTGTTCTTGCGCTTCTGGCGGGCCACCTCGTACTCCTTGAGATCGGAGAGCTTCAGGGTGATGCTCTGAAGATCGCGTTTTAGCATTTTTCCCAATTTTCTTTCCTCAAGCTCTTGTATCTTCCAGAAAATAATCTGGGCGTCTAATGGAAGTTATTAACAGTTAATCGCGACGTATTGCCAGATCTGGAAACTATTCTAGATATCACTTTCCAAGCACTATCGGATATGGGATGGGATCTGGTATAAAGTTATAGAAGTTCTATTAAAAAATACCTTTAGTCTTAAGCTTTTTAAGGACATTTATTTGTTGAGTGTATAGTTTACGAAAAAAAATGAAACATATATTTAATGTTATGATGGTGCAGCAATGAACATGAAGCGATCGAAAAAAAAATATACATTATGATCCGTGAGGGGATGATCCTTGTACTGCCTTTCATTTTCTTTTGTTTTTTTTTTCTGTTTTTAGTAGAATCCATAGTGACCATGACCATGGTAAGGATAGTAGCCGTGATGGCCACCATAGTAGGGAGCATGCACGTAGCCGTATCCTCCATAGTAGGGACTGCCATAGCCGAATCCTCCATAGTGTCCATGTCCGTAGCCTCCATATCCTCCGTGTCCATAGCCAAAGCCATAGATTCCGCGCTTCTCCGTCTTCTTCTCGCCCAAAGCGGAGGCCACTTCGGGTTCTACGGCCTCTACAGGGGCGGGCTCTGAGACTGCCGCCCAGGCTCCCATCAGGCAGATGGCCAGGATAACGAAAGTGCACTGTGGAGATATTAAGGGAATATAATTTGGGATTTTAGGATCACTTTTTAAGAGGCTTTGTCCTTTTAAAATATTATATCATTTTTAAAACACTAAAAAAAATATTTCCAATATGTCCTTTCACTTTTGAAAGCTTTTAAGTATCCTTTATGATAATCACTCAAAAAAAAAGGATTCTGGAGTTCATGTTTCAAAAACTCCTTTTCCAAGCACTTTGAACACAATTTGTATCCTTTGGTTTATTATCCTTGCGATGATTAGTCTCCAATCTTACCAAGAACTTCATGTTGCTGCTGTTTTAGGGTTTAGGCTGCTTCGGGTTGCTGCTGCAGATGTTGCTAGTTGACGAGTTGGATGACCGGCAAGGTTTGTTGATGGCAGACAGTTGGCCAGGCTTTATATACCCCAATCCGGCTTGTTATTGTTACTGAGCTGCTACAGTTAGCAATTATGCAAACTGACAACAGCAGCAACAGCAACAACAATCAGCAACAGCAGCAGCAGCGATTGTTGCATCTGAATTGAATGCATGACGGGTTGAGGACTTGAAATCGAATATTGTTTATGTTGCCAGCCAAAAGGTCATCCATCCATCCATCCATTCAGCCAGCGAGCCAGACGCTCATCCGGCGACCAGCAGTGGGCGTGGCAACTAACGATATCTGTTATAATTGCAATCACAAACGAAATTCTAAGTTTTAGTTCAGAAAATTGAGTAATATTTTTACATATTTTTTTCCCTCCATTTTTTTATATTTCCGTTAAAGCAATACGATCCACATGCAACATGCAACTTATGCGTTCCACAATCACTTGTACAGCACTTGTACATATCGTATAACACTTTCACTCCCCGCCCAGATCCCATTACCAGCTAGGGCGTGGGCGTGGCAGGGCATTGCCTAAGCCCAGAGACCACTATAGAGGCCCAGAAGCTGGGCCAAATTCGAAATCAGAAATTAAAATGCCACAAGCCCCGTGGGAATTGCAGTGGCAGTGGAAGGGTTGCTGGGTTGTGGGTTGGATGCCACATGTACAATATACACACCATTATATACAAATTATGAACAATTGCACGTTTACAGCATTTTGGCATTTTTAATTAAGCTGCCAGGCAGCCAGTCGTCGAGTCGGCGAGCTGCGATCTCTGCCAGATCATTTCCATTGCAAACTCTTATCGAAAGAATATCCAAACTGCACGATTTCTGTTGGGAACTGTTGGGCTGAGACAGAAGGGTATACTAGACTGGGTTAAAAGCTTCTATAAGGTTTGGAAAACTATATAAAAAATAAAGACCTTAATACAAAGATTCCTTAAACTATTTTAAACCATATTTGTAAATTCCTTAAAAACTAGGTATTTATTATTTGGAACAACCTCCGTCCCATCATTTCCGTTTGCTGCCATTATGAAGAACGACCTTGACCGCAGTGGCAATTGCAAGCCCAGTGCCGCCCCAGCTCCCGCTTCGGCGCAACCGCTCCCATTGGCACTCTCATTCCCAGACCCAGACCCATAGCGGAGGAGCAGAGGTGAGCCAGGCCATGAATGAAGCAACGCCGGCGGCAACATTGTTGAATGGAGCATGGAAAAGCGACGATTCCGAATCTGTAATGAATCTGTAATGCAAGCGCGCATTTTCACAACCGGCGACGTCTCTCGTCATCGAAAAGTGGGTGGCAACTTTGCTGGATCCATTGTTAGTAGTGGGCTTGCTTTGGCAGCATTTAATATTAATGCTCAAATCCGATGACTTGGATGGGGTGAATGCACGCGAGAATGCATTACCTACTTGCGAGGGGGGGGCACAGCCTACTTCATCTTTTCAAAATAAATCAAATTAAAAACCTCCTTTGAAATGGAAACCCTTTTAAGTTTTATTATCCGCCGAGGGCATGAAAAGTAACCAAGTAATTTTGGCATGCTTATAAACAAGGTGCCCCCCTTTAGTTAGGCAGCCCGCCAGCCAGTTGGGCAAGCGGAAGCTATGCTGTTTAGCCAACGGATCTGACGACTGGTCACGATCGGAGATGACAACATTTTTGATTGCCAGTTAAATTATAATTCTTGGCTAATTCTAGACGACGGGCTGGGGGCCTGTTTGATTGATTTCCCATTGTGGCCGTTGTGATTTACGGTTAATGGCTTATTGTTATTGGCCACCAGGGTCAGATCTTGGATATACCATCCCCGGCGGGCAGCTCGTTGCGCTGGATATCTGGACAGCTGCTCATTGGTGTTACACAACAACAAATCGACGACATTTCCTTACGATTTATTGCTCTTAACAGACATAAACAAAAAAAATGGGATGCAGGAACGGGGTGTTTAGTATTTCAACTCCTTGGCCTTGTCGGCGGCCCCTTCGTCCAATAGCTTCAGTTCCGCCTGCTGCTTCTCCGGCCGGATGACCGTGTAGTAGTGGTAATAGCGCATGCCAAGAATATACGTTCCGTAGAGGGTCACTCCGATGCAGGCATAGACGGCGCCGCGGTGCAGCTTGTCCAGCAGAGAGTTGGCGTTGATGGGTTTCTTCTGCATGGCGGAAATCCAGGAATTCCCGTCTTTCTAAAAAGGGTCGTCTGTTTTTTTTTATTCAATCAGATAAATAGGGAGGAGAGAGTGGCCAAAGGAGGTAGCGGATGTGTTATCGATAAATTTAGAACATCTTCGATATTTACTTCAAAGAATTTTATGTTTTAAACTGTTTCAGTCTACTGGTTATTAAATTCAACATAAACTAAAACGATTTTAGTTTATGTTTCAGTTGTTTTATACACATTTGTTGGTTTTACACCACCATCCAAATTCCAAAAATCGTTATCGAAATAGTGTAGGTTCCCTACATCGCTATTAGGCCATCACCAGAGATCCACACGTGTTGACAAACTCTATTGGAAAGGAATTGTGAAATTATTGCGTTTCGAATTAACCAGGACTAAATGGATCAGGACTACGAGGGCGTCAGTCCGCTGGGCGGCGGGGATATGATCAAGAGTGGAGTCGCCAACACCATGATCCTCTGCTGCGAGTGTGGCGTGCCCATCCAATCGAATCCGGCCAACATGTGCGTCACTTGTCTGCGCAACCATGTCGACATTACCGAGAACATACCCAAGCAGGCGGTACTGCACTTCTGTCGCAACTGCGAACGCTACCTCCAGCCGCCGAACGAATGGATCCAGGCATCCCTCGAGTCCCGCGAGCTCCTGGCCGTCTGCCTCAAGAAGCTCAAGGGTCTGAAGGAGGTGAAACTGGTGGACGCTGGCTTCATCTGGACCGAGCAGCACTCGAAGCGCATCAAGGTGAAGCTGACAGTTCATGGACAAATCACCGGAGGCACTGTACTGCAACAGGTATTCGTCGTGGAGTTCACAGTTCAGAATCAGATGTGCAATGACTGCCATCGCACTGAGGCCAAGGACTTTTGGCGCTGTCTGGTGCAAGTGCGCCAGCGGGCAGAGAACAAGAAGACATTCTACTATCTGGAGCAGCTGATTCTCAAGCACAAGGCCCACGAGAACACACTGGGCATCAAGCCAGAGCACGGTGGTCTGGATTTCTTCTATGCCAACGAAAACCATGCCCGGCGCATGGTAGACTTCCTACAGACTATGGTGCCCGGCAAGGTCACCACCTCGAAGCGTCTCATCTCGCACGATATCCACAGCAACAACTATAACTACAAGTACAACTGGTCCTATGAGATTGCACCGGTATCCAAAGACAGTGCTGTTTGTCTCTCCAAGAAGCTGCGCCATCAGTTAGGAAACCTCTCGCCTGTCTGTTTGGTAAACCGTGTCTCCAGTAGCATTCATTTGATTGATCCCCTGACCGCACAGATTGCAGAACTCACTTCACAGGTTTACTTCAGGTGGGTATCCGAATTATCCTTGCTGCTTTAGAGGATTAATGATTAACTTACTTTTTACAGAGCTCCCTTTGAGGCTATCTGTAATCCCAAACAGTTGGTGGAGTATGTGGTGATGGACATTGATGTCATCATGGAGAAGGACCGCAAAACCTATCCTGGACAAGGCCAGATATCTTTCAAGCACGCTCTTTGCGACATTTGGGTGGTGCGTTCCTCGGAACTGGGCATCAACGACAACCCCATTCACACACGCTCCCACCTGGGTCATCTGCTCAAGGTTGGCGACTCTGTGATGGGCTACAACACCGGCGAGGCGAACATCAACGACCCAGAGTTCGAGAAGCTGTCGCCCGAGCAAGTTCCCGATGTGATTCTTGTGCGCAAGCACTACGATCGCCAAACGCGTCTCAGCCAGCGCCTGTGGAAGATCAAGCATCTGGCAGCCGAGGCAACAGATGAGCGCAGCAAGCACGACTACCACGAGTTCCTCGACGATCTGGAGGATCATGAGGATCTGCGTGGCCAAATCAATATCTATCGTGACAGCAACAAGACGGCGCCCATCGATCTGCAACCTGGTGGCAGCGATGTTCCCCAGATTAATCTAGAGGAGATGATGGAGGACATGACGCTAGAGTGCGCCGACGATGAGATGGGCGAGGAGGAAGGGTCCGAGGAGACCGAGCCACAGTTGTAGTTTGTCTATTAATGTAGCTTCTTTTTTTTAATCTTTTACCCATGTATGATCTGTACATAACTCTATTAATTAAACAAGAACACTTCCTTTGGGAGTGGGTGTACTAAAGATGTACCCAAGTCTTTTCTACTAGAGGCCCAGCTGGGGCTTCTCCTTGAAATAGATGACCTCCTCACAGTCGCAGCAATGCTCCGCCTCCCAGTCGAGCAGCGCTTCCTTCACAATTGGCAGGATGTGCTTTCGGGTGGCCTGCACGTTGTCCTGACGCAGGAAACAGCCGCCCATGAAGTGGGTTTCCACGTCGTGAGGTCGCAGTTGTAGATCCGGATCGCGGGACTTCACCAGAGCCTGCCTGACGCGATCTACCAGCTGGCTCTGGGCGGAGAGAGAGATAAGGCCCACGTCGCGCTGTACTTGGCCGTCTTTGGGGTTCACATACATGCCCAGGATCACTAGGAGATTACTGTTTGCGGCGAACTCCTTCACAGCCTTCTCTGCGCCGCTTTTGTCCACAAAATCCCTTACGAGAATGGGCATTCCCGCGAGGGGAACCTCCTGACGATCAGTGGAAAGCATTTTCATATCCTTCCGCAGCACTTCCGTCAGCTTGAGCTTGCTGATGTCGGCTCTGGCGGCCACCAGTTCATCAAACAGCCGAGGACGCTGGTCCTCGGCCAGACCCAGCTCCAACTCCAGGTTCTGCACCATGCGCTGGTCTAGCGGACCGAATCTCTTGGCAGTTGGCGAAAAGTTGATGGTATCCAGGACAATTGTGGCATGGAGTAGCTCTGCTACGTTACGAGATCGTGGCTCATTCTGGGCCAAGTAACGCTCCGCGACCAGAGTGGCACAGGAGCCCACGGTGGGGTCTATATTCTTTTCACAGCTGGCGGGCAAGAGTTTATAGTTTGGAGCACCATCATCCAATGGCCTGTGGTCCAGGATCTGCGTCACATTTGGCGCCAGCGAACTCACATGATGATCCACGAGAATAACGCTAACATCGTGGGTCATCTCCTTGGGCAGATCATCGCGGAAGAGGAGAACCGGCTCAGATATACCACACTTGCCAAACATATGGCCTACTTCGGTTTTCAGGGGATAATCCCGGCGAGGAATGTTCAGCACTGGCACATAATCGTGCTCCCGATACCGCTGGGCGTAAATAAAGGCCAAGGTCATGGCGGAGACGGCCGAATCGAGGTCACAGGATTCATTACCCAGCACTAGATGCAATTTCCGGTTAGGATGTGACGGTACAGCAGCCCAAGCTGCCGGGGAAGCCTCTGTCAGATGCTGAAAAAGAAACCCTATTAGTGTTTGGGTCCTGATTGGGAACCAGGAGATACTCACCCGACCCAAAGTGGTCCGGACTTGCGCCAGGTAGCGCTGGAAACACATTATTCCAAGTGCAGACCCCACGGTGCTCTCGGAGAATGAAGAAGACCCGGAAAACTCTCCCGAAACCGTAGCCGCGAATTCAACAGTTGCTTCGATAGGCAATCAGCTGATTGAAGCTCAAAAGAAAGCTTTGTGTTTTATGTTATTTTTTGGAATAATATTTTATGAATTATACCTTTTAAATATTCTTAATATTTTTTAGATAATATCAAGGAAGAATTTTTCAAAAGTCACAGAAAGGCTATGTGAGCAGAAAAGCAATGACCTACTTTGTTTTCAAGCAAAATCTATAGAATAGTGTTAATCAGTTCATCTTTAATTATATTTCTTATCAACATTGAAGATTAAACGGCTTACATAAACTATTTACATATTCTCTTAAGCTGACACTCTTGTTTTGCTTTGTGAGTCAGATGATTTTAATAATATATATTTAATTTATTTACAATTAAAGAGTGATGTTTTCAAATTAGCTGTCTTTTGCGCCAAAAAAAAGTCAAAGCTTTTTCGATATCGATAACTTTTGTTATCGCCGGTAAAACCAAAACAAAATAAACTTTAAAGTCAGTATTCCCGCCTTTTGAGCCCAAAATTGACACCACTGCGTGATCTTAACACAATCTTGATGGAGGGCTCTACGTCCGGGCCAAGATTGAGCAACTGGTAGTTCCTCAGCAGCTGAATCACCATGGTTTTCATCTCCAGCAGAGCAAACTTCTGGCCAATGCAGTTCCTGGGACCCGCGGAGAAGGGAATATAGCTATAGGCCGCCAGATTTGATGTCTCTACATCCAAATGTCGTTCGGGACGGAAAGTGAGGGGATCTGGAAAGAGTTTCTCGTCGCGGAGGAGCTGCCAGAGCAGCACAACTACATTAGTTCTGGCGGGAATATAACCGCCATCTGGAATGGAAGGTAATACCTGTTTTGAAAGGCTTATTTTTTTAAACATGACACTTACCTATCACCAAATCTGCTTCCAGAAACCGGGCCACCGCTGGAATTGGCGGATATAGACGCAGTGCCTCCTTAACCACGCAGTTCAAATAAGGCAAGGCGGCGAAATCCCCGTAGACCACTTGCTGCTCCAAATCCTGGCCATAATGCTGCTTCAGCTCCTCGAACAGTCTTTGTTGCACATCCTCATTCCGAGAGAGCAGATACAAACAGAAGGAAGCTGCCGAGGTGGTGGTGTCGTGGCCCTCGAAGATGAAAGTATTGACCTCGTCGCGGATTTGTCTGTCCGTCAGAGGTTGTCCTTCGCATGTGGCCCGCAGCAGTGTATCCAGGAGGGCATGGTGTTTCCCCGTCTTAGGATCATTCGCATGCTCCTCCAGCAACTTGCGGCGCTGCTCAATGATGGTGTCGGTGAACTGATGTAGGCACTGTACGCCCTCGATTTGCTTCTTGTAGCCGCTGGGCCAGAACCAGCGGAAAAGGAAGAGTGGCAGGAGATTCGGCCGCATAAACCGAGTGGCCAGGATGTTGGTGAGGCTGTGGATATAAAATAATACATTATATTCCAAGTGTACAGTTCTAGGATCTCTTCTTACTCTTTCACCGCCTGAACCACCTTGGAATCGGCATCCTTTTGCGCCTCCACTCGAATACCCATGGCTGTTTCCATTATGATATCCAGCGCTGCCAGTCCCGCGTAGGGATAGATGTTCACCACCTGTTGTCCGTCAGCCAGAGGCTCCAGTCGCTGCACCAGAACCCGGCTCTGTCTGTCAAACACCTCCACGAACTGCTCCAAGATGCTGAAATGAAACGTGGGCGTTATGATCTTGCGCATCGTGCGCCACTCTTCGCCACGACTGAGGAGCAGTCCATTGCCCAGCCAGCCACGGAGGGCGCCGTACAGAGTGCCCTTCCTCAGGTGCTGCTGGCTGTGAAGCAGTGCGTCCACATACTGCGGCTCGGCAGTGACCACCACACAGTGTCCAAAGACAGTGCCCATGAAGCTGCGTCCAAATCGCTGGACATATTCTGCGAACTTTACATGTAAATCTAAGAAGAATAAATAATTAAGAGAATAGGATAATGAGATGTTGATGCCTACTGTCCGGCTGAAAGGAGCGCATCTGCCAGGCGGATCCCACCACTGGTATGTTGGAGACATGTGGCACTACACCGCGCAACGGATGTCGCAGCTCCTGTACCGCCAACTGTATCAGCCAGGCCACCACGCGGGCCACAAGAAGTGCCAGCAGCCAGGCCACTAGCATGTTGAGTCCACGGTATCAGCTGGAGGAATGCATGGACCCACTTGGCGGTTATCACTAGTACCACTAGCTCCACTAACGCGGATTAACCCAAGCGGCGATAAACCTATTTATACAATGCCACCGGACATATATAGCATATAGATGGTTTATGTAAGCAATGCGATTCAAATAATGCGCCTCTGGTATGCGCGACAAAGACGGCAGCGATGATGGGGCACCAGGTGAAGCGAGAGGCACAATCCCAGCGAGAAACAGCTGGCCGGCCAGTCGGTACTAAGTGGAAAATCAATTAAAAAAACAGAAACAACAAGAAACATTGTTTAATGACAAGGCCCGTTGGATAAGAGAGGGTACCCAGATAAGGTGGAAAGTAAACTATTCGTGTACTCATGGGTACACCTGGAACTGGGTTAATAGAGATAACTCTAGTTTTAATGAATACTACTTTGATTCATTTAGTTTATATATTTTAAATGATGATACGTATCATTAATGGTTTTAATGACCTATTAGAAACGGTCTACAAGGTCCACGAAAACTATCCACCTTTTTGTGGTAGAACCTCCTTTAAATTATAATTATAACTCGGATTTTTTAAATATTTACATTGAAGTTGTTTTTAAAATCGATTATAAGACTTTAGCTCTAAAATTTACAATTCCCTGAGGTCAGCTTGACTTTAATTCATCATTTCAGACACTAAAATCTTTCAGATCAATCCTCTCCAGCTGCGGAACGTGGTTTCAGACCCAAATGTATGCCATTAGCGGACCGCAGAACGATGTTCATGGAAGGACGCGGATCAGGACCCAGGGGGAGAAGCTCAAAGTGACGGAGGAGCTTACTAATAGTGCTCTTCATCTCCAGCATGGCAAACTTCTGGCCAATACAGTTCCTGGGACCCGCCGAGAAGGGTATATAGGCAAAGGGGTGAGTCTGCGGCACATCAGCCTCAAACCTCTCCGGTCGGAACTCATCCGGCGAGTCAAAGTACTCCGGATCGCGGAGTAACACATAGATTCCCACGGTGAAATTAGTACCAGCCGGAATGCGCTTGCCACCTGTGGGGATACCAGTATATAAGAGCAAGACTTCAGGGACATTCTAGAAGGCACACTTACGTATTTCCACATCCTCGGCGAACCAACGACCGATCATGGGTACTGGCGGATGCAGGCGCAGGGACTCCTTGATCACATTCTCCATGTACTTCAGCTCTCCCAGGTCCCGCAGCGTGACCGGTCTCTGAGTATCGTCCCCCAGGATCTCGTGTATCTCCTGGATGAGGCGCTTCTGGACCTCCGGGTGCCGCGAGATCTCGTACAGACAGAAGGAAATGGCCGAGGTGGTGGTGTCGTGGCCCTCAAACATGAAAGTGTCCACCTCCTCCCGGATATCCTCGTCGCTCAGTGGCGCTCCATCGATGGTGGACTGCAGCAGGACGTCCAGGAGGGCCATGCGGCGCTTCTGGCCCAGATCATCCACCAGTTCCAAGGAGGAGCTCGGGTCCTGGGAGCTCACCAAAGTCTGTCGCCTCTGCCGGATGATGTTTTCGGTGAAGTCGTGCATTATCTTAATGGCCGTGTCCTGTCGCTTGGCCTCCTTGGGCTGGACCAGACGGAAGATCCAGTCAACGCGCTGCCAGGCATTGATGAACCGGGTGATCATGATATTGGTAACACTGTGGGATCGGATAGTTTTATTAATAAAGGATTAAAGGAACTATAGAATCATACTTACTCATTGACAGCCTGGACATAGGGTAGATTGGGATTCATCTGGGCATTAATCTTGGTGCCCATGGCGGTCTCTGGAAAAAGAAGACATTATTAATAAATAGATGACTCGATAGGACTTCTTCTTGGACCTCACCTGCTATAATATCCAGAGCCGTGAGGCACACCACCGGGAAGATATTGAAGGGAGTCTTCCCATCCGCCTTGGACTTTAGTTTCTCCACCATTACAGCACTCTGCTGATCAAAGATCTCCACAAACTGCTCCAGAATCTTAAAGTGAAACGTGGGAGTGATGATCTTCCGGCGTCCGTGCCATTTCCTTCCAGTGCTCATTAGCAAACCCTCTCCCAGCCAGCAGTGGAGCAGTTTATACAGATTATTCTTGGTTATATGCTGCTGGCTGCTCAGGAGGAACTCAATATCCCTGGGATCCGTCGAGAAAACGGCCAACTGATGGATGACCCAGACCTTGTAGATTCTACCATATTTGGCCTGGTTCTTGGCCACAAAGTCCATGATTTCTAAAGATAAGATTTCGGATTAAAATAAATGAATAAACAGAGTCAAGTTCCCAAAGTCCATCAAGATAAAGTTTAAACTTTCATTTAAAGAATAACGAGAATATCGATAAGTCTATCGATAAATCATCTTATATTTATCTTATACTAGATATTTTTTAAAGCTTCGTTTTGGATTTCGTATTAATAGTTCTTTTTAAATAAAATCCACTCATAATTATTAATATTATTTATTATTTAAAGATTAAAGCACATCTGGAGAAGACTCACGTTCAGCATCCAAACCGCGGTACATGAGAACATTGCCCAGAAGGGGCAGCGGTCGGGGACCCGGCATGTAGTGCAGCATGTCATTGCGCCGCTTCCTCCAGAGGTAGTCCCAGAGCAGCAGTGCAGCAAACGCCGCCAGAAATAGGCCGATAACACCCCACATTATGTGCAGCAGACGACGGGTGATCCACGACTGAAATCAGAGCACGTCCACCTCCACAGACTCACTCTATTGCACTGACCCTAATCTCCGTCGCTCTCAATCTTGTTTGAACACACCCCCCCACTGGCTTGGAGATCCCCAAGAGACAAAGAAAGAGAGCCATAGAGAGCTAGTCTAGCCTCTAAGAGAGCCCCACACACTTGAGGGCGCTTATCGATCTCCGAAGCGGACTCTGTCGGGGGTGCCAAGAATCAGGCGAAAGTTTTGATGGCTCGGATATAGTATATCTCTAATCTAGATTCTATAGACTGTTCAGTCACCATGAAGTTCATAAAATTAAATTCACGGGTCATGCTTAGTAAGCGGTTTTCGAAATTCTATATAGAATCATTATATTGATTTTCTAAATTGGGGGGAAGTCACTTTAGAGATAATCGAACTCTACCTAATAGAGTTCCTGTTGTTAAACATGAATGAACCATTTTATAAATTAATAACGAACCCAAAAACTATTAACCCTGACATCTAAAATAAAAGATTTAATTGATTTTTATGGTCGACTGACTAAAAGTATTGTTATTTTTATTATCAGACATGTAATGGTTTGTAATTCCAACCACAAGATAGTCCAATATCTCGATAATCTCTTGGTTATGGGTTGGGTTTGGCCAAATCATGATTACCAGGCAGGGGGAAACCCTTATCAGGCATACCATATCATGCTTAGTTAGCAAATAAAATTGTATTGGATTTAAAAAATAAAGACAAACATAAAAGAACTAATATGTTCTAATATTTTGATAAAGATAATGTTATCTTAAGGAATTCCATTTAAATGGCTGATCTTTATCATAAAAATGCACTTTAATCTTGGAACTTGGAGAAACGATTTGTAAAAAAATAAAAACATATACTATAAAAGTTAGTAGTTTATTTATTTATAGATTAAGTTTAAGTTACTTGAGAGTATATTTGTAATTTAAGTAATTACTGCATTGAGAGACCCAGTTAAACTAGTTTTTCCAAGTTCAAGATACTAGTTTAAGAACTGAGAAAATAAATCTATTCTTAAGTAATTATATTTTATTTTATTAACTTTGTTTACCTTTAGTCTCTATCTATTAAACCGTTAGCCCCCATAAAATATGAATACATGATAGAGCGGGAAAAGCTTCATCATGATGATGGAGGGGTTTTCCAATTCATTCATAAATAAAATACAAAAAACCCATTTAAAAACTAACCTCGAATAGAGTTTTTAAAAAAGAAAAAACTATAAATGTATATAAAGAGATATGGGAATCATAAAATACCTAATTTTTATCCCAAATTTTGGACCTCTTTACCTTGGTTGGGTGACAGCAGTCCGCTGATTATAGTGACGCCTTATCGCAGCCCGGCTCCGGCTACAAAACAGGGCCGCCGGAAAGCGAAACCAGCCAGTCTGTCGCAAAGTTCGCAATCAGATAGAACCGATTTCCAGTTGGTAGTCACAATGTATTTGGAGCTCTTCGCACTGCTGGTGACGGCCGTCCTCGTCTGGGATCATCTGCGCAATAAGCGCCACAACCAGATGTTTGCCGCCGCCGGATTCAAAGGACCCAAGCGTTATCCTTTGGTGGGCAATGCCCCCATGCTTATCAACGAGAATCCCAAAAGTAGGTTAACCCATCAGTCTATTGTCCTTCAAAGTATAATCTTATAATTTTATCCATTTAGCTGTTTTTGATCTTCAGTTCCGACTGATCAAGGAACATGGCAAAAATATCCAAATTCAAATGATTGGGGAACGCGGATTCATGACCGCCTGTCCCAAAATGATTGAAGCTATCATGAGCAGCCAGCAGACCATCCAGAAGAACAACCTCTACGGTCTGCTGGTTAACTGGCTGGGTGATGGTCTGCTGCTGAGCACCGGAAAGAAGTGGTTCCATCGCCGCAAGACCATTACGCCCGCCTTCCACTTCAAGATCCTCGAGGATTTCGTGGAGGTCTTCGACCAGCAGAGTGCCATCATGGCCCAGCAGCTGTATAGCCGGGCGGACGGCAAGACGGTGATCAACATGTTCCCGGTGGCCTGCCTCTGTGCCATGGACATCATCGCCGAGACGGCCATGGGCGTGAAGATCAATGCCCAGCTCCAGCCCGACTTCCCCTACGTTCAGTCGGTGACGACGTGAGTATAGCCCACATTTTAAGTCCTAAACCATGTCCTTAATAAATGAAATGAAAAATATCCTTTCAGTGCCTCCAGCATGCTGGCGGAACGCTTCATGAATCCCCTCCAGCGTGTGGACGCCACCATGAGAATCTTTTATCCGAAACTCTTCGCCAAGCTGAACAACGCCGTCAAGTCTATGCACGATTTCACCAACAAGGTGATCACAGAACGCAGAGATCTCCTCCAGAAGTCCATTGCCGAAGGCAAGGAAGAAATCTTGGTGAACGATGTGGGTCAGAAGCGACGCATGGCCCTGCTGGATGTCCTCCTGCAGTCCACCATCAATGGCACTCCCTTGACGAACGAGGACATTCGCGAGGAGGTGGACACCTTCATGTTCGAGGGCCATGACACCACCACTAGCAGCATAGCCTTCACCTGCTATCTGCTGGCCCGCAATCCGGAGGCTCAGGCTCGCGTCTTCCAGGAGATCCGGGACGTGATTGGCGATGACAAGTCCACGCCGGTCGACATGAAGATCCTGGGCGAACTCAAGTACCTGGAGATGGTGATTAAGGAGTCGCTGCGACTGTATCCCTCGGTGCCGATGATCGGACGCCACATCAACCAGGACACCATGTTGGGTAAGTCCAAAGGGATTATTCTTCCAAGGAACTGGATTTAAAATGACATTTTCCCTCCCCACAGATGGCAAGCTTATTCCTGGCAATTCAGATATCCTTATCCTCATCTATCACGCCCAGCGTGATCCGGAACTCTTCCCAGAACCACTGAAATTCAAACCGGAGCGTTTTAGTTTCGAGAACAAGGGCGAGATCAATCCCTTCGCCTACACACCCTTCTCGGCGGGCGCGAGGAACTGCATCGGTCAGAAGTTCGCCATGCTGGAGATGAAGAGCACCATCAGCAAGCTGATCCGGCACTTTGAATTCCTGCCCCTGGGCGAGGAGGTCAAGCCGGTTCTGAACGTTATCCTGCGCTCCACTACTGGCATTAATGTGGGCATCAAGCCGCGGGTCTATTAAGAGTATTATTTATGGGAAATGGGTAGTTTTTAGTTAAAAAATTCTGTAAATATTCCAATAAAAAATCAAAAAGATAACTGATTTGAATGGATTCTATATATTAGCTTTAACCGTCTCAAGATACAACTCAAAAAAAAAGTAGGACTTTGCCTCGATGGGGCTGAGGACTTTAGTCCCAGGAGTACACCTTGCCGGGAGTGGGCAGCTTGCTGGTCGATGCCTTAGCTGCGCCGGCGGCTTCAGCCTCCAACTGCTGCTGTTGGGCCACCAGATCGATGGGGGGAATCACCTCGCGGCGACCATCACGCTGGCAATAGTAGTTGGCCGATAACAGGTGCGAGGGTCCATCGGGGAGCACTGGCTGGGGCTGGGTGCGTTCAGCCAAACCATCCTCGAAGCGCAGCGCCAAGTTGTGCTCCCGCTGTAAGGCAAAACGGTGGATTGGTCACTGAATCTATTTCCATCTTACATAACAAAGAGTTCTCATCGTTCTGGGCTTCAGAACTCAAACCGCTCGGTATACTCACACCCAGGAGGAAGGCCCGAAGGCGCTGGAAGAAGGGAGACACGTCACGGCGCAGGGCAGACATCCTAAAATCCGGGAGAAGACTTTGAATTAGCGGTGCGAAATCACAAAATACTTCCAATTGGCTCCCTGCTATCAGCTGTTTGTTGTTTTGGCTAGAGATGGCCCAGTGGTAAGACTGGCCCTAACTCGATAAGTCTATCGATTTTTTCCTAAAACTTGGTAGTCGGTATAACGATGTCACATCGATGTTGCTTCCAGCTCTAAAAAGTTTGCATTTCAATTTTTTTTTTTTATATTGCGATTTCTGCGCACGTGCAATAACAAATAAATGCTCTGGAATTGAGAGGCGGACTGTCGGATAGCGGATCTGATCGGCAACATGGATCAATTCTCGCACGACCTTACGCTGGCCCTCGAGGAGACCTCGCTTATGGACAGGGCCAGTGGCGTCGGTAGGTGGGGCTCGCGTCGCAGGACCCGTTCAACGGGCAATTTGCGTAAGTCTCATATCTCCCAGATGGTTCCCTCCAGTGTTTTTCCCCCAGCTAAGATCCTTCTGCTTCAGCCTGTGCTCCCCAGCCTACAGAGGATTCGTCGAGTAGTCCCACGGACTTGAATGCCTTGGGCGGCCACCATGGCCACCACCACCATCATCACCACCCAAGTGCCAACGTGGATGGCCTGGACACGCATAATTTAAAGCTGCCAGCCAGCGACTCGGATGAAAAGGCAGCTGCGATGCTGCCATTGAGGTTGCCTTCAAAGTTGCCCCTGCGCATGGGCGCCCTAGAATCGGATTCCCTAAACGAGACCACCTTCAGCCCAGCCAGGTGGGCAGCTCAAAATACTTTTTAACATACTGTAATTTAATCCGCCCTGTCTTTTAGATTTTACAAACCCAATTCACGCCGAAAAAGAAAAATCAAACGGATGTCCATGGAGTTTGAGTTCAGCAAAGATGCCACGCCTCACTGCTTCACGGAATCGCCATTGCAGCCGGGAATGCTCGGTAGTGGCACCGCAACCGGAACTATACGTAAACGTTTGCTTAAAGTCGATGGACACCATCGTTCGCATTTGTTTTTTTGTGGCAAACGTAAACGTTCCAATCGAGACCGGTATCACGAACACGACACCGGTAAACTTTTCTCACTGCAACTTGAGCAGCAGCATGCCCAGCACAATCAGGCCGAGCACCAGCAGAGAATGCGTCCGCGTAGCTACTCCTCAACATCGAAGCCCTTGAGCGATCGCCTGTTGCCGCTTAATAAGGGACTGCTCTCGAAGATTAATCGCATGGCTGCCCAGGGACAGCAAACCAATCAAAAGACTGACAACAAGGATAAAGAGAAGGAGGAGGGCCACATGGAGGAGATGGAAGAACTGCCCAAGGCGAAAGATGTGCCCGGTGAAAATAATCTTATTGACGAGGTTTCCACTAACCTGGATTCGTTTAAAATGGATACCATTGTGCCTGTGACCGATATCGATGCCCTGCTGCTTAGCTCGCCGCCATCTGCTCCACGACAGCACTGCAAAAAGTCTCCGGGGCAGGTGAAGACTCACGGGCATCGTCGCCGTCGCTTCCAAACTCCGCTGGAAGCTCAATCGCAGTCCATGGAGTGCAGCGAACTGTATGACTTTAGCTCCAGTTCATTGAGCTCCAGCTCGGATAGCGAGGCAGAAACCGGTGGCCATCGTCGCCATGATACGGATCGCGAGGGCGACGACGAGTTGACCGACTGGCCGGGCAATGAATTCGGTCCAGGAGCTCGCTACGATCCCAAACGGAAGCTGACCAAGAAGTCGCTGCTGCCACAAATACGCTCCGATGACACTATCGGCGAGGATGACACTCTAATGTCGGGCACAGAAGCCGGGGCAAGTGCAATGGCCGAACCTGCACCACCGCCTCCGAAATCTCCAGCTGTCCAGCTACCGGAATCTCTACAGGACTTGTCACGCTCCGAGCCGATTGAGATTCAGAGTGCTTGCTCGGAAATGGAAACCAATTCGGCAGCTCCGCGTCAAATCGAAAGCGAGATGTCCGGCGAAACATCGAATCCTTTCCTCTCCTCGTCGCCACCCGGTCAGGCTCAGGGACAGGAGGTGCGCGAAATACGTGCCGGTTGCCGGCGCATCAATGGCGAAAGACCAGGGTTTAGTATCAAGTCCGGAGTTAACGAGAGACTGGCCAAATTCTTGCAGGATCCACGACAGACCCAAATTCGGTTGCCAGACATCGAGCTATACGAGCCGGATAGTTTGTCCAACCTGGCCACGCTCTACTCCCTGACCATGGCCATGGAGCAGGGCTGCACAGTGCTGACAAAGACCAGGTGGGTGGGAAATCCTTATAATCCTTAAGCATAATCTCATGTATAATTGAAACTTGTAGGAACACCACCCAGTCGGTGAGTGTGGATCATAATCAGAGGGGAGGAGGTGCCCTGCAACCGCGTCCCGATCTCTTTGGAGACTTTAAGCGTCGCTGTTATGGCGAGGAGGATAACCAGGAAGACCAGGAACTGCAGCAGTCAGAGAAATGAGACATGGCCTTCGACAGTCAGAGGAAGGCGAAAAATGACTTGACCAATCCCCAGCGGCATAAACTCATCCCACGGAGTACAACTCCCAGGGACGTACGCTCGGGTGGAAGAACTCGATAGAGACCTAAAACCAGACAGAAATAAGAGCTTTTAGCCTGTTTTTTTTTTTTGTATGCTATTGTGAGACATATGTTGTATCGGTCCGTGTATATAGGGATTATTAATTGGAATTTTTAGGACGAGACTCGTGGCTGGGTAGTCTCGTCACTGTACAAAATATTAATTTTTAACTTGTTCCATAAGACGTAACGCGAATGCGGAGATAATATAATTATTAAAAAAAAATATATATATGTGTGAGAATAACCGAAGGAACATACAAGTCTTTCAATCTTGAAGGGATTTGGGCGCCAAGTTTGAATTCTGTTCAGCATGGGGCATGCAAATCGTGCTCCCACGCATGTTGGCGCATGCTCAGTGCATCCATTTTGGGGCGCACTCGGCAACCCTTTGCCCCGATTGAATGCCACACACAACAGACACTAGGCAACCCTCTTGCTGCCACCGGGGGTGGGAGGGCTGGTGAGCTGACGGACGCAGTTGGACGCAGCTCGGGATTGGAGGCAGCCACGTTACCACGGCATTTCGCAGTCGCACTCGCATTCGGATTCGGATTCGCATTCCGCATTCGCAGTCGCGAACGACATGGATTTGGAGATAGACACGGACATGGAAATGGATATCGACATGGACATGGAACTGTGAAGCGGACCCAGTTATAATAACAACAACAAAATTCGCCTCATCTTCATAGCCATCCGGAATCCGGGAATCAGCTCTCTCCAAGATCCTCTTACGCTCAAGATTTCTCTTCATTTAACCCACAACCGGCTACGTTTCCACGTTTAACGGTAATTTGCAAATATGCAGTAGTGTGTGTGTGCGTAGGAAAAGTTCGTTTCGAGTTGGTTGTCCTTTGAAGGAGTCAGTGCATCCACAGAGAGGTGAATCAGGGATAAGACCTGACCAGAATGGTTGGCTTTGAAAGTGCTGCCAAGGCGAACGTTTTGATTTCCGCGATGCGGCAGCTCTGCTTATTGATTTTTCACCAACACTCACCCACACATACCCACGCACACACGACCCACACACACACACACACACACAGAAGCATAGTGATGGCGCATTTGGCGGTTTTATGGCTGCCCAACAGCCATTTTGTTAGCGGAAGTGTCGGTGGCCATTTTGTTATTATGCTTTTGAGTTTTCTTTGTTATTTTTAAATGATTTAAAAGTGAATTTTATAACAAGTTAGTTAAAAAAAGACTAAAAAATATAAAAAATATTTCTATTTTTGTTTTTTACTTTTAATTAGAAAATATTTTTAGCTTTTAGTTTAGTTCCATTTCTAATCCATGTGACATCACTTTCACAGTGCGAGAAAGTGAGAGAGAGAGTGGTGGGAGGCTTGTAACGGCTCAAAGCCAAGGCATACACATGCACAAACACCCACACACTCACACACACGCACAAGCTGAGCTAATCTCTTATCAAGCGCCGACTTTTTCCTCTATCTCTCCCCCTCTAAGCTAAGCTCCGCTGTTTTCTTTCTCACTCTCGAGCACACTCTAAGTGTGTTTTTAGGTTTAGTTCTTATTTATTTTTAGTTTTATTAACTATGATAGTTATTTAAATAAATAGTACCGTTTTTATAGGATCTCTGCCATGGGGCAGGAGGTACTTGAGCTCCGGGCATTCCCTGCATGCACTGCCAGCATGTGCACCATCACCCCGATCTCGGTCTCGGTCTCGATCACGAACCCGATCTCAAACTCTCACTCGATCTCTCTGCTACGCTCGCCACGCTTCGCCGTGTGAGCTTCCGCCGGAATCGGCCAAAGGGTGGCGGCGCAGTCGGAAAATGAGCGCTTGCGAGACGGCGTCCGCTGGCGAGGATGCCGGAGGCGGTGGAGCTGGTCCCTCCAAGTCCGAGGACGGCCAGCCGCCGGAGGAGAAGCTGGAGAAGCAACAAAAGCAGGAGAAACAAAAGCAGCCGGAAAAACAGAATGGAAAACGCGAAGGGGAAAGCCTCACACCGCCGGAGGAAAACCGTTCCAAGATTGAGGCCAATCGGAGTTCGGTGCTAGTGGACACCAGTGGTGCTGCCCCGTCGCTGGACGCTTTGGTGGCCTGCAAGGATGCCCTCCTGGCCCAGAAGCTCTTCGCCAGCGGTGGCGCCACACCAGGACCCTCATCCTCCACCGTCGGAATGGCAGGTGGGGTTAGTATCGGAGTGGCAGCTGCAGCCAGTGGTAAGCTTAAGGAACCCATGCGCGTAGGCTTCTACGACATCGAACGGACCATCGGCAAGGGTAACTTTGCGGTCGTGAAGCTGGCCAGGCACAGGATCACCAAGAACGAGGTGGCCATCAAGATCATCGACAAATCCCAACTAGACCAGACAAATCTCCAGAAGGTCTACCGCGAGGTGGAGATCATGAAGCGACTGAAACATCCCCACATCATCAAGCTCTACCAAGTAGGTTTCACGACTTCCTAATCCTCTCCAGAAATCTCTTATATTCCCCTCTTCATTTCTTAGGTCATGGAGACCAAAAACATGATCTATATCGTCTCGGAGTATGCCAGTCAAGGCGAAATTTTTGGTATTTATGTGGTACTCCACTTACCTGAAACTCCATCCAACTTATTCCTGATCCTCTCCAGATTACATCGCCAAGTATGGTCGCATGTCCGAGTCGGCGGCCCGCTACAAGTTCTGGCAAATCATCTCGGCGGTGGAGTACTGTCACAAGAAGGGCATCGTCCATCGGGATCTCAAGGCGGAGAACCTGCTCCTCGACATGAACATGAACATCAAGATAGCGGACTTTGGTTTCTCCAATCACTTCAAGCCCGGCGAGCTTCTCGCCACGTGGTGCGGCTCCCCGCCCTACGCCGCTCCCGAGGTCTTCGAGGGCAAGCAGTACACGGGTCCGGAGATTGATATTTGGGTGAGTTTCCTTGGGAAATTCTAGGGAATCTAAATACGAAGTGTTTAAGACATTCCGCTTAAAGGTCCGAAGGGTATGGGCCGGGATATAGCCTCCCAAAGACCATATTTTGACATAGACCCCATTTTTAAAGGGGGTCCATCAGAAAATTTTGAAAAAATGGGATCCGCAATTTTATTTTAGATATAGCATAGAGATATAGCATAGCATGGAGATATAGCATTCCCAAGTCCATATTTTGATATTTCTGGATTTTCTCCATTTTTGTAGGGGGTCCATCAGAAAATTTTGAAAAAATGGGATCGGAAATTTTATTTTGAGGTTTTGATGCAGGATTGTGGAGAATCGTCCCAGAAATCGTTTGAGGTATTCCTCTTAAGGATCGGATGGATATTGGCCGAGATATAGCATTCCCAAGGTCCATATTTTGATATTTCTGATTTTCCCCATTTTTGCAAGGGGTCCATCAAAAAAATTTGAAAAAATGGGATCCGAAAATTTATTTTGATGTTTTGATGCAGGATTGTGGAGAATCGGTCCAGAAATCGTTTAAGGTATTCCTTTTAAGAATCGGATAGATATTGGCCGAGATATAGCATTCCCAAGGTCCATATTTTGATATTTCTGCATTTTCCCCATTTTTGTAGGGGGTCCATCAGAAAATTTTGAAAAAATGGGATCCGAAAATTTATTTTGAGGTTTTGATGCAGGATTGTGGAGAATCGTCCCAGAAATCGTTTAAGGTATTTCTTTTAAGAATCGGATGGATTTTGGCCGAGATATAGCATTCCCAAGGTCCATATTTTGATATTTCTGATTTTCCTCATTTTGGTAAGGGGTCCATCAGAAAATTTTGAAAAAATGGGATCCGAAATTTTATTTTGAGGTTTTGATGCAGGGTTGTGAAGAATCGTCCCAGAAATCGTTTGAGGTATTCCTCTTAAGGATCGGATGGATATTGGCCGAGATATAGCATTCCCAAGGACCATATTTTGATATTTCTGATTTTCCCCATTTTTGCAAGGGGTCCATCAAAAAAATTTGAAAAAATGGGATCCGAAAATTTATTTTGATGTTTTGATGCAGGATTGTGGAGAATCGGTCCAGAAATCGTTTAAGGTATTCCTTTTAAGAATCGGATAGATATTGGCCGAGATATAGCATTCCCAAGGTCCATATTTTGATATTTCTGCATTTTCCCCATTTTTGTAGGGGGTCCATCAGAAAATTTTGAAAAAATGGGATCCGAAAATTTATTTTGAGGTTTTGATGCAGGATTGTGGAGAATCGTTCCAGAAATCGTTTAAGGTATTCCCCTCAAGAATCGGGTGAAAATTGATCGAGATATAGCATTCCCAAGGTCCATATTTTGATATTTCTGATTTTCCCCATTTTGGTAAGGGGTCCATCAGAAAATTTTGAAAAAATGGGATCTGAAAATTTATTTTGAGGTTTTGATGCAGGATTGTGGAGAATCGTCCCAGAAATCGTTTGAGGTATTCCTTTTAAGAATCGGATAGATATTGGCCGAGATATAGCATTCCCAAGGTCCATATTTTGAAATTTCTGATTTTCCCCATTTTTGAAGGGGGTCCATCAGAAAATTTTGAAAAAATGGGATCCGAAAATTTATTTTGAGGTTTTGATGCAGGATTGTGAAGAATCGTCCCAGAAATCGTTTGAGGTATTCCTCTTAAGGATCGGATGGATATTGGCCGAGATATAGCATTCCCAAGGACCATATTTTGATATTTCTGATTTTCCCCATTTTTGCAAGGGGTCCATCAAAAAAATTTGAAAAAATGGGATCCGAAAATTTATTTTGATGTTTTGATGCAGGATTGTGGAGAATCGGTCCAGAAATCGTTTAAGGTATTCCTTTTAAGAATCGGATAGATATTGGCCGAGATATAGCATTCCCAAGGTCCATATTTTGATATTTCTGCATTTTCCCCATTTTTGTAGGGGGTCCATCAGAAAATTTTGAAAAAATGGGATCCGAAAATTTATTTTGAGGTTTTGATGCAGGATTGTGGAGAATCGTTCCAGAAATCGTTTAAGGTATTCCCCTCAAGAATCGGGTGAAAATTGATCGAGATATAGCATTCCCAAGGTCCATATTTTGATATTTCTGATTTTCCCCATTTTGGTAAGGGGTCCATCAGAAAATTTTGAAAAAATGGGATCTGAAAATTTATTTTGAGGTTTTGATGCAGGATTGTGGAGAATCGTCCCAGAAATCGTTTGAGGTATTCCTTTTAAGAATCGGATAGATATTGGCCGAGATATAGCATTCCCAAGGTCCATATTTTGATATTTCTGATTTTCCCCATTTTGGTAAGGGGTCCATCAGGAAATTTTGAAAAAATGGGATCGGAAATTTTATTTTGAGGTTTTGATGCAGGATTGTGGAGAATCGTTTCAGAATCGTTTAAGGTATTCCTCTTAAGGATCGGATGGATACGGCCGAAGATATGACATGCAGACTATGGACTAATGATTCCTTTGTTTCCTTGCAGTCCCTGGGCGTAGTCCTGTATGTCCTGGTGTGCGGCGCCCTGCCCTTTGATGGCTCCACGCTGCAGAGTCTGCGGGATCGAGTGCTGTCCGGCCGCTTCCGGATACCGTTCTTCATGAGCTCCGAGTGCGAGCACCTGATCCGTCGGATGCTGGTCCTGGAGCCGACACGGCGCTACACCATCGAGCAGATTAAGCGGCATCGCTGGATGTGCCCGGAGCTGCTGGAGCACGTCCTGATAGCCAAGTACAACCTGGGAGCGGACCGGCAGTCCAGCCTGGAGCCCAGCGAGGACATCCTGCGGATAATGGCGGAGTATGTGGGTATCGGTCCGGACAAGACGAGGGCGAGTCTGAAGAAGAACACCTACGACCACGTGGCGGCCATTTATCTGCTCCTGCAGGATCGGGTTAGCCACAAGAAAGAGCAGAGCAATGGAGCTGGATCGGGGTCTGGATCCACTTCCTCCTCGGCATCTGCATCGGCCTCTGGTTCCGCCTCCGCTTCGGCTGCCAGTCGCATGCTCTATAAGAGCTCCAAGCAGGAACCACAAAACCAATCCAAGACAATATCCACCAGCTCGATCCTGGCCAAGGATCAGGCTCACAAAAGACTTAACCGCCACCAGACGGCGGTGCTGATGAGTGAAAGATCCGGAGCTCTGGATCCGGCAACAGCGGCAGCCTACTTTGCCAAATACGGAGGACTACCTCTGCCCCTGCCCCACGCCCACGCCCATCTGGCCGGGTATCTGAACGGAGCAGCGCCTGGCGGGGACTTGGAGTCAATGGTTGGCGCCGGCGGAATACCTCTTCCCATGCGATACACTCCCCTGCCGGCAGCTGCCTCGCCCGCTCCCTCCAGCTGCTCCACATCCGCGGGCACTGGATCCTCCCGGATGGGACGACACAGTCTGAGTTCCAGTTCGCCGCGAAGCCATCGGCCGGTGGCCATTTCCCTGAGCATCGATCAGAATCCCTCGCTGGCCAACATGCGCTGCCGAGAGATGATGGATGGCAGTGGCGGAGGAGGACCTGGCATCCCACTGGTTTCCAAGCAACTGCATCAGACCATCAGCGAGTACATCATCAAGCAGAGCACCGAGGATTGCCGTCAACTATTGCAACAGGTGAGTACACGGGAGCCCTAGGTCCTCTCCAGGTTCCTGGCGATAACCTTCCTGAATCCTTTCCAGTCAACGGCCATCGCTGAAGGCAAAGATGAACCTCCACTAAAGCCGGAGACTACCCCCACATCCAGTGCCGTAGGACTAGGATCAGCGTCAGGCTCTGTGTCCGGCGGAGTAGGTCCTGGTTCCTGTCCAAGTGAACCCGGCAGCAAGACAATAAAAGCCATGTCCAGTTCCAGCAGCTTCGACTCCACCGCCAATCTGGGCCAGAGTTTCCGCTACAAGATGTCCGCGGAGGCCACCAAACTGTTCCAGACTCTTCAGGAGAGTCCTCTCCCTGTTGAGGTAGGTTTCATTCCTTCCATATAAGTGGTCTTCCATATTAATTCTCCTAATCCCATCCAGCAACGGAGTAGACGTCGTGGGCACCTGCCCAGCACCAATGGCAGTGGCGGAGACTCCGGCCAGGAGATGAACGAATCGAAGACGAACGGAGACAGGTAATTGGAAGTCCTGGACTTGTCAGAATGAAACTAAAGCTTCCGAATCCTTTCCAGTCGCTATGAGAAGAAGGTCCTGGCCCAAGGAAGCTCCAGCACGGATGAGGGCTGCGAGACAGATCAGGGAAATGATCCAGCCTCGGGTTCCCAGGACGCAAAGGGTTGCAAGGGTCAGGAGGAAGGAGCTGGAGCTAGAGGAGGAGGGGCTGGAGACGGAACTGGAGGCGTTGGCAACTCCAATGGTGGGCCCAGCGGCTCCCACTCCAGCAGTGATCTGACCCACCTAGCTGGAGCCACTGCCTCCGGCCAGAGCCATCGGATGCGGTCGTATGCGAGCAGCAGCAGCTCCAGCGGAGTCCTTGCCGGCAGCGCGGGCAGCTACTCCAAGTCCTTGAGCCAGAATCTAAGCCGCGGCTCCTCGAAGAGCAACTGCAGCGGCCCGTACGACAGTTTGGACTTCGCCCTGCCCTCCGGAAAGGGCAGCCTGCCCTCCTGCATGGGCTCCAGCTCCATGCTGGCCACGCCCACGCCGGCCTCCGCCTCACCGGCGGCCATGTCCTCGGAACACTCCTCGGAGAGATCCCTCTACGGCAGTCACAACTCCTGCATCCACATGCCGGGTGCCCTGGCCCTGGGATTGGGCCTGACTCCCAGCTCCACATCGACGCCGACTCCAAATCCCACACCTCCGCCTCCACCGAATGGAGCAGGAGGAGGAGGAGCGAGTGCACCCTTCCTGGACAAGCGCTCACCCATACACTTCCGGGAGGGACGGCGAGCCAGCGATGGGCTAGTGGCCCAGGGTCTCCTCAGCTCCGGATCTCTGCTGGGCACCAGCCGGGTCTACGGAAGCTATCGCCACGAGCAGGCCAGGCGGCATGGGTGGCTGGAGATCCAGCAGCTGCAGCAGGAGGCCGCCCACGTCCACGGGCATGGTCACGGACACGTCCACGGACATCCCCATCACCCCAATCATCCATCACACCATCCGGCTGCTTACGGGCTGGAGGAACTCTGTCAATTCCCAAATGGTCAATTCTATGCCTTGCCCAGCAAACACCATCCGCTGCTGACTCTGCCGCATGCGCATCATCAGTCCCATCCGCATCATCACAATCCTCTCCAGGCCCAGCAGCATCATCCTCTGTATCATCCACCGCTAATGCTGGAAACAGCAGCCGCGGCAGCTGCAGCAGCTGGCGGGGATCTGTACGGACACGGATGCTATGCCCCGCCGCCGCCCCCACCCGGTCTCTATCCCCATCATCCTCTGGGTGTGGGCGTTGGCGTGGGGGTGGGCGTGGCCATGCCCATGTCACCGATGCAGAAGCCGCCACTGCAACAGCAACTCCTGCAACATCGTCTGCTGCAGCAGAAGCGTCAATTGTTCCAGAAACAGTACGCCCTGGAGGCCCAGTTGGCCGGAAGGCATCACCATCATCATCATCCGCAGGCGCCGCCACATCCGCAACAGCAGCAGCTCCACCATCAGCATCACTTTGGGCATCCGCCGCCCAGCCAACCGCCACCGGCGCCGGCCCCGGAATCCCATCTGGCCGAGGAGCTCTACGAACTGGCGCTGCTGGAGCGTCCGAGGAGTGGGACACCCAGACTACAGCACTCGATGACGATGCCGGGAACACACGCCTTCAGCCAGATGAACCTGAAGACCACCTACATCAGTCAGTCGGAGCAGATGCCGAACGGAGGGGCTGGCGGCGGAGCCGTAGGCGGTGGTGGCGGAGTATCCGGCGGTGGAGGCACCACTGGCGCATCCACTGCACCGCCGTCCACAACCCCGGGCACACCCACGGCGGTCAAGTGCAAGCCAGTGGCCAGTCTGGATGGTGACTACCATGTAAGCGTGGAGTAAGATCCTCCCAAAATCCATTAACTTACCATCCTGATCCTCTCTAGACATCCACGCCAGTGCTCAGCCTTTTTGCGCCCAACTGGCAGTCGCTGGTGAAGCCGCTCAGCGAGAGTCCCATCCTGGAGCTGTCCGAGCATCTGGAGTCTGGCTAGGAGGCTGGAGGCTGGAGGCTGAAGGAAGATCCTAATCCGAGAACTATTTTATTAAGAGCTCGCAATCGCAATTATGAATTATTTGATCTTTATACGATACGATATACACTTATACATACATATATACAACTAGCAGGTACACTCAGAGAATTTTTCAGAAGAAATTTCATCAAATTCTATTTAAAGATCTCAATTTTTGTTTTTAAAGAATTTTATGTTTTTTTAGAAAGTTTTTTAAATCAAAAAGGTCAAACTACAAAAATAATCAAATAGCAGGTTAAAGTTCTTAAAAGAAAACATAAAGCATTTAATTTAAAAAAAAACAACTGCCGTTATATAAAATTTTATAAACTTAATTTAAAAAAAGAAGAAAAACTTTTTAAAGTTCAATTATCCTTTCAATATCCTTTCGATTTTCTGAGTGTAAATAGAACGTACGTATACAAACATATACATACATCGATCGATCGCGTAGAAGCCATACCATATATATATTTATATATATAGGTATATATATTATATATTTATCGGGAGGAAGGAGAGAGCAGAATCAATACCGAACCGTAATATTGCAAGATTTAGTTGTGTTACTAGTATTAAGTAGTCCAAGTTTCGTACGTTTAACACGCAGACATATACAATATGTATATTGATAATAATAGCGTTAAGCTATAGCTCTACTTATGATAACACTATACACTACTATATTATAATGCCCTACCCCCCCTTTACCCCCTCCTCCTGTGGACTGGGTTTTTGGCTAAAAAAAAACAATGAGAAAAAAAAAACGAAGAACAACGTAACTACATATATCAATTATTCGAAGCATTTATTCGGGGACATAGGATGGGATATATCCCTATATGGATATATCCATTATGTATTGGTACAATAATTAGCGACAAGCAAAAAAAAAAAACTAAAAAATCAACAAAACATCGATTGTTCTTAAACATGGAATTCAAAATGTAAACCAGATATTAAAGTCATTTGGTATAAAAAAAAAAAAGCATTATAGTTTTCGATTTCTTATATGATATGGTATATGTATATAGGAAGGGATATAGGTTCATATTTTGAATGGGTGACTAGATATGATCTGGTTCTCTAGAGAGGAAGGTTTTTAAAATTTTGGGAGTTTTTCTAGAGATTTTTAGAGAAATTCTTGGAGATTTGATAACACTTATTTGTATGCCAAAAAGTAGGCTTTAAAATCTCTACTGATATACAACCTTTATATATTTTATATATATTATAGTATTATAGTATATTATATCATATATCCTGCTGCGGACGGAGGACTTTCAAGGCAATGACGATATATATTTTATGAATTGGAAGCAACGTCGGGAATCACGTTGCGGCCTTCGCCTGACGATTCGATTCCAGGTGCTTCCTCTTGGCATTCGCCAGCCTCTGCTTGTGGGGATCGGGAGCTCCGTGACAGCGCAGGAGATTCCAATAGGCGCGTCTATACTCCGAACTCATCAGGACATAGATCAATGGATTAATACAGGTCGTCAGATAGATGAGCAGATAGCCGGCGATATTAAACCAATGCACTTCCGTGGCACTCTTCCAGATCTTGGCGACCGTGATGGGCAGATAGCAGACCACGAACCACACAAAGATCACGAGTATCATTTTGAGGAGTCGCCGATCCTTGGCGCTCATCTTGCCGGGATATATGGAGGAGGCATTCGAGGTATTGCCCATGGAGGCGTAGTGCGATTTCCGGGGACTGAACCGGGTGAAGGAAGTGCGCAGGGAAGTGGTGATGGGATTTTTACTGGAGAGGGCATTACGGGTCAATATTAGTGATACGAAAAGAGGCTATGACTTACCCGGAATTCTTATTCAGCTCCAGCTGGGTCTGACTCCTTCCCAGGCTAATCTTTTCCAGCTCTTTTTCACGTTCCCGCTCCTTTTCTCTCAACACCACATTGACGTCCACGGGTAGCTGCTGCTGGTCCTGTTCCCGCCTCCGAATGCTGTAGGATATGGGCAGGCTATTCGCCGAGGCATTGTCATCGATGTAGGCCAAGTGCTCCTCCACCACAAAGGGTCGCGGCTCCTGCTGGGGACTCGCCTGGACCTCTCCACTCGAAGTACTCGCCTTCTCCGGCCTCTTGGGCATAGCCATGGCCTGGGACTGGTTCTGGGAGCTGGGGGTTGTCACCTCACTGAGATTGCTCTTGTTGGCCATGCCGGCCCGCATCGCCGCCTTCCTCACCAGCAGAAAGATCCTGGCATAGCAGATGACAATGCAAATACAGGGCACCATGAAGGCCGCAATGAAGAGGAACTCCTTGGGGGATCTGCCGTAGCGATCGTGGAGGATGGAGCAGGATCCGATGCTATCGTCCAGACCAAAGCGCCCCCAAACACCACGCCAGGTAGGTATCATGATGGAGAAGGTGGTGATCCATGTGCCGGCCACCATTAATGCCAAGTACCGTCTCTGGTAGATCCTATAACATTATTGAGAAATAAAAATTCAAAATCGAAAATTCCGTCCACACTTTTTGGTTTTAATGGCTTGGGGATTTGGATGGGGGGATCTGGGATTCGGGAGCACTCACCTGGGGTACTGGCGGGGATGGGCGATGATGATGTACCGGTTGATGGTGATCAGTGAGACGGAAAGCAATGACACGGCCAATAAACCGTAACGCAACATGGGAAACAATCGGCACAGAAAATCGCCATGAGTCCAGGCCCTCTTTATGAATGTGGACGCGGCCAGGGGAAGATTGAAGCATCCGAAGAGGAGATCCGAACAGGACAGATTAATGATGAAAATGGCGGTGGAGTTGCGAGTCTGACGGCCACGGGAGAGGGCGATGATGGTGAGTAGATTGCCGGGAACACCCACAATAATGAAGACTATGCAGGCCAGCCAGGCGAACGTGAGCAGCTCATCCGAGTAGCCTTCGAAGAGCTCCTTGCGGCTATCATCGACATCCGCCTCCAAGTCAAGACTGTCCAGGATCATGGAATCATCAGCATCAACATCAGCCGGCCTGACAATCGCATCCGGAAGGGTGTGAGCGGCTATCGGAATGGAGATCGGAAGCTGGAGATGATCGGTCGGTCTGGGTGGGAACATCGCGTGGTACTTTGTGGTCGGAAAGAGGGCGCGTTGCTCGTTCCTGCGCCGAATTTGTACTAAAACTGAATTCTCTGCATTCACACACATCCCACATATCCCACCCATCCCCACCCCATAAAAAATACGCCAGAGGAGGAGGTGATAGCCAATGGCAGGGGGGGGCTGGCGTGAGGATCGGCTATTGTGAATTTTGGGGGAGGGCGAGGGAGGCATGGTTGGGGCAGGCAGCCAAGCGAGAAACCGTACAAAATATTGGGGAGAAAAAAAAAAAAGAAACAGCCAGTCTAAGCAGCAGGCGAACTAGAAAAACTTTCGAAAAAGGAAAACAAAACGAAACAACAACAATTGGACACCAGAGAAACATTACACTGTAAAAAAAATACCAAATCCCCTTAAGTAAAACTATAATTAATAAGAAACCCCAAAAATAATGGCATTTTTAAAGCAATAAATAATCTTAAAGGCTTGGCAAAACCTATTCTTTGGCTTTAAAAACTGCATATTAAAAAGGACCATGTATAAGGGATAAAAGGTCACTTTGAAGAAGTTAAGGGGAGAAAATCAGCGCATTGGTGAGATAAATGACCGCTTTTAAGAAGTTCGAAGAGAAATTCAGCTACTGTGAGACAATAACTGACGCTTTTAAGAAGTTTTAAATAGAAAATCTTAGTTTTATAGTAAAAATCTTCAGTTGTATTATTTCTAGAACATGTATCCCGTAATAAACCTTATTATCTCTTTTAAAAAAAAGTTTTTTTTTGGTTAAGAAAGATATTTTTAAAAAAGTATGATAAAATAGTAATAGGAACTAAAGTGTTTAGGTAAAAACATTAAGTTCTATTATTTCATAAAGTTTTTTTTTAACAAGACTATTTCTAAACGTTTCCTATTTTTGTATATTAGTCACTATTATCTCTATTATTTCTTATAAATTGAATTAAATTTTATTCGAATTTTTTTTTGTTTCTGTAGAAAAATAACAATATATCGGGAGGAGCATCGCAGCAACAACACAAAATTTTTATTTTATACAACAATTGACTTCATCATCGGGTAATTTGGTAATTTGCCTGTGGAATGGGAACTTTGTTTACATTGTTCCTATTCGGTGCGAAGCTTGTTGTTTCTTTCACTCCCTCTCGACCCACCACACACCACCCGCCGCCGCCGCCGCCGCCCACCACCCCATCTCACTCGTCTGCCCTATTTCCCTCTCTCTTACCCCATTGATCTCCCGGTTTTCAATTTTTTTTTTTTGGAATTTCCAAATACACAAACTAGGGATACCAACTAACTAACTATTTTTCCTAAAAAAAAAAAAAGCCATCAAGCTTGGAAGAATTGTGGCGACAGAAGAAAAACAATTTCCCAAGAAACTTACCCAAGTAATCAATGATATCTCGGGTGACTGGTACCGTACCTAAATTAAATCTAATCTTACATTTTCCGTAAAATGAAAATTTATACTCTGTAGCCCTGTACGCACCTCTCCGGGTATTTTTCGAAACTAAAAACTTTTCAATTCTTCGGCAAAAGGCGTCTGTGTATCTCAACTATCCAATCGGATATGTATGTATGTATATATACAGACGTATATATATAGTATAGTAATGTGTGCATAGTTTCTGGATACTGGAGCCACTCAGAAGAAAACTATATGAATGTGATTCAGAAATTCTATGCGTAGAATCGAATAAAAAAAAATGTACGCATGAGTAAGACTCATACACCACCCCCCCAACTAGCCCCCCCTCAGAACATCTGTGCGGGTCAAATACGTCAGAATTTCGTAGTCTTAATTAATCAACGAACCCGTACACTCTTCCCCCTTCATTCACTCAAAGGGTCAAAGTGCGGGTCATTTGTTGAATCGAAATTTTTCATTTGGAAAAATAGCAATTCCAAGAAAATAAAAACGAAAAAAACCTATTGTTTGTTTTCTATGCTGGAAAATTGTACATAGAATTGGCACTAGACTACACTTGGAGAAATTTAGTGAGAAAAATATAATCTCTTCCTTGTAAAGTCATTAATATTTTAGAAATGTTTTGCTCTTCGAACCTGATGAGAATTTTTAATGTAACAATTGTATCCAGGAGACCGACCCTCCCCACACCTCATCCCCCAAACCACCCCCCACCCAACTATAAAAAGTAAACTTAAACTTCCCGTCGTCTGGAAATTTCGAATTCAATGCCAATCCAGTACCAGTAATAGTACCAAACCCCATCCCCATGCCCACCCTATAGGGGCCACTCACAGATTAATGTAAACTTCTCGGTTGCACTTAGAGGAAGAACCCCACAGTCGGACTGAAAAGTACACACACGGGCGTATATTTAGATAGCTATAAACCATAAACTATCATGTTCTTCACACAATCCAAACCAATCCGAGCCGATCGTATCCGATCCATAGCCAAACAACAAACAAAAGTTCAGTACTTTAGTTCGATTTTTGATATCTACACTGAGGGAAAATAATGGAGTATTTTAGGGTTTTAAAATATATAATTTTTAATTCAAATTTAGATCAAAGTATCTTTTAAATATCAAATATCTAAATATTATATTATTTAAAAAACTTAATATCTTTTTTTCTCTGAGTGCTTTAAAGGGTTTCCATGTCCATCTTGTGTAAACATTTGAAATGCAGACGTCTTATCAGTTGTTGTTGTTGCGGCTGCTGATGCCGCAACGTGTGTGTACATTTGTTGTTGTTGCACATACATATATGTATTTGCCTCTAGGAAGCGTGCTCGTAGATATGGACATATCCGTCGGGATCGCCACCATTGATCACCCAACTCCCTTACTCCTTACCAAACGGAATCCCTATGGCCCTTCCCCCGTCCACCATTCACAAGATCGCCGCCTGACCCTCTCCTAAGGGGCTAGTGGGAGAGCCTCACGCATGAGAGCACTGCCGGAGAGTGAGTGGGGCAGCACAGAGGCGTTAGATAAGAGGGGTCATCTAGAAAAAAGCTCCAAAATTGGGCTATCCATAAGCATAAGTATCTTTCAGATAGTTGATCTGAAACTTCTGGTAGTAGTTATGCTCTTCTTCTATCAACCCCTTTATTTTTTTTAGTGAAAACTACACCCATGCTCGGTGGGACAGTGAGAGTGTGATTGGAGAGTGAGAGGCTCCGGTTGCGGCTCCTATTTGTCAACTGGCAATATCACGACTGCTCTGCCGCCGCCGCCACTCGACGAACTGCACTCGTTCTGTGAAAACCTTTCCACGCAATTGATCCGTTAGATTCAAGTTCTATTCCTCGATTGATATACGATCGGTTTCGGGTTAACGATATCCGATGCGTATTGGAAGTCGTTAGTGTTTTTTTTGTTTTTGTGATAAATAGAAAAAAAAAAAATAAACCGAATGCTGAGTGAAGACAACCTGTAACCCTTTTTGGCACCTTTCTACCTGATCTCTTGGCCAACAAGAGTATTAGTCATGAGAGTCAGAGCGGCCTTTGAATCACCAACAAGCATTAAAGCAATAAAAACAAAAACAGTGGCGGTGGCATCCCCAACAACAATAACAACAACAACAACAATAACAAAACTTAATGAATAAGCAGTGAACGCCAAATGCCGTAAACTGTTTACATTGCTCAAAGCATTACTCACTCACCTCTCACTCGCTCGCTCGCTCACTCACTCACTCATTCACCTGGCCTGGAGGAGTGAGGAAGTTCCCAGAGAGGAAGTGGAGTGCAGTGGAGTTGCAAACAAAACGCATATCAAAAAGGGGAGCAGCCAAGATCGCAGCTGCAGCACTAGTTTCGATTACGTGAGCAGAAAATAAATAAACAACACTCAATACTGATAACGCACACAGTGACACGGTTCGGCGTATTGAGTGCAAAAAAAAAAAAAAAAAAAAACACAACAAGTTAGAACTCTCCCTCCCTCCCTCTCACCACCTCAAACAAAAAAAAGAGAGAGTGCCGCAAGGAAAGTAAAAAAATAGAGAGAGAGCCGTACGATCAACGAGGATTACAAAATAGAAATATAATAAATACTCAGGTGAGAGTATATAGTGTTAGTAAATGTGATAAGATAAGAACTCGAATTCCAGACGATCACATTGCGTATACGCCCCTTGGTCCGAGCCATGACCTGGGCAGGGCTAGAGAAAGCCCTAAGAACACAATACAATACAGATAGAAAAATACAAATTATTTTTAAAGTGTAAAATAATCTTTTTTTAATGAAACATAAGGTTAATTTTTATCAACAACCTTGACTCTAACCCTAGAGTTACTCTAAAAAAAAACTACAATATTTCCATTTAAGTTTTGTTCTCAGTGTGTGTGTGTGCGACATCACTTGTCTCGATTAGCAACCACTCGAGCGGAGAGGAGCACTTCTTCTCATCGCATCACATTAGAGACGCCCAACCCACTTTCCCCCACTTTCCACTTGCCCCCCTTTACAGTAGTCACTCAATTAATTAAGGTTCGACGCTGATCTTTGCACCCCCAAGTGGTGCAAGGAGGTGATGTGTGGCATGAAGAAGACAGTGCCACACAGATACAGATACAACAGAAAGAGATACAATAACAGAAAAACACAGAACCGAGTTTGACCTCTTTAAATTATTTAATTGACACTAATTTATCATAGTACCGATATAAATAAGAAGAAGAAGACGCCAGCCACGCCCCATGCCATCAAAAAAAAAAAAAAGCCAAGTTGGGTTACCAGGGTGGTGGTGGTGGCAATAGTGTTGACTACCATAGGGTTGTTGCGTCGGCGCAAAAAAAAATGCAGTCAGCAGTCCAGCAGTCAGAGCTGAGCTGAGCCAAGATCCCCACTTCCACCGCCAGTTGGCAATTGTCGGTGGCGGCGAACGGTAGAGTTCGGTGATCAAGAAATAGTGCAAAAGGAAATCAAGGATTGATTAATAATCACAAAAAATAATCAAAGGTTATATTAAATAAAAAAATATAAAAAAAAAAAAAAAACAACTATAGGGCCTCCTTTAGTGATTCATCATTGGGATCCAGTCATCTGTCGTATAACTCACTAATAGTTATTAAATAATCCATAAGGAAACAGAAACTGATAAAGGCTTTTCCAAAGATAACCCTTCAAGTTCAATGCTCTGGATATAAGAAAGTGATTAATCAATAAACCAAATAAAAAAATTTAAAGGTCAAGATCAAGATAAATACTTGAAAATGATAATGATTTGAGGATCTTGAGAACTTGAACTCTCTTAACTAACTAGTTAATTAACTAACTTAATATTTTACTAATACAGAATGAGTGACGGAGATACTAGTGTGGGCCTGGATGGCAACTATCCTCCACTGGAGGAGCTGACCACAACCACGATGACACCCAGCGATGTGGACGAGAGCGGGTAAGTGTTATGGCTTTATGGTTATAGTGATGGTGTGAAGCTATCAACGCCCGCTGTGGGTAATTATAGACCCCGGCCTGGGGGAGAGCTCATGATAAGAGATCGTTAATATTACGCGCTCCATTGCCACAGTCGGTGGTGGCAGTGGATGGATCCCATCCCCGGTCTCTGCCACTGACAAAGACGTATGATTCTGTAGAAGAAGCTCTTGCATAGCGGAAGCCACATCGTCTCCGATATGGTGATAGCCAAGGGGGCCACTTGAGGCCGAAGGTCGTGACATCTTGTCTTTGGATTCTGGGATTTTGTCTAGACTACTTTTCTAGAAATATAATTAAGTTTTCTTCTGGAATAATAAGGAAATAATTGTAAATAAATTAATAAAAGATAATGTCATGGGGGGAGGGGTTTCTCAAGAACAGTGAGCTAGTCATCAAGATTTTTCATTGTTTTAGACTTTATTTTGGATTGAAAATTTTAAAGAACACTCCTTGATGTATTAAGTTCATGATCCATATATATTTATAACTAAACCCCCCCTATTTTAGATTCTCACATCCTTTGATGATCTTTGCCGCTGTGATGACTTTTCTGATAATGATCGTGGGAATTTGTGGCAATCTGCTGACTGTGGTGGCACTTTTAAAGTGCCCCAAAGTGCGTAATGTGGCAGCTGCTTTTATTATTAGGTAAGTGCCAGCTTTTTAAAAAAGAAACTAATATTAAAAATGATATATATTTTGAAATATTCTTACCTTTATAGCCTTTGTATTGCCGATCTTCTCTTCTGTGCTTTGGTCCTGCCCTTCCAGGGTCTGCGCTTCGTCCAGGGAACTTGGCGTCATGGGGATGTCCTCTGCCGGCTGATACCCTTCATTCAGTACGGGAATATCGGTGTCTCGCTGCTCTGCATCGCCATGATCACCATTAATCGGTATGTGATGATCACCCACCATGGATGCTATGCCAGGATCTATAAACGCCACTGGATCGCCGTGATGATCGCCGCCTGCTGGCTGTTCTCCTACGGAATGCAACTGCCCACACTGCTGGGGGCCTGGGGACGCTTTGGCTACGATCCCCGCCTGCAGACCTGCTCCATTATGAGCGACCGCCACGGACACAGCAGCAAGACCACGCTCTTCATCACCGCCTTCGTAATACCCTGCCTGGTGATCATCGCCTGCTACGCCAAGATCTTCTGGGTGGTCCACAAGTCCGAACAGCGTCTGAAGCGTCATGCCACCAAACAGAACTCCATACCCAACAATCTCCGTCCACTGGCCACCGCATCGGGAGCAGGAAGTCTGCCTTCGGGGGCGGCCCCAGAGTGTCAGCCTGGAAACCGCGTCTCCTCGGACAGCAGCAGCAGCTTCTCCACGGACGTACCGGAGACAGCGCCCAGCGGCGGCACCGGAAGCGGCAGCCAGAAGCAACCACCCACCCGGGTGAAGGATCAGCGCGAGGTGCGAGCCAAACGGAACGAATGGCGCATCACCAAGATGGTCCTGGCCATTTTCCTCTCGTTTGTGATCTGCTATCTGCCCATCACCATTGTCAAGGTGGCCGACAAGGACGTGGAGCATCCCAGTCTGCACATCTGCAGCTACATCCTGCTGTATCTCTCGGCCTGCATCAATCCCATCATCTATGTGATCATGAACAAGCAATACCGCAAGGCCTACAAGACGGTGGTCTTCTGCCAGCCGGCACGTCTTCTGCTCCCCTTCGGGAAGACCAATGGAGCTAGCAGTGCTGCAGGTATGTCGCTTTGATGGCTCTTTCTAGCTGGAGCTTCCAACTAAGTCACGGTTCGAATTCGTTTCAGAGAAATGGAAAGATACCGGGTTGAGCAACAACCACAGCCGCACCATTGTCTCCCAGATGTCGGGCGGGGCAACGGGAACGGGATCGGGAGTGGTACAACCGGAGACGCCAACGGCAACGGGAACGGGAACGGCAGCAACAACCCCACAAGCCCTGGAGTTAATGTCCCGGGGTCCGGATCTGATCAGCAAGTCGAATCTAACGCCGCCGCCGCCCTCGGTCCTGACGGCGATGCCCAACGGAAACAACAGCAATCCGACCAGCCAACGGTTGCCGATCAAGAAGAACAATCACTCCTACACCAACAGCGGCTTCAACAGCAGTCCGGGAATCGGGAGCAGCTTATACCGCCCCGGAGCTGGCTCCATGGGCATCGGCTCGTCCAGCGGGATACGAAGGATAACGATGGTGGGCGACGACATAATCTTGGAGGAGGAGGAGACATCACCGCTACCATCGACACCGACAACACCGACGGGCAGTTCCGCGCCTCAGACACCGGCCCCGCCACCGCCACTGCCCGGGTTAGTCCCATCATTCGTCCATCCACTATCCACAAGTTTATTATCGCCCACCACAACAACAACAACAACAACAATAGCACCAACAACAGCACCAACAACAGCACCAACAACACCAGCAACAGCAGCAACAACAAACAAGCCACACATCTACATGAACGTGGACAGTCCGAAGAGAAATCAAAATTATAGCCAGGCCAGCAGCAATAATAATAATAATCAAAACAACAACAACACTAATAATAATAATAATAATAATAATCGTAATCCTAATGATCCCGATACGGATCAGGATAATACGATGAATGTTTCCGTTTCCGGCTCCAAGCTGACGGCGAAAATCAAATTCCCAAAAGACTAACGAAAGGCTTTAATTCCAAAATTTTATAAAAAAAAAAAAAAATTATCGAAAAAGACATAATTATTATGCTACTTTCGTTATAAAAAAAGAAGAAAAAAAAAGACATACTATATATGATATAATAGTTCAATATCATAATATCAATCATAAGCAATTTTTTTCTTTAGATATTTCTTTATTTTTTTAAATAATTATTTTAGTATTTTTTTTATTGTCTGCAAACGGCAGAGAGTAGTTCTTTTTAAAAATTGTGCCATAACATTAAATAATATGTTTTTTTTTAGAAATTTTAAAGCTTAACCAAAGCTAAGCAAACTAAATAATCGGATATTGAAAATATAGTAACTATTATTATAATTTTTATTGCTTAATCGTATGCCTGGATCTATAAATTACACGCTTTCAAACCAAAAATTATGAAAAAACACACTACTTTACTTTTAACTTTAAACTTTAAACTTTAAACTTTAAACTTTAAACTTTAAACTTTAAACTTTAAACTTTAAACTCTAACTCTACTTAGTCCTTAGATGATATCTTGTAGATATTTATGGTCAGCAATGCTTAGTATTAACCATATTATCCTAAAGCCCTATCGTTCTGGTTTCCAAACATAAACATTCCATAATTTCGACTTAAGCCCTCCCTTCTCCCCACCCCCCATATCTATCTCTGTCTCTGTAAATGGAACCTTCTCTATATGTATCGTTCGGTACCACCATGTGCACTCCATTCGAAAAGGCGAAAGACGATAAGCGATAAGCAATCGAATATGAATATATATAAACATAAGCATCAAGTTAGCCGAAAATCTTCAGAAATAAACGCATTACTCTGATAAATAATCACGAATCGGCATTATTTCCTGGGAACGTTTGTGGGGTAACCCAAGATCTCTACTGGGATTATAGGATCTTCAAATTACCGAGAAACATTTGCTGAAATCTATAAAGTTTCAATAAACATAAACTTACTTGTTCTTTGTTCTTTTTTTTTAATTAAAAGGTTTTAATTATAGGTTCTAAAGAAGCTTTTAAAAAAATGAAGAGAAAGAGTTAAGAATAAAGTTTGTTTTTAAAAAATATTTGCCTAAAACTAAGAGATTCTTTTATTCAAAAAATATATCTAGATTCTTTGAAGTTTAAAATTTAAAAATGAATATTTTTCCTTTATTTTTAATTGAAGATTTTAATAGTTAATTAACTTTTTCAAACTTTCAAAATCTTTAAAGATAAGGTAAAACTTAAAGTTTGATTTTGAAATATGATCCTAAAACTAAGAGGTTTTTTTATTACAAAAATGTATCTAAAGTCTTTAAAGGATGAAATCTATAATTTCAAGATTTTAATTATAAATTTTCAATTTTAATGATTTTAATTATAAAACATTTAAAATCTTGAAAGTTCATGTTAAGAATAAAGTTGGTTTTTATAAATATATCCCAGAAACTGATAGTTTTTAGTATTATCAGAGCTCTGTGACTCATAAATTATGTGAATTAATTATGCTAATTAAAATATTATATATAAAAAACTAGATAATTAAAATTTAAACTTTAATTTAAGAGAAATCTCGTTAATCTGGGCGTGGGCCTAATCGGTGACCTAATTTTCCAGCTCGTATTCCCCCGATATTTATGGGGCGGTACGACGATCGAAAGGTGGCTACTATCGGTGGAATTAGAGGGGTGTTGGGGTGGGTTTGCCATAGGCTGGCAAAAACTGAGCGCGAGGGGAGGGAGTGAGCAGAAGCGGAGGCGGAGGTGGACGGCGCTTATCAGCCAATACACAAGGCTCGTTCCGGCGAGCTGCATTCAGTTCACTGCCACCGGCTGAGCTGCAACGAGAGTTCGGATCGAAATAAATTAGAACAAAAAAATAAAAGTCTATATATAGTAGAATAAAATTAAAAATTAAAATCAAAACAAAGTATGAGTTCAAGCAACGTGTTTTGTACGATTTGTTCGGAACGCTATCGTCATACGGATAACATTCTTGCCGGTAGCTGTGGACATGCCTTCCATGAGGTGTGCCTGGACCGCTGGCGTGAGCAGTAAGTGAGGGGGTTCCCCTAAAAAAAAAAATCAAGGATCTGAAGTTCAAGTTATTAAATAAAACTATAATGAATTGAATCTCATCAAAAGTGCAAAACTTTGCCCTATATTTCAGTTATCAGTGTAAAGACTCTAATCTAAGTGCATAAAAGTACCCTGTTTATAGTTCTTTGTTTAAAAAAAGCCCTAAAAGTTATATTTTTTTAATTGAAAATCATTTAGATATCTAGAACTTATGGGGTTTTATGTTGCAGATCAACGACATGCCCTATTTGCCGATGCGAAGATGCTGTTTACATACAGCTTTATCTGAATTTTGAAGATTCCGGCGAGCCGGTCCCCAATGGACGTGCCCATCGGGGAGATGCAAGTGGGGAGAATCAGAGACAAGGTCACAGTGCCGCCACCAGTAGCAGTAGCTCCAGCAGCAGTAGCTCCAGCAGCAGCAGCAACACCAACGGACACAGTAACAACAACAACAACGACAGCAACACTGACCACACTAATGGAGATTTGCGGGGAATTATGCGAGAATACGAGAATATGCTCTACGAAACTGGAGTCTATCAGGAGGAGATTGAATATCTGAATGCTCAAATCGGAGCTTTAACTCTTATAAATTCTCAACTCAAGGTTGTATTGAATGGTTCCGATTCGGACTAATTTTTGTTTCCTCATGGAGTGATTTTAGCAAAAGTAGTTTTAAGATAAGATTTTGTCTGAAAAATCGTATCATCCTATAGAGTAGTAATCGGGTTTTTCTGATAAGGTACTTAATAGTTATCCGGCCTCTTATCGCTCTGCAATTTTTGGCTAAACAAGACGCAAAAATTCAAGATAAGAGAAACAATAAGAGAAGAGATGCAGACAATAAAGACCAATAACAATAAATCAATATAGAGACGATAAGAATATAGAAGATATATGCCAAGACTTTAGAACCAGTTGGCAGCTCAGCGTTTGATATTTGAAAAGTATCGAGAGCCCGCGAAAAGGTGCTCGGTTATCGATAACAGTGCTGCGAAACGGTACGCATCTGTTGGGAAGAAGCAGAGGTAAACATTACAATTACAAAATTGCACAGCAAATTAATTCCGGCCTCGGTGTATGTGTATGCGTGTGATAAGCAAAATAGACGCCGTTGATAAGCGGAATAAATAAATAAACAGCCGCGAGTGTCGTAGCGTCACCTTGCGGCGAATCAAACTCCTCAAAATCGGCAATAATAAAAAAAAAACCGTAAGTTGCATTTGGCATTTGCATTTTGCTTTGTTTGGCTGCGACTATGCAGCCGCCTGAGCCGCCACCGTTCGATTCTCGGCTCTTGCCAGTTTCCACTTGGCCACATCGAGGTCGAGGCTGTCGCCGGCGGCGGTAAAAGTGGCGCACTTGCACTCACAGTTTCATTGAGCATTGCCTTTTCCATTACCCCCCCTATAATTGCAGCGTAAAATCATATTTGCACTGTGGCAATGGGGGCCAGACAGACGCAGGGTTGCATCTCGTGTTTTTGCGTAGGTGTGGTGAAAAGTGCAATGGCGCTACTGCAGAGTTACCCCTGCACCTGTGCGACAATCTTAGTTTTAATTGATTGATTGCCCTAAGTACTGGGATTGAGTTTGGTGATTGATTAATTTATCCCCTAAGCAATTTTAAATTAAAAATTCATGTTAATTGAGTAACAGACGCCAGCTAATTGGAGATTTCTGGTGATTTGACAACACTGTCGATAGGCAATGGTGGCTAGAGATGAGCAAGTTGCCAGCCGCGAAAACAAAGTGCAAGGAATATATATTAAGAAATATATATAAGACTTGATTGTTAGACTTAATAAATAATAAAGTTATTAATTATTAATTTATGGCCATAACTGTAAGGTGGCAAGGAGTGGTTAACCTGTTTTTGAAACATGTTTCGCGGCGATAAGCCCATCTCTAGATTTGGTGAATTGCTGCGCCGTGGTGAGATCGTCTTTGTTGAGAAAAAATGTCGACGCGAAAAAGGTTTTAATCCATTAGTCAGAAAGTCTGGCATTCTTTGTTTGTTGGATAAAAAAGCGCAATTATTTGCCAGCGAGCCAGTTAAGTGCGCGCCAGCAGCGGAATTATGTAAAGCCCAGGAAACTGCCAATTGCAACAGGAGAACTGCAGGACTGACAGGGAAAAATAGCTAAACACTGGGCTGGTTGCTCTCCACTTGGTGGGCCCCACGGACGTAAAAAGCGGACGTACGCAAAGTGAAACTGCGAACGAGCAAAGTGAAAGCAAAACAGAGACAGACACGGCGAGAGAGACGGAAACAGCGAAACAAACTGCCAGAGAGGAGGAGCAACTGCATCATCTGCGATGGACAATTGCGACCAGGATGCCAGCTTCCGGCTGGGCCATCAGATCAAGGAGGAGGTCAAGCCGGACATATCACAGCTGAACGACAGCAATACCAGCAGCTTCTCGCCCAAGGCCGAATCGCCCGGGCCCTTCATGCAGGGCATGTCCATGGCGCACGTCCTGCCCGGCAATAACTCGAATAACAATAACAGCTCCGGAGTTCAGGATCAGTTGGCGCAGGCGCCCAATTCAGCTGCAGCCGCTGCCGCCGCCGCTGTGGCTGCCGCCTCGGCCATCCAGCAACAGTATCCGCCGAATCACCCGCTGAGCAACTCCAAGCACCTGTGCTCCATCTGTGGCGATCGGGCCAGTGGCAAGCACTACGGTGTGTACAGCTGTGAGGGGTGCAAGGGCTTCTTTAAGCGCACGGTGCGCAAGGATCTCACATACGCGTGCCGCGAGAACCGCAACTGCATCATCGATAAGCGGCAAAGGAACCGCTGCCAGTACTGCCGCTACCAGAAGTGCTTAACCTGTGGAATGAAACGCGAGGCTGTCCAGGAGGAACGTCAGCGTGGTGCCCGCAACTCTACCGGCCGGCTGAGTGTCGGTGGAGGCGGTGGTACCCCGAGCTCTGTAGGAGGAGCTTCCTCCGTGGGTGGAGGTCTGGGCAGCGGTAACGGCTCCGAAGACTTCATGGCCAATAATGTATCCCGGGACTTTACCATCGAACGGCTGATGGACGCGGAACAGCGTGCCGAGGCGCACTGTGGCGATCGAGCGCTGTCTTTCCTGCGAGTGGGACCTAATTCCACCGTCCAGCCGGACTACAAGGGCGCCGTGTCCGCTCTGTGCCAAGTTGTGAACAAGCAGCTCTACCAGATGGTCGAGTACGCGCGCATGATGCCACACTTTGCCCAACTGCCGCTGGACGATCAGGTCATCCTGCTGAAGGCCGGCTGGAACGAGCTCTTGATCGCCAATGTCGCCTGGTGTAGCATCGTGTCGCTGGATGACACCATGGGCGGTGGCGGAGGAGGCGGTGGACTCTCGCATGACGGCTCCTTCGACAGAAGATCACCGGTGCTGCAGCCCCAGCAGCTCTTTCTCAACCAGAGCTTCTCGTACCATCGGAACAGTGCGATCAAGGCCGGCGTATCGACCATCTTCGACAGAATCCTATCGGAGCTGAGCGTTAAGATGAAGCGCCTGAATCTGGACCGACGCGAGCTGACCTGCCTGAAGGCGATCATCCTGTACAATCCGGACATACGGGGGATCAAGAATCGGGCCGAGATTGAGATGTGCCGGGAGAAGGTGTACGCCTGCCTGGACGAACACTGCCGGCAGGAGCATCCCGGCGATGATGGACGCTTCGCCCAGCTACTGCTGCGACTGCCAGCACTGAGATCCATTAGTTTGAAGTGTTTGGATCATTTGTTCTTCTTCCGCATCATCAGCGATCGGCCGCTGGAGGAGCTGTTCATTGAGCAGCTGGAGGCCTCTCCGCTGCCAGGATTGGCCATGAAACTGGAATAGAGATGAAGGAGCAGCAGCAGGAGCGGCTGACCTTCATCCGTCAAATGTTTCATTGTGATTGCGTTTGTTTGCATTTCTATCCTCTATTCTCCCTAAGAATCCCTCCTCCCCCTCCTCTAATATTACGCTAAATGTGTATGTAATTGTTTATTTTTTTTTTATTACCTAATATTATTATTATATTGATATAGAAAATGTTTTCCTTAAGATGATGATGCCTCCTCGACGTTTTCAAAAAACACAAAAAATCCAAAATACTTGAAGAGAAAATTAAAAAAAAAAAAAAAACAAACAAAAAAAATACATAAAAAAATGAAGCAAAAAGTTAAACTAAAGCTAATTAAAAAATAATATTATATATATTATATAAAGGTTAAATCAAAAAACAAAAAATGTATTGCATAGTTATGAGATGATGTACAGACATATATATGTATGACGTTCAGTATATATGTCGGCATGCGTGCAGGCCCCGTTTCTAAATCAATTGTAATTACATTTTAAAATAATTGTATCCCAATTGCGTTATCAATTACAATGCTAGATAAAGATTAAAAAAAAACAACAAATACAAAAAATCAGACGACAAAAACCAACAAATTATATCTATGTATAAAATATAAAAATGCATAACGAGAGAGATCTTGGCTTTTTATCTAAATCGGTGCTTCTAACAGATCCACAATTAATCCAATTGTCCAACAGAATATATGACTTTGAATTCCAAGAGCAGTTGGGGCTCATAATTGTAAGGCTGAAATGGTTTGTGGAGATCTTCGGGCTTTACTAGTTGGGGGTTATATTTTAATTTAATGAAAAATGATTTGAAGATCATGGCGGAAGAGGTCTTTGGATCTTTATACATATCTTTATATTTTTAAAGTTTTAGATCTTAAAAGGTTTATAGAAATTGGCGAAAAAGATCCTTGGTAATTACTGGTTGGGAGTTATATTCAAATTTGAAGGCATAGGTTTAGGGTTTTTGGAAATTGGAGAAAGAGGTCTTTGGGCATAACTTTTTGGGTCTTTGGGAATCTTTAAAAAAATCAATATATTTTTAAAGTTTTAGGTCTAAAAAGATTTATAGACATATCTCTAGAGATCTTTGGGCATTATTAGTTGGGTGATATATTAAAATTTGTATATTTTCGAAATTTTAAGGCTAAAGTGGTTTTAGGATCAGTGCGAAAGAGGTGCTTGGCCATTAATATTGGGATTTTAGGGCTAAAATAGTTTGTAATAATAGCTAAAGAGATCTTTAAATATTACTTCTTGGAGTTTTTTTTGAAAATTTTCATGTTTTTATAAATTTGAAGTCTAAAAAGGTTTCTAGAAATCGAAAGAAGAGGTCTTAGGGCATAACATCTTTAGAATTTGTATATAAATCTGCAAATTTTTAAAGTTTCAGGTCAAAAATGTTTTTTATAGAAATGGTCAAATAGACCTCAAGGCTTTACTAATTGAATTAAAATTAGAAATTTATTTATAAACCAACTCTCAAGATTTGGTTGACTAAATTATCTTTTTATAGAACTATGAATATTATCCACAGAACTGTCAGAGTTCTTTGTTAGAACCACTCACCTTGATATAATCCTTTTTAAAGGATTACCTCTCCTTTGGGCTTATCCTTTTTGATCCGCACTGTACCTGTTGGATGGCCTGTAGATTTCTTATTCAATAATTTTTGGTTTGTGGCCTACCGCCGCCCCCAACACCGCCAGCAACCTCACCTTGGGCGATATATGTTTGGTCAATTTTTATAAAATTTATGTCTCTCATCTCCTACAGCCCCACACCGCCCCCTTCCCCACCCCTCCTTGAGATGAAATGTATGTTAGTATGTATTTACAAAAATATGGTATTAACGCACAAGCAGCGACTAAGAATAGATATTGTTTTCGAAAAAAGAACAAAACTCGCCTCTGACGACGCACATTATGATCTAAAAATAGTTGAATACAGTTTCTCATTCTATCTCTTTTTCTCTTTATATATATATAAATCTTTTTTTCTAAGATATATATATATATTTAAAACGATTTAGATTAAGATTTATAAAGATTAAGAATCTAAGTTTTGTGTTTTATTTGGAAATCTTAAGATCCCCAAATATCCTTCAATATTTTTGTGTTCTCGCTCGAAAAGCTTTCGAAAGCTTTCAAGAGAGAGTGAGATAGACAGAGTGAGAGCTGTCCACACTTATTGTGGGTGGTTTTTATTGGTCTAGCTAATCGCTATCCTTGATTTTGAGATGCCTTTTCCGTTACGGCTTGCGAGCATATTTAATAAATTTCATAAATAACATGGCTGCCAAAAAAAAAAAGAAGCATAATATTTAAAGCAAAAAAAAACCCCCACACAAACAGAGCGTGTTGAAAAATGTGAAAAAAAAACGGAAAAACCATGAAGGCATGCCAATAAAATCATGTGTTCTTCTTTTTTTTTCGCTGTGTGTATTGGAAAAGAGTTTTCGAAGCGAAATTAACAATTTGGCTATTTTCGTAGTTATGCGGGGGCGGCGTTTTTTCAAAAAAAAACGGTCTGCACCCAGTGGTATGGTGGTGGGGTGGTGGTGCTATCGAAAATAAAATCGGGTGGCCTATGGGAGGATGCCCGAAACGATGACAGACAAGCCAGACAGTCAGACAGAGAAACTTAAAAAAAAAAAAAAAACATTAACTGACAACAACTTGTTGGCCAAAAAAAAAACAAAAAATAACCAAACAGGGTGCCACATTTTGTAGTTATTTTTGTTGCTGTTGTTGCAACATTGCATTTTCCCAAAGAGTGGGGGGAGAAGGGGATCTGAGGAAAAAAACACGAAAGCTGAAAAGTCAAAAAAAAAAAAACAGAGAAGAACTTTATGTTTTAAATAAAGACTATGAGATACCCTGTACTCTTAACTATTTTTATTTTGAGGTTAAATCAGATAATTTTCAAAAAACCTTTTAAATTAAAATGTAATCTTTTTTTATAAAAAATCTCTCTCTTATTTAAGGCCTGATATACCTTGTGATCATAAAAACTTATAGGGTATCACAATTCGTACGCTTATGCTGGCCGAATTCATACTTTCTTCTGCCACCCACTCCCACTGCTGCCACTGTCTCTGCCTCGGCCTCTGCTGCTGCGAAGCTGCGACGAGTCCCCGAAATCTTTGAAATGCCTTCGGGTCTTCGGGTCTCCACCACCACCACCGATCCAATCGGATCCGATTCGATCCGATGCTCCCGCTGCACGGCAGACTTTTCTTCTTCTTCAGCCTCCCACCTCTTTCTTCTCCACCTTTCTCCTCCTCCTCCGCCTCTTCCTGCTTCCTTCTGCTTCAGGTCTCCCTCTTCGGCTGCTGTGGGGCGATGGGCGGGTTTTTTTTTTGGGGCCCGTAGTGGGAGGGGGTGGTGCGACGGCGCAGCCAGCCAACAGCGCCGTCGACGGTGACTGAGACTGCGACGACGGTATTCAGAGTCGGCAGCTGGCTGGCGCGACATCAGTTTTGAGTTGGCTTTCAACGCGAGCGGGTCTTTCTCTTCGCAAGCGACACACGTAGATATTGCTCCAATATTGCTCTGTCCACACATTGTTTTGTTGTTTTTGTTTTTGTTTGGTTCCAATACACACGCACACATCTCTAAATATATATATATATACATATATATATATATACATAAATATATATTTATATATATATCTATCTCTACCAAACTCACTTGCTTTCGTTAATACTTAAAATTTTTTTATAAATTTTTTTTTGTACTCGTTGAAAAAATTAAAAATATAAATATACGAACAAAAAATAACAAAAAAAAAAAACACTAAACGAAGCAAAAAAAAAATAAAAACTAAAAAAAAAAAAGGAACGCTGTGCATGTGTGCGTGTGTGTGTGTGTGTGCGTGTGATGGTTATATATGCATAACCAAAGATATATCTCAGAATCTCTATACATATTATATATATGTATATCCGAACAATATGTGCATATATATGATCTATATGGAATGTCAAATATCGGTCCAACTTGTGTGCTAATAATTTAAAAAAAAAAAAGGAAGAAAAAAAAACGTACCGCGATCGATCTATATTTACCGGATCAGTTCCAATTTCCGATACAAAATTCGCGCTATTTTCTCAAAATTTTTTCAAATATCTGAATCTGAATCTTAATCTGATTCTGAATCCGTATCCCATCCCATCCCATCCCTCCCATTTCTGCTTCTTGCCCGTTCCCTTTGCTCTGCCTGCGTTGACGTTGACGCCGAAAATAAAACTTTTTCAAAACATACTATTTTTAACCGATACGATACGATACGAAACGGAACGAGCGCGAAAAAAAAGCAAAAAAAAAAGAATGAGCAAAGCAAACGCAAAATAATTAAGCAGCAAATTAACGTGTTATACAACGATTTTTCGAAACATATATTCAACATATAGTATTGTACCAAAAAAAAACCAAAAATATATCTAATTTTTTTAATTTTTTTTCGAAATTTTTTTGTAATCGAAAAACCGATTAAATCGATCGTATCGGTTCATAGCGGAAGTTGAGAGACAAACACCTGTGTGGTACCATCTTCTTGTATTAAGCAAGAGAGCTTTCGCAGGATCGGAAGGGGAGGGTGCTTGGTTCGAGAGCTTTTTTTTTTTTTTGCGGTATAGTCTCCCCAATCAATCAATCAAATATATTATCAATCAGTCTCCCAGTCAGCACTCTGTCACACACACACACACGCACGCAAGCACGTACGAAAAATAAAATAAAATATATATATATATATTCAGGAACAGTTCCTTATATCTTATATATAGAAAGAGAGAGAGAGACTGTCGATATATACGAAAAGGATTCTTTTAAAAAAAAAGAAGAAAAACGACCAAATACCAGCGAGCTTAGTGAATTACTTAGTGAATTACTTACTACAACAACTACTAAGTAACAACTACAACTACAAATCCAACATACCAATCCTCCTTCAGCAGCAACTGGATCGATCACCAACATCAGCAGCGGCAGAGGCAGCATCCAGAAGCATCTCCATCCTAGCACTGAGAGAGATACGAGTGTTATCGAGAATTTAATCGATAAATCCAAATAACACATACAGGCACTCACACACACACGTACACACACACACAGCGACAAGATGATGATGGAGAACGGTCTCTCCATGGAGTACGGCGATGGCTATATGGAACAGGAGGAAGAATGGGAGCGTGAGGGTCTCCTGGATCCTGCGTGGGAGAAGCAACAGAAGAAGGTGAGTTAAGAATTGCTTTTTTTGATAAACATATTAGGGCCCCCTTTAAGTATTTGTTAAGATTAGCGACTGTATCTAGAGAGATATATTATTCTCTTCTTGGCCAAGTTCTATATTTTTTCGATTATGTTTCAATATTTCACCGAGACACTCATACTACAACCATAAAACAAAAAAAAAAACACCAAAAACAACATTAAAATCATACCAATAACAACAAAAAAAAGAAAAGCTAAAGAAAAGCTCAGCGCGCATTTTAAAAATAGAATTCTTCTTTCTTGATTTTCATGGCTCTTGTTGTTCCGAGCAATGTTTGAAGATAGTACGAAAATAGTTTGTTGCTTGTTGTTCAGGAACTATACATATATAGGATATGTGGCACATATAATATCACTATAGATTGCCAGCCATTTCATATGATTATGAAAATCGATCAAGATCGGTGATACATATATGTAGATTTAGTTCCACTCCCAGTTAACAGGTTGAGGATGATGGGATGGGAAATAACAAGACCCAACCCCAAATCCAAATCAAAATCGAAGGTTATCATAGACGTAGTATGTATTATTTCCTCATACCTCATACCCCAAGCCCAAAAATGAGGAAAAACCAACTAGCATTTCCCCCCCTATTTTCAATCAATTATGTGGTATACTACCCGCCCCTCCTCATACCATACATACATACCTTCTATGATAGTCTTTTGATCTCCATTTAATTTGTTTGTTTGTTTGTTTGTTGCCTGACTGACTGACGGAGAATTTCCGTTACCGTTAGAAAAACGAGAAGAAGCAGCAGCCAGCTAAAGAACAGCAACTAATTGCCACCGTTTTTTAAGATAAAGCCTGGAAACATCGATCTATATAGGAGGTGGAAGAATCTGAAGGTCGTAGGCAATGATAAGAACGGTTGCTTGGGGTCTGGAAGATAATAGACTAGAAGATCTAGACTCTAGAGAGAGAAGAAAGTGATTGTTTCATTTGCACCTCTTATAATTAAAATACCCCCCAAAAAGAAACTCAAATATTATGCATCATAACCGTAAAGAACACAAACATGTATAAATTTATATACATAATTCTAAAAATTGCCAGCCAAAATTGAGTGCAAGGCTATGTTTTTGACACGACGTCGCCTAGGTAGGTAGGTAGTTGCTATTGACAATTATAAATAGCCAGGTCCGTTCTATGGCATTCCTATGCACCACATTTCCACAAGATACATCACATTCAGATACAGATATCAGGCTAGGCAGGCAGGCTAGCAGGCAGGGAGCCAACCACCCACCCACTTATACCATACACTCTCTATATATATATATATATGTATATATACATATTTAGATCAACCAAAAAAAAAAAAATGCAATGACAAAACTCTGGCCAAAGATCGCAAAAACAGCTCCACAAACGAAAATGAAAATTAACCAAAAATCGAAAATAAAAAAAGTAAAATATGAAGATTTTTTTTTTTGGCGGTCGCCAGATGACTTGAGCTTGACACGATCGGACATGAATGCGTGGCATCTCACTCTCGCTCTAGCGCTATATATAAATTTCGTAACCGTAAATTACCGAACTGAATTCGTCATTAGGCCAAGATGCACTAACAAAAAAAATATATCTACATGTTTGTCAAAAATATTTGCAAAATTATTTTTGTAGCCTGACCTTGGCAGAAATACCTAACATAAAAACAAAAAACAAACTTTGCATACTTAAGATCATTAAACAATAATATTTTTCTGCTAATTTGGAAAGTTATTGAATTTGGCCAAAAAAAAAAACAAAAAAAAAATAATGAAATGTGTTATAAATTACTCATACATTTCTCTGTGTGCCGCCGAGCTGAATAATGAGAGCCAAAAAATACAACAAAAATAAAAATAAATAAGAAAATAACCAAATAACAGGCAGCGAAATTGTTTCTGTTTTGTGTTTACATTGATCGTCAGCAACAAAAAAAGGTGTAAAGAGGTGGGTCGGTGGGGTGGGCGTGGGTGATGAGTAGTCGTCTTCGTACTCTCTCTCTTTTGCAACTCTCTTCTTTTGGGTGGCTGGCGCTCTTTTGAGTGAGTCATGTGTGGGTGCCAAAGGTGTGAATGAATGGGGAGGATCAGTAAGCAGGCAGGCAGGCAGGCTGGCTGGCTGACTGAGCTGCCACCCCACTCTCCACTCCCCTTACTTGTTGTTGTTGTTGTAGCTGTTGTTATTGTTGCCGCCATGTGCGAATGAGTCCATGCTATGGGACCGCTCAAATTACACTCGTCTAAAAATGGGTGTGCAAGAGCGAGTCCGTTGCTTTCCGCTTTCCGTTTTTTCCGAATTTTCCTCGGCCAAAAGGAGAGCTTTTCCTCGGAAAGCTCTTTTTCATTTGGCTAACAAGAAAAAAACAAAAAGTATCTCGTGTGTGTGTTTGTATGATTTTTGGCTATTGGCGCGTGCGCCTTGGCTGGCCAAAAAAAAGATTGCTCAATCATAGATTCTGGATTCTGGTGCTCCTGGACCAGGCCACTCTTCCTCATTATCCCCCTTACCCCCACCCTTGCTCCACTGCTCCAATGCAATCTGACTCAGGCCAGTGGCCTCTGTCGCTGTTGCTGCCTGATAACGGTAATTGATCGGAGACCAAGTTGCGGCAGAAAACGGGTTGCCGGAATGCAACAACTCACAGAGAGAGAGAGAGAGCGATAGGGATGCTACAGGAAATGCTTAATTAAGACTTTTTAATTAATTTTAAATAATAATTATTATTATAAGAGGTCCTTACCCTAAGTAGTTTCCAAAAATATACCTTTCATATAAAAGTTACCTCGTAAAGGTGAAAAAAAGGCCAACATGACAACTCTAGAGGTTACAGCAGAGGCTGCATCAGCAGCGGCAGCGACGTCGGCAGAGCCTAGCGGTAAGCCGCGATCTGGGAGCCTGAGTGACTTGTTTTGGCGACGCAATGCAGTCTTCCTCTCTCCTACTCTCCTGCTCTCCACTCACAGACCATCTCTCTCGCGCCGTGTTGGCCTAGTTCAAGTTGTTATTGTTTGAGTGGGTTATGTGTAATCTGTGTCCGTGTCCCCTCCCACCCCGCCTCGCCCTAGACCTCTTAGCAACCGTGATGACGATCGTTACGTGGTGGAGAGGAGAGGTGGAGAGAGAGGTGATTTGCATTAACAGTTGCATTTCTTGTTTCCAGCTTAGATCTCAGCCTCCACTATCTCTCTTTCTCTTTAGGTGTCTCACGCACCTAACTGTAAGCTAATGGCCAATAAAGTGGAGCCCCCATCTCCTGTTTCCAGCCACGATTTTGATCCCGTTCTAGCGGTGATCCATTGTATGCTGCTGCATCTTATGGATACATATGTATCTCTCACACATCTGCCATATAAAGCGTTAAAGCCATTTGTCAATCGATTTGAGCTTTCCTTTTCAATTGTTCCGGCTGGAAGAAATGAGCGGGATTTACCAATAATGCCCATTCAAGGTCTAGTTCTTCCATAATTCCCAGGGCCATAAAGTGGGTGTTATACATTTCCATCCTCCATCCTCCTAGTTGGGTTTCTCACGATGCCATTCCATTCAGATCTTTTTTGAAAACTATAATGTATCTTAAAGTACCTTTATAAAAGATATAGCACAATTTTGAGGGAGTGGGGGGGTAGTGGTATCCAAAATAATGAAGAGTTTGCAAATAAAACTGGTTTATAATTTTTATATATTTTACATATGTACATACATATTTATGTACTTATTATATACATACTTACACATGTGCCGCCTGCTGCTCTCGGTATTGTCTTTTCTTGTTTTCTCTTTGTTCTTTGCTGCTGCTGCTGCTGCTGCCGTTGTCTTCTGTCCCCATTTGGCGAAAAATAACTGCAACTGTCAGCCGCAGTTGCAACAACAGCACCCGGGTTGGGGGGGGTCTCGCCAGTTCTCTTCATGATCGGCGAAACAGCTAAAAAAAAAAAAAAAAAAAAAAAATCCGGCCAAGCAACCCAACAACAGCCAAGATCTGAGCTGGCGTTTGTGATTGGGCTGCCCTAAATGGGTGGCTGCAAAAAAAAACAGAAAAAAACACAAAAAAAAAACTGAAAACAATAAACAAAAACAGGAACTGAGACAGTGGGACAGCTGGGCACGATCCACGATCAGCTGTTTTGCATGAAAAGGTATAGGAGTTTAAAAAAAAAAACAATTGCCGATAAGGTTTAAGAAAGTCTGTTTTTAAAGGGCATTTATAGTAAGGAGTTAAGATTAAGGGTTTAAAAACAATAAAATTAAATGAAAATATAAAGTTTTAATTAAAAATTAGTTTAAAAGATTACCCTACCTTTGTATTCCTTGACTTCCCTAGTTAAAAAACATATTTTTAGGATCTTTTTTTTAGACCAAAAAATATTTAAAAAATTATTTCCTTCTAGAAGAAGTCTTGAACCTTAAACCTTAACCCCCAAATACCTTTGCTTTTAGACATTTACCGCCTGGTGTAACAGTCATCTGCGTAAAGCCGGTACCGCCATCGACAACATCGAGGAGGACTTCCGCAACGGCCTCAAGCTTATGCTGCTGCTGGAGGTGATCTCTGGTGAGACGCTGCCCAAGCCCGATCGCGGCAAGATGCGCTTCCACAAGATCGCCAATGTGAACAAGGCCCTTGACTTTATTGCCTCAAAGGGTGTACATTTGGTATCGATTGGTGCCGAGGAGATCGTTGATGGTAATCTGAAGATGACCCTGGGTATGATCTGGACGATCATTCTACGGTTCGCCATACAGGACATTTCCGTTGAGGAGATGACCGCCAAGGAGGGTCTGTTGCTGTGGTGCCAGCGCAAGACGGCACCCTACAAGAACGTCAACGTACAGAACTTCCATCTGTCGTTCAAGGTTAGTTCTATAGTTTTGTAATCAGTTCTATAAGATACTATAATTATCTTTCTTAATAGGATGGTTTGGCCTTCTGTGCCCTCATCCATCGCCATCGTCCAGATCTTATCGACTATGCCAAGCTGTCCAAAGACAATCCTTTGGAGAATCTCAACACTGCCTTTGATGTGGCCGAGAAGTATCTGGATATTCCTCGCATGTTGGATCCAGATGGTAAGTATTTGGTTAACAAATTAGATTCTAAAACTTGAGATATATTTCAGGGGGAGAGGTACAACAAATATATATATATATATATATATAGGATCGTAAAGATATACTTAAAAAGTCATTAAAAAATTAAGTACTTTGTGGGATGGATATATGCCAAGATATTTTTGTTGTACCTCGTTTTAGGGGAGGGTGGGAGAACTAGTTAAGTTAGTCGGTTTTGTAGTTCTAGCTCTAATCATTATTGGTTAAATAAAAAAAACACAGATTTGATCAACACTCCGAAACCGGATGAACGTGCCATCATGACGTACGTCTCCTGCTACTACCACGCCTTCCAGGGAGCCCAACAGGTTGGAAATGTGACGCATGTACCCGAACCCACAAGACAATACACCTACGTCCCGAATAATTACAATGTGACTAAACTTCACCACGATACACTTAAATATTTAGCTCTAGCCCGGCATATCGATATGTATATAGTCGACAATAATATATATATTTGATATATACATATACATATACATATATATATATATGAGTATATGCCATCCTAAGTATATTTTTTTATGCGATTTTGCGATGTTACCGCTCATGCGCTGTTGCTGATGCTGATGCTGCTATCGTTTTGCTTATTCGATCTGATGCCCCATTGGACCATTAAAATCCATGGACCTTGACCCATGTCTGTATGGTTTAAGGGGCCCAAGGTCGAGCCAAGGTCAAGCCAAAAAACTAGCGGGAATCGCCACAAAATCGCCTCCACTCCACTCCACAAAAAATCTATATGATTCGCCTGGATTTGTCCTTGGCGCGCTCCTGCATTTTGAATGTTGCTCCGCTCTGCATTTTTGAATATATATCCCCACTAACCACTGGAGAATCTAAGGCATCTTCTCCATCAAGAGGAGGGAAACCTAAAAGCATGTTGCTGAAAATAATAAAAATCTAAAAATATTGCAAATGCCTTGAGCTTGCTCTCTATTTATAAAGTATATAATCCATAACTCTTAATTTGATCCTTGTTCGGTCTTTTAATGATATATGTATGTATTTTAGGATCTATACCGAACAAAGATCAAGTTGTATGAGTTTCTTAGGCATGTCTCGAGTTTATATCGAGTAACTAACTTTAGTCTAATACCAAGGGTATGATGATTGCTATGATGATGATGTTTGTGAGACTAACAAAAGTTGATGATTAACTCATTTGTATGTTTGTTGCTTTCTTTCTTTCTTTTTCTCTTTTTATTATCTCTCTGTGTGCGCGCTCGCTCCGCTCAATCAACCAACAAAAAAAAACAATAAAAAACAAAAAAAATAATTAACCAATCTGCAAAATGCAACTGCAATCGCCACCACAACAACAACAACAACAAACAACAATCCTCCAACACCAAAAAACTCACGATTACAACCACAGATCTTCAGAATACAGCTCTGCCCGATGAACGGGCGGTGATGACCTATGTGTCCTCGTACTATCACTGCTTCAGTGGCGCCCAAAAGGTCTGTTATCATTAAACATCCTTGATCATCCTACACCATTTCCCATTAAACATCCTTGTATCCTTGAAAATGGCGCCCAACGTGGGGAGCCTAACAAACACACATACACTTGCACACAAAGCGCTATGCTAATAATGCAGATTTGACATAAAAGCATCCTAATCCCATAAAAGCTTCTATAATTTGGAAGGGAATGTCCTTTATAAGGGCTTCAATTCCATGAGCCTTTTTTTTGCCTGAACTATAGTTTCTTACCTTTTTTTTTTTAGTTTTCCTTGCTTTTTTAATTTTTATAATTTTTTTTTTTTTTTTGGGCAACTCTTCAGTTCAGTTCAGTTCAAATTAAGATCGCATCCTGCTACCGAATCTGAGCTGAGCTGGAGGAATGGTGCCGTTTGGTGTTCCTGTTCCTGTTACTTCCTGTTTCCTGTTCAGTATTGTTTTCGCTTATTCCAAATCTGAGTTGGTTCCGTGCACCACACACACACGCTCGCTCAGAGCTCACAGATTTGAAGCCATCTAATGTATTCACATTTCTATCTTATAACCAATGTTACCATGTATCCGAAACCGATCCAATAATCAGGCGGAAACTGCTGCCAACCGCATCTGCAAGGTGCTGAAGGTCAACCAGGAGAATGAACGCCTCATGGAGGAGTACGAGCGTCTGGCCAGTGATGTGAGTATCCTTTCCTCTTATTGTGGCGACCGTGACATGAAGGTCTTGACATTTGTTTAGCTGCTGGAATGGATCCGTCGCACTATGCCGTGGCTGAACTCCCGCCAGGCTGACAACTCGCTGGCCGGTGTCCAGAAGAAGCTGGAGGAATACCGCACCTACCGCCGTGGCCACAAGCCACCCCGTGTCGAGCAGAAGGCCAAGCTGGAGACGAACTTCAACACTCTGCAGACCAAGCTGCGCCTGTCCAACCGGCCCGCCTATCTGCCCACCGAGGGCAAGACCGTGTCGGACATTGCCAATGCCTGGAAGGGTCTGGAACTGGCCGAGAAGGCCTTCGAGGAGTGGCTGCTGGCCGAGACTATGCGCCTGGAGCGCCTCGAACATCTGGCCCAGAAGTTCAAGCACAAGGTATGATTATTTCTAAAAATAAACTAAGATCTCTATTATAAAGATATCCTTCGAAAGGCCGATGCCCATGAGGACTGGACCCGTGGCAAGGAGGAGATGCTCCAGTCTCAGGACTTCCGCCAGTGCAAGCTCAACGAGCTGAAGGCCCTGAAGAAGAAGCACGAAGCCTTTGAGTCTGACCTGGCCGCCCACCAGGATCGCGTCGAGCAGATCGCCGCCATCGCCCAGGAGCTGAAGTAAGTTTCCGCCGCAAGCGAACCCACTTGCTAATCTCGATCTATATATCCCCCTGCCTGCTGCAATTGCTGAATGGTGATCCTTGATCTGTGCATGAAACAGCGTGAGGTTAGGTTGGCTTTCGTCTCTAGAATCATTCGAATCACTCCATTCCATTGCTCAGCGAAAGAATCACCCGAACTTCATTCAGTTTTTTTTAGAATGAGAATCTTCGCCAGAAACTAATCGATGATATATGTCTTTCGAAACAGCACCCTGGAGTACCATGACTGCGTGTCGGTGAATTCCAGGTGCCAGCGCATCTGTGACCAGTGGGATCGTCTCGGTGCTCTCACCCAGCGCCGACGCACCGCTCTGGACGAGGCCGAACGCATTCTGGAGAAGATCGACATCTTGCATTTGGAGTTTGCCAAGCGTGCGGCGCCGTTCAACAACTGGCTGGATGGCACACGGGAGGATCTGGTCGATATGTTCATTGTCCACACCATGGAGGAGATCCAGGGCCTGATCCAGGCGCACGATCAGTTCAAGGCGACACTGGGCGAGGCCGACAAGGAGTTCAATCTGATTGTGAACCTGGTGCGCGAGGTGGAGTCGATTGTGAAGCAGCACCAGATCCCCGGCGGTCTGGAGAATCCCTACACCACGCTGACCGCCAACGATATGACACGCAAGTGGAGCGATGTCCGCCAGCTGGTGCCCCAGCGGGACCAGACCCTGGCCAACGAGCTGCGCAAGCAGCAGAACAACGAGATGCTGCGCCGTCAGTTCGCCGAGAAGGCCAACATTGTTGGACCCTGGATCGAGAGGCAGATGGACGCTGTAACGGCCATTGGCATGGGACTGCAGGGATCGTTGGAGGATCAGCTGCACCGACTGAAGGAGTACGAACAGGCGGTGTATGCCTACAAGCCCAATATCGAGGAGCTGGAGAAGATCCACCAGGCCGTCCAGGAGTCGATGATCTTCGAGAACCGTTACACCAACTACACGATGGAAACTCTGCGCGTTGGCTGGGAGCAGCTGCTTACCTCCATCAATCGCAACATCAACGAGGTGGAGAACCAGATCCTGACTCGCGACTCCAAGGGCATCAGCCAGGAGCAGCTGAACGAGTTCCGCAGCAGCTTCAATCATTTCGACAAGAACCGCACCGGTCGCCTGACGCCCGAGGAGTTCAAATCGTGCCTGGTATCGCTTGGCTATTCGATCGGCAAGGATCGTCAGGGCGAGATGGACTTCCAGCGCATCCTGGCCGTCGTCGATCCCAACAACACTGGCTACGTTCACTTCGACGCCTTCCTCGACTTCATGACCCGCGAGAGCACCGACACCGACACTGCCGAACAAGTCATCGACTCCTTCCGAATCCTGGCAGCCGACAAGGTTAGTATTCTCTAGTTTTTGTTGAAACTCTGTTTAAAATTCAATAATTGTTGTTGTTGGAAAAGTTTCTTTGGACATTGAATTCCTTAAATAAAAAAAGGAAGACTCTTTCTTAAGGTTTTAGAAGGAAATCTTATCATTCCAACACTCCAACAACATTGAATTTTAATTCCAACAGAGTATTATCTTGTTGTTGAGATTCTGTTTGAAATTCAACAACTCTTGATGTTGGAAAACATTCTTTAAACTCTTTTTAAGGTTTTAAAAAGTAATTCCAACCATTCCAACACTTCAACAACATTGAATCTTAATTCCAACACTTACAAATACTTATACTATTTATTGTATCTTATTTCTATTTACAGCCATACATTTTGCCCGACGAACTGCGCCGCGAATTGCCACCAGATCAGGCCGAATACTGCATCCAGCGCATGCCACCCTATAAGGGACCCAACGGTGTGCCCGGCGCCCTGGACTACATGTCCTTCAGCACAGCTCTGTACGGCGAGACCGATTTGTAAGAGGCCCAGCCAACCGATGGACGAGAGCAGAGCCACAATCATATAATAATGATAAACTTTAATAATATAATAATATTAATAAACATAGATTTATTATATATACCTACACTCGTAACGGTAACTGCAGAAGAACTTCAGAGCATCGTGTGCAGAGCAAGAAGAAGAATACATAATATATTTATTTAATTTCCGTCTCGAGTCGATGTATGCGACCCCATACATACAACAAACAACAAACAAACAACAACAACAAACAAACAACAAAAAAAATGAAAAACTTCTGAAAAAATGAAACATACATACATTATATATCATACATATATATATATATATATATAAATATATATATATTTTTATGCAGGAACGATTGTAAAACAAACAGCAAGGCATATCGAATATTTTAAAAATTTAAATCTAAAAGAAACACAAAAAAAACCAAGTCCAAAACAAAAACAACAACAAAAACATCAAACAAAAAAGCTAAAACATTATTTTTTGAAATTTATGTTAATAAAAACAAAATCCATACATAAAAATGAAAAAAGAGGATATTTTCTTTTGAGGTTGGGTTTCCGATTTTTTGATTTCCGTTTCCGGTTAGTTTTCAGCCATCACCACCAGATGGAAAGAGATGGCAATAGAACGGAGAGCTATGAGAAGAGCAAGAGGGAAGGCAGATGTTTCGAAAACATTTTCAGCCATAATGGGATGTCCTTTTTAAGGACTCTTTAAGAAAACTTAAAAAAAGGTTTCCAAAAAATAAAAATAATTAAAAAACCATTTGGAATTTTCTTAGCTGGACATGGGGAATTTATTTCTCGATTTTATTTTGTTTGTTTTTTATTTTTTGTTTTATATATTTTTTTGTAACAAAAAGGATTCGTTGATTTTTGTAATTTTTGGAGTTTTTTTTTTAAATTAATTGCATAAATAAGTTGTAAGTGTAGGATGTGTTTTGGATCAAATGATTTATCTGCTATCAAAGGACACACTCCCATACACACAAACACACTGACACACACACACACACAAACAAGCAGGCACACGATTATTCATGATTTTTGTTTTTTTTCTTTAAGGACTTTTACAAAATAAAACCAGGTTCGATCAAGGCAATCTATATCAGATGAGGAGGATGTCCTGGGGATATCCTCGACTTTGTTTTATTTGTTTTGTTTTTGTTTTTTGGGTCTCTGATTCGCAACCGATCCATTCTTCTTGCTTTTTTTATCCGATTCCGATTCGACTTTCTTTATAAATACATTTTCAATGTTTCAACAACAACAATTGAATTCTCATATGTGTGTGTATAAATATATTCTATAATGCCTAACGGGCTAATTTACAATTGTACCTCTCTCTCTCTCTCTAAAATATCTATATATAGCAAGTATATACTATATACCATATATAACAATATAGTATATATGTTGTGGTATTGTGTGATTTAATTTTTTGTTAGAAAGCTTTTTAATTTGTCATTTTTTGTTGAAATATGCAATTGCCTTTCTCCAAAAATGATCATCATTTTGCGAGCTTATAAGAACTATGCTATATATATATATATATAACTTTTTTTTTTTTTAATCTGAAATTTTTTAATCCTTTATTTTATATTTTTTTTTTAGAATTCCTTAGAATGGAACAGAGGCCACCAGAGGCACCGAGAACACCAAATAATTTGATTGTTTTGTTGTTGGATTTGCTTTTGTTTTTGCTTTTGCTTTTATGTTTTTGTTGTTGTTATTAAAAATTAGCATTTTTAATTTTTTGTGTTTTTATTTTTTGAAATGTGTGTATTTTGTGTATTTATCTGTTTTTTTTTTTTTAATCTGTTTTCTTGTGTAAATATATAATATATACAATTTAGTTTTTTTTTAAGTGATTAAATTAATAATATAAAATTAGTACTATAAAGTATATCTCTGTATGTGTTTGGAGTTGGATGTGTGTGTGTGTATATATGAGAAGGAGGTGTGTGTGTGTGAGAATACAAAAATGGTTATAAATTAGGATCTGTGTCATATATTCTAGAAATATATATATGTAGATTTGGGTATAATTGGATTATTGAAATGCTCCTGGGTTTCTGTTCTTTTTTTCGGTTTTTTTTTAAGGTAATTGTTTTTGGATTCGTGCAATTATAAGTTAAGATCCGGTCCGGTCCTATAAGGATTATCAGCAGCATTAGTATTTTTGTGCTCTGCATTTCCTCTTAAAAAATAATTCTGTTTTTATTTTTTAAATTATTAGTTCGTGCTTGTGGATGTGTGAGGGTCTTGTTGTAGTTGTTGTAGTTCTTCTTGTTGTTGGTGTTGGTGTGTAAATATTTAAATCTTATAAATCTATAAACCATTTTTATTTTTTGCATTTTTTTTTTTTAGATCTAGCAATTTTGGTATCTATAATACACGAATCGCATGTGAATATTTCCGATAAAATCTAATAAAAAAATATATATATATATATCATATTCTACATACAATAATAGAGTAGCATAAGTTTATAGAGTATAAGGTATAGCTCTTAACTCTAATCTAATATATATAATCTGCATATATGCATCATCATCTGCATCATCCTTTCTACATCCTTGTTCATCATCCTGCATCTGTTGGGTTTTAATTCTTACAATTATAGAGCTTAGATCTTAATCGTATCCGTATCTCTCGAAATCTTTTTTTGTTGTTTTTTTTTTATACACAATCCACGTTATGTAATCCTTAGTAATAATCTTGATTTTCTCATCTTGTTCCGTCTGCTTTTCGTTTAATTTCCTAAAAACTAGGGTTTTTTCTTCAGATCCTGGCATTTATGGTCACCTCGTGCTCTGAAGCTCCAATATCCGACTGCTTCTCCTTCGCCCAATGCTGCTCCTCGGTGTTGGGGTTATCGCTCCTTGTCAGTCCTTTGAGGACCCACTGCCACCACCACCGCCTCCTCCTCCTCCCAAATCGCCACTACTGCTGCCACCCATTTGCTGGGGTATCACCGTCAGACTCTTGGGTATCTTCGACATGATGGCGTTCTCGATGAGCTTCTGCTGGTGCTGCTGATGCTTGATGTTAAAAATGCTTGTGGCCGCCGCCTTGCTGCTCGTGGCAGTGGCTGGTTTTCCGGTAAAATGCGGCAACTTGGTTCCTCCTCCTCCTCCGCCGCCGCCGCCGCCTCCATTGCCGTTCAAGAGATACTGATTCGAGTCGGGAAAGTTCTTCCACAGCCAGGAGTTGTTGCTGTTGTCCATGGGATTGGGCATCAGTGAGGAGTAGTTGGGCGCCTGGCTGCCGATCTGGGGATTGGTCAGTGCCGGCATTTTTGGCGGCAGCCTCGCTAGCCGCAGACCAGCGCCCACACCACCGCCACTACCTGCTCCTCCAGATCCACCGCCGCCAGGCTGCAGGCTCGGCATATGCTGTTGCTGTTGTTGTTGGTGTTTCTGTTGCAACTGTTGCAGTTGCTGGCGTGCCGTTTGCTGGTGGGCTAGCTTCAACATACTGGAGAAGGCAGCCACCGTTGCCGAAGCTGCTGAGCTCTGTTGCTGCTGCTGCTGCTGCTGTTGCTGTTGTTGTTGTTGCTGCTGCTGGGCGTTCTTTAGCTTGGCATTGTTGGCCTTAAGCATCTGATCCCTGAGCAGCTTCTCCCGCCGCAGAATACACATCCGATTGTAGTCAAAGATGGAGATGAGGTATGGCTTACCGCCGGACTGCACCTGGACCAGGGCCGGCAATCTTCGCCCGTCGGCGGTTTGGTACAATGCATGCGACTTGTTGGGCACCTGATCCTCCAGCGGAATCAGGGTGGGCTTCCAGCTCTTGCTCTCGTGCCGCTCCTGGGGCGTCAGCGTATCGGGCAGTATAACGACATTGGGCGGCGGGGGACCACCACTGGCTCCACCACGATTGCCTGAGGGCCCACCGCCTCCAGCTCCACCAGATGCTGTTGCGCCGGCTGCTCCAGTACGTGGCAGTTGCAGCCTCTTGCCCGACAGGTTGCCTAGCAGGCTGTTGTTGGCGGTGGCGCTGGCCCTCCTCCGATGCAAGCTAATCAGCTCCGGCGGGGAGTTGAGCAGTTGGGCGACGCCCGATGGCTTTTGGGGAGCTGACGCATCCGATCCCTGCTGCTGATGGTTGGCGGCAGCTTTCTGCGTGTTGCCCAGCATCTTGGCCATGTCCAGGAGCTTCTTGTGCTGCTTCTGGTCCTGGGCCTGCTTGTTGGCCAGCGAGGCGATCGAGGGCACCGACGTGATGGACGCCATCGACGGAGCGCTGCCGGCTGGCTGGGTCTGCGAGGCGGGTGGTGTCAACGGCACAATCTCGACGGCCTTGTTCATGCCCAGGAGATTGGTCTTCAGGATGCTGCGGCTATTCGCATTGGCGGCGACCAATGGCGGGGCATCCTTGGCTTGCGATTGGGTCTGAGACTGAGACTGGGACTGGGCGGTGGACTTGGTCGTTGGCAGCACCACAGCTACTTCCTCCGTGGCTGTGGAGGAGGCGGCGGTGGCGGCGGCCGATGGCTGGGAGGACTTGTTGTCCTTGGGCCGGGCTATAATCGTCACCGCATTGGAGCTCAGCTGCTTCGTCAGCTTGTCCACACTGAGGCGTTCCACCGGCGACTCCGCCTGCCGTCCATCGCCGCCCGCTCCCGACTCTCGATCCTCCGTGGACTCACCGTCCTCTTCCTCTTCGTCGTCGTCGTTGAGCTCCACCAAGGGGATGACTGGAACCGCGGGCGCCGCCGCCTCCACCGACGACGATGATGAGGAGGGTGTGGTCAAGGCGGTGGCCAGGACACTGATACCACCGGTGGCCGATCCTGTTGACTGGGTTTTCGACGTGCCACCTCCGCCCAGTCCACCGCAGTGACCGTGATCGAAGGAGTTCAGGCGCTGACGCACCGTTTCCGTGTAAACGGATGCATTGGATGAGGCGTGCGGCGCCAGGACAAGATCTCCGTTGCGGTAGTACTTCTCCAGGAGTATCAGATGCCGCAGGAAGGAACTCTGGTTGCCGTATGGCTTCTGCAGCTCCTCCCACAGTCGCCGCGTCGGCTCGTCATACTGGAGGAACGTCTGGACACGCGTCCAGCCCTCCGGTGTCCGCTGACTGCTGCTGCATCCGAAGGGCACCTTAAACTGCACCCCCAGCTCCTCCTCGCCGTGGAACAGCTCACGCATCGATATGTTCGGGTTGCTGCGCAGGACATTCGATATATCGGCACCGGATCCACTTCCTCCAGCTCCTCCGCTGGTCTCCCCTGCCGATCCTGCCCCACTTCGTCCGGTTCCCGCAGCTCCACCGCCTCCTGCGGCTGCTGCTCCGCCCTCTGCGCTCAGATTCTGCTGGAGAATAGCCTGCAGCTTGGACATTTGCTTGCTGTTGGCGTCCGGATTCGTCGTCGAGGAGCTGCTGGAGTTGGAGTCTGTGGGCCCGTCATAGTCCACCACCATGGGCATTTCATGCGAGTCCTCACCAGTCTCAGCCGAGGCTTCCTTGGCGGCATCCACAGGATGGGGGGTTTCCTCCTCATCCGCCTCGGAGACTTCGTGGCTGCCGTCCTGCAGGTTGTGCACCTTGAGGAGCCTTTAATGGCAATGGAATGACAATTAAAACCTTGTGGATGGGAAGCATCTTTAAAGGATCTCACCGTTTCCTGTAGTTCTTGACAAACTCGGCCTTCTGGGACTTGGTACTGTCCGGCGGCTTCATCAGCAGGTTGGCGAAATACCGACACAGCTTGCACACGGCCGTGCCCATGCCCAGTTGCACTGGGATACCCATCTCGGAGAGCGCCTTCTCCAACCGATCCGTGTCCTGCTGGAAGAATGCGGGAATTTTTATATTTTGGAAGATAGGGAGGGGGGAAGAGATCCTTCCACTCACCGTGGTTATGTTGTACATGTGGTTCTTGCCCAGACGCCGCTTGCACAGCACACAGCCGGAGAACTGGATGACGGTGTTGTAGTGCGCCTCGCACAGCCAGACGATGGAACTGCCCGCCGGTATTTCCAGGTTCAGTTGGAACTTTTTCACGCTCTTGCGGATGCACTTGCGCCGCAGCGAGTGACTCGCCCCCTCGGCGCAGTCTTTGACGGCGCAGGCACGCTGCTGGAGGTTCCCGCCGCCGCCCGAGCCCACAGCCGACGAGCCAGCAGTCCCGGATCCCTCTGCTCCCGATGGATCTGTAAGTCCGCCGCTGCCATCGCCTGCGAAATGCTTCTCCACATTACCCATGGTCTCGAGATGGCCGGGAGCCGAGAGGCGTTTCTTGTAGGAGGGGGCATTGGCTCGACGGTCCACGTGCCGGAAACAGGCGTCGCACAGGCAGTTGTCCACCGTGAGTTTCTCCTCATCTGCAAAGCAGGAGAAGGCTAAAGATTAGCTCGAGAATCTGAAGAATGTGACGGAAACTTACTGGCTAGGATCTTCTGCTGGCGCTCCACGGACTTGATCTGTCCCACATGGCAGGGCGTGTCATAGAGTCCGAATTTTCCGCTACAGTAATAGCACTGATCCTCGCACAACCGTCCCGGATGGAATTTGAACGAGGAGGCCTTCTCGGGTATGAGGATCTTCTCCTTCTCGTCCTTCTTGACCATCTGATAAAAGCCATGTTCGCCCTGACCCAGGCCCTCCGAGTGAGATGAGTCTGTTGGAAGAGCAAAGCCCACAATTAGAACCATGTGTAGGATCGTCCGTGTTCGTCGTTTACAGTCCGAGAGGGGGGAAATGGGGGATGAGGATGCTAGTGACGGTGCCATATGTACAGTGCAGGACGATTGATGGAATATATGTATGTGGGGTTCCCAAAATGGAGGATGAAGGAGCCACAAAATGAAACAAAAAATCAAAGAACTTCTGGAGAGGATTCTGACATGTTGCTGGACAGGATTGGTTTGGTTTATTGTCCCCACAATGAAAAGCAGACAGCCAACTGGCTTATGGAATCGATTGGACTCGAATTGGAGCACGAGTTCATGGATGATGGGATGATCTTGGAATGGATCATAATACGCACTGTACTGGACCGAAGAATGGTGGCTACCACCGTGCGAGGAGGCTACCGTAGAGTGGTTGTTAGTTGAGCTGAAACGGTTATTGGTCTTTCGGCCGGGATTACCCGTAGTTACACCACTCGACTTCTGCGCACCTTCGTTCTGGAAGAGAAAAAGAGAAACCATTAAGTATTTGGCCAAAAAGGAGTAGGAGTCTAGTGGATAACTCACCTCGTTCTGGATGGTGTAGTAGGAGTCTTCCGTTGGCTGGTCGGCGGATCGGTCCGCTGCACCGTGTCCCCGGGCACGACCCTTCTGGAATGTCATCTTCAGCGATTGCCGGCGCACTCCGGCCCCGGCTCCCGTTGCCGCTCCCACGCCGGCGGCGCCCAGAGCTCCGCTCGACTTGCGCGTCGCACTGCCCACCGAGGAGGATGCGGCCGAGACGGACGACCCGCCACTGCCGTGGATCACAGTGCCGGTGGGGAGGCCACTGCTGCCGCCGACGCCGCCGTTGCTGCTCCTGTTCAGCTTGATCACCGTCTTGAGGGTGCCGCTGGACTCGACGTGGGTGGCACTGCTGCCGCCGCTTCCGCCGCCGCCCCGCGCCCCCTGCCGCTTGTGCTGGTGGTGGTGGTGATGATGCTGTTGCTGGAGCTGCGCCTGGCGAGTGTGGGCCTCCTGCAGGTCCTGACGGCGCTGCTCCGCCGCCTGGAGCGTCAGCAGGCCCAGGTTCTGCAGGTGGATCTCCTGCTCCCGCCGCTGCTGCTGCTGCTCCTCGTCGTCCTCCTGCTTGCCGTTGGGCTTCTCCTCCAGCTCCTCATCCTCCTGGTCGACGTCCATTTTCTCCGTCAGCTGCAGCTCCAGATGCTTGACCTGCTCCTCGTCCTTCACCGCCAGCTGCTCGTCGTCGTCGTCCTTGAGCGACAGCTGGATGTCCAGACCCTCGGAGGCAGTGGCGTCCGCCGAGGTGGACAGGTTCTCCTTGTTTTCCTCCGGGAACTCCACCTTGTCCACCAGCAGTTGCTCCGCCTGCTCCGTTATGTCCAGGAAGTACTTGTTAACCATGACAGCAACGACCTCGTCCGTGCCAACCTCCTCCTCCAGCTCGTCCTCCAGCTTGGCGACTCCCGCCTGACTGAGCGGATTTCCCGTGGCGTCTAGGACTCCCTCCTGGACCAACTTGTCTATTATCTCGTGGTCAGAGTCCTCATAGCTATTGGGTTTGGTCTGCCGCACTTCTGGGTCCTCCTCCGTCTCCTCCTCCTCCACATCCGGCGCCGGTTGCTCCTGCTGGGCTGCTCCATTGAGGAGCAGGCCATGGTCGAGTAGCACCTCGGATCCCTCGCCGCTGTCGTCCAGTCGCAGGTCGCCCGTCTTCATGGAGCCTATCGAGATGGAGTCATCCGCCTCGGCTGTGATTTCCGCCAAAGCTTCAGCGACGATTTCCGTCTCCAGATCGACTTCCGGTTCCTGCTCCACAATCTTTGCCGCCTCGCCCTCCGGCTTGGACTTCTTACTGTCCGGCTTGTCCGATTTGGGCGACTGGGCCGAGGCGTTCACCTCTCCATCCTCGACCGCCATCTCCTCCGTCTCCGCGGCATTGCTGCTGACCGTTTGCACGATCTCGCCCAGCTCAGGGTCCTTCTCGATGCCCAGATTGTTGGCCAGGAACTCGGGCTTCTTGTAGAAGTTCCGCACACTGACGGCGCTCACACCCTCGCTGACCATCTCCGGGCTGAGGGACGGCGCCTTGCCCACCACGGTCGTGGCAGAACCCGTTCCCGTTGCCGTGTCCCCAGCTGGCTGGGAGGCGGACGCATCCTCGGGCGGGGGCAGCAGGTCCTTGGGTTTCGCCGGATCCGTTTCCACGGTCAGCGGTTCAATGCAGGAATGGCCATTCGATCCAGACGAGGCTGGGGCTGTTGCGGAGCATGCACCCGTAGAGGTGGAGGGCAGGCTGGTCTCCGCCAGCAGGAGGCTGTCATCGAACTCGGCAGTGAGCTTCTCCCGTTTGATGTCCGCCGCCGCCAGCAGGAGATCGTCCATGGAGGAGGCCATGCTGTCTTTGGAGTCCTCGTCCGCAGCTGTGCCGCCCTGGGAACTGGTTGCCAGCGAGCTGGCCGACGCCGTTTTCCGCGTACTGCTGCCCACCCGCCGCCGTTTCGGAGGCGCTGCCGGCTCCTGGGCTGGTGGCGTTTGGCCGATGACACCCGGAGACCCAGCCTTGCTCAGCCGCGTGGACCGCGTCGAGGTAACGGCCGCTGGCGAGGCGGAGTTCCGGTTCTGCGGCCGTCCACGACCACGTCTCGTCCCGCCGGAAACCGGAGCCGGAGCTGCAGCGGCCACCGGCGTTGTTGTGCCCACCGCTTCGCTGGTCTCCAGTGGCTCCTGCTTGATGGGCACATCCTCCTCGGCTGCCGGCGCCTCCGCCTCCTCGGTTTTCACCACCTCCACCTTGCTGTACTTGGCGGCATTGCTGGCTTCCGCTTCGGCTTCCGCATCCTCGGAACGCTTTCGTTTCACGGCCGGTTCCAGCGGAGGTGCCACCGTCTGTGCCTTCTTCCGGCGACCGCGAGCTGTTGTTGGTGGAGGCTGTTGCTGGGGCTGCTGCTCCGCTGCTGCCGCCGCCGCTGCTGCTGAGGATGTGGCCGCCAATGTGGTGGCCGCCGTGGCGGCTGCTGCCACCGCAGCGGAGGAGGAATTGGCGGCGAAGCCCAAGGTGGAGGACTGGCGGCGATTGCGGGTCACTCGCGTATTGGTGACCTGCTCCTGGGCGTGGGATTTGCGGGTCACTCGGTTGCAGGTTGTGGGTGTAACTGGCTCCTTCTTGTCCTTCTCCTTCTCCTTTTCTTTCTCCTTCTCCTTCTCTTTATCCTTGTTCTTTTCTTTATCTTTATCGTTGTCCTTGTCCTTATCCTTATCCTTTTCTTTATCCTTGTCCTTATCTTCCTCCTGGGTCTTCAGCTCCTCCTTCTCCTTCTCCTTTTCTGTGTCTTTTGTGTCTCTGTGGTCTTTTTCGTCCGCGGGAGTTGCTCCTGGCAAGGACTCTTGCTCCTGGCTGCTCTCCGCCACTGGCTCCTCCGACACCTGAACTGGCGCCGGCCCCGGCGTTGAAGCTTCTCCAGTTACTGGAGTTACAGTGGCCTCCGCCTCCTCGGACTTGACTTCTTTGGCTTCTTTCAGATCCTTGATGGACTTGCGTCCTCGTATAACCGGTGTCACCGCCCGCTCCACGGAACTCTTGCGCTGACTACCCACTCCCGCCGACTCTTCGGCTTCCCCGCCGGCTCCATCGCTGCCGACAGAGATGTCCCGGCGGGCGGTCGTCGGTGAGCTGAGCAGGAGCAGGGGCGACGAATGGCGAGTGATTCTCATGCTGGTTGTGGTGGGCGTGGCCACTGGCGTGGGCGTTCGCGTTTTAGGAGCAGGAGATGACTCCTTCTCCTCCTTGGCCTCCGCCTCCTTTTCATTGGTTTCCATTTCGGATGATTCTCCACCTGCTCCTTCTCCTTCTTCACCTCCAGCTGCTGCTTCTTCTTCTCCTTCCACTGGTTTAGCGGCTTCGGCTGTGTCTGTGGAGGATGGTGGCACAGTTTCATCTGCATCCATGGGTGTGGGCGTGGATGATGTATCCTCGCCAGCTTCTGACGAAGACTCCACTGGTCCACTAATGGTGGTTGGATTATCATTGGCATTTGCATTGTCGTCCAGGGCACCTCCATCGACTCCAACTCCGCCGCTAGCACCACCGCCACCGCCTCCTGATTTCCGGCTAGACATTCTCGAGGGGCCCTGGGCAGCTGAGGCAGACGTTGCTGCTCCTATGATGGCTCCCCTGTGGCCGCCTCCTCCGGCGCCTCCCTGGCGAACAGTTGCTGCTGCTCTGCGCGATCCGATGCTGTTTTAATCCAGTTCGAGTCGCAGTGATTTGGTCCCATTGGTTGTCTTTAATGTGAAGGATTACCTGTAATTGAAAGGATATATCTATTAAGGGGGGGGTACTACTTAAGATTGCAATAAAAATGAAGGATATGAAAGGGTTTAGTGGTTATTTCTTAAAAGGGAAGAGCTAGTACTAGAGTTGGCTAGTTCTATTACTTATACGCCCTGTGGTACCAATCATGAAAGGGTCGGAAAGCTTGCCTGGAGGGGATTATGAGTTAAAAAGGATAATACTTAAGGTCCTTTTTTATTCTCTCCTCTCTAGACTTGAAGAGAGACTAAAAATCTATAAGAATAGTCTTCCATTTAAGGATTATCTTAATATTTCACGACCATCACCAAAACTAGACAACCCTATAGCCTAAAAGTGCTAATTTTTAGCTCATATTCCTCCTCAAAATAATAAACGAAAGAAATCCAAATCTAGGCTAAACCAAATATCTAATTGAAAATGGCTTTTTAATGGCTCGACTCTCTGTTGGCTTTCACCTGGCTTCTTTCGGAGTTTCCAAAGCCCCCAACCATAAGTACCATAAACCGGCAAAGATGCAGCAAGAGGAGCGAGCTTGGATGGCAAATCCAAAAAGGATAATAATATCCCTCTTGCCAGACGGTAAACGGATGCCGACTAGAACATTAAACATTAAACATGCTTCTGCGGTTGGCACAGCAAACCCCAAGCTCTCCTCTCCTCGTCCCCACACTTTGGAATACTAAAAACAAGTTTTGGCAGCAGCTGGGAGCTTGGGGAGCTGCGAGAATGCGAGGAAAGCGAAACGGTAAGAGAGAGACTCTGACAAGAAAGAAAGAAGAGAGCGGGGAGGTGGTTGGAGGGGGGGAAGACAGGGTGGCAGGCAGGGAAGACGGGGGAGACTGGAGCTTTAGCAACGCCAACAAGAAGACGAAGAAGAAGAAGCGAAAGAGCATTGGCAAATAAAGGGGCATGTGTTGAATAATCCTCGAAGAATTGATCAAGTATCCTTGGCTTGCTCGTGCTGTTGTTGTTGTTGTTTTTATTGCTTTATGGTGCTGCTGGGCTATTCTTCTTCTTCGTCTTTGATCCGGATTTTGACAGGCGCCATTTTAGTGTGACCAGGCCACGGGGCCAGGGAGAGAGAGGGAGAGTGTAAGAGGGCACGAGCGTGGCATTTGGTTGCTTTTGAAATGGATTGCCTTTTTGGTTTTGGTTTGGAATTGCATTTTGCACCGGCGACCTTTAATTTCCACCATTTTCACTAACACTAACAAAAACACACACACAGACAGACAGACACACGCATTGTATAAAGCCCCGCAGTACAACACACATGCAACGCCACCACCCTCTGAAGAAAATCACAATGGCAGCGAAGCGAACGAATAAAGGAAGTAAAAGCAAATGGCAAATAACAAAATGAAGACCCAGTTTGGTGTGTGTATACACCATTAAGTAGAACTCACACACACACACACACACACCTTTGAAAGCAAGCACGCTGTGTGCAAAAAAAATAAATAAATAAGAAAAAAAAAAAAAGATTGTAAACACTGATACAGGCAACGAAGTAGCGGAGGAAGAAGAAACGGAAACTGGCCGCACAATTTTCACAAAAGCGGAAAAGTTGTCAAAAGAATTGCCAGTGTTGCCACCAGGTTGCGGTGTCGCTCTCACTCACACTCACGCATGCAAAAACGAAAAAAAAATTAAAATAAATATGAAAAACCGTTCAGCAGTTGCAACAAAAAATTCAGGCAATGGGGAGCATTATTATTGATGGGGACGACACTGGGTGTAGAGAGCGGGGATGGGGGAGGGACACACACACGAAAATTGGTAAAGTAGAGTTTTATGAATTTCGATGCGGCAGCGGCAACGGCAACGGCAACGGCTGCTTTCTGTTTCTGTTTTTTCCGCTTCTCGTTTTCTTTCGCATGACGCGCGAACCGTCCGAACAGCAGCAGCGCTCACTTGTCTCTTTCTTTTTACACAAACACTAACGCAAAAACCGAACGCTACGCGAATACTTTACTTACTTTTTAATTCTCTTCTGATTCTACTCTGTGTGCTCTACACTCTGCTCAGGCATCCATTTGCGAATTTTCCGCATTCATTTTCCTTTTTTTAATTTTTGTTTTTTTTTTTTTTTTTTTTTGCTTTCCTGCTGTTTTGTTTTTTTTTTTGGGTCCAGGACACCGATTAATGCGGTGATTATTTTATTAATTCCCCCCTTCACTGGCTACGCGGCCCACAAACACTCGGCACCCAGCAGACGCAGGAGCAGGAGAACAAACAAAAAAAAATAATAATAATAATAAAATAAAATGCAGAACCCGAACCGAGAGTGAGTTGTGAACGCAAACACGGTGCGAAGCGAAATAACGAGCGAGAGCGTCGTGCGCTGCTGCTGTCTTGCTGGCTATGCTCTATCTCTCTCGCTTCGCTACACTATCGCATTCGATTTGTCCTGTTTTTTTTTTCTTCTTTTATTAAGGGGGTGGCAACTCAGGATCAGGACTCTCTTGACACGAATTTTTGAGGTTAATGGAGATTTGGTTCATAATAATGTTATGCAATAAATATATTTTGGCTTAAATGGTTTTTAGAATCTACAACTCTACAGTTTTTAGAATCTAAAACATTTACAGTTTTAAAAGGTTTTTTAAAAAATATTTATGAACATATATTGTTTTTGTAGATATCATAAATGAGCCATTATATTGTGTATCATTTAATAACCCTTATAATTTTTTAAACATCATTTAATATAAGAAATAAGATTTACTTTATTTAATATTTCTTCAATACGCATGTAATTTTATGCAATATATTTGATATGTATAAAAATTTAAGGATATACTTTAGAATGATATACCTTTTCCTTTTCGAAATATTTATTATCGTTTCATTTTTGTTACTTTTCCATCATTTTACCTCAAAAATATCACAATTATTTGCAACCAAACAACCAAGAATTTATAGAAAATCACTTGAAAAATAAAATAGAATAATTTTCCAGTTGGAAAACCTGTAAGCACCATCATAAAATATACAGAAGAAAAAGGACGAGATTTGTGACATGTTTTCCTGGAAAATTGCTTATGTTTTTAGGGCATTGCCAGGTCGTTGTTATCAGTTTTCCCGGCCTACGTGTTGTTTTTGGCAAATGTTTGCTGCCTCTCGCCGCATGCTCTCTCGCTCTTGCGCGCTCTCGCCGCCGCGCTCACGCTCTTCGGAAACTCGCCGCAAATACTGTGTCTGGCTGTGTCTGCGTCTTTTGTATTGCGAAAGCAAAAAGGACTCCGCCGAAAGGGGGTGGCAGTGTTGCCTAGTCAACGCTTTTGCTCTTACCCAAGCATCCTGTGGCTTTTCCGGAGTTTTTCCTCAACTTGGGATGCTGTGGCGTAGGTTGTTGCTGTCTGTGGCCAGGGCTCTGGGCATGTCCTTGGGCAAAGGGGTTGGGAATCCTGCAAGTGTCAGGTGGCGTATGCTCCTCTTCAACGTCCCCGCCGCACATCCCCCCCTCTTGTCTACCACTCACCATGCAGCCGAACGACTCTAACCCAATTTCCCCCACCCAGGAGGCATTCAAGGACCCTTTTGCGGGTAACTGGGTTAAAGGCAAAGCTTTAATTGTTAGTGGGAAGCGAGGGAATAATCAATAGCTTTTTGCAACGCCGTGGCATTATTATGCACTATTCTTGCTCTGTCTACACGATTTCTTGGGAAAAGCAGAAAAGCGGAAAAGCAGAATATGAAGAATATAAGAAAATGTGGAAAAGTGTTTTTCCACCGAACTGGGTCAAGTGGGCTGAGCTGGCTGAGCCTGGCAGGATACACGATGGCAGCATTGCCGCCATGCCATGACATCATCAATTAGCCACGAAGGCCGCCCTTCGATCGATTATCCTTCACATTAAAAATTGAGATCAATATTTAGAGGGGGGATGGGGACTGTTCATTCAGAAACCATGTTTTTTTTTTCTTTATCAAATAATCGCCGATAGAAGAAGGGCTAACGAACGAAAAAAGTTCATTGCCTAATGGCTAGGAAAATGTGGCATGGCTCTATTTTGGCCATTTGCATTACGCCCACTCGATTAATTTCACCTAGAAATTGTTTCTTCTTTTTTGGTTTTTGTGTGTGTTTTTTTTTGTTGCGAGAGACGCATTTACATACATTACACACATACACACATGGCTTTGTTGTTGTGTGCGTGCGTATGTGTGTGTATTTGTGGAAAAAAATGGCCGACAAATGCCACGCAGCAAAGCAGAAGCAGCGATAGGCAAAAGGCGAAAGCGAATATAAGGCACAAAGCAAAGCACATTCAGCGATAGGTGGATTGGATAAAAAGAAAACTTCCGGCAGAGCCAAAGCTCAACGAAAAATCGAAAAAAAAAACAGTCATTATATGAGTCTGTGTATATACAAATACAATTATAACAAAAAAAAATACAATATGAAAACCCACGTGAATCAGAGAGAGAAAACAAGAGAGGCAACGGAAAGAGCGTGCAAGAAGGAGAGAGAGCGCCAGCGGCCGCCTGTGATCGCGGCGAATTCAGAGTTATGAGAAGTCTTGTATTTTTAAGCGATTTTCCCTATTTTCCAGCTTGTGTGGCCCCCCCCAATTCGCAGACGGCTAGAAAACAGTTAAATTCCACACGCAAACAAAGCTTTTATGACCACAAAATCGCACACATGCATACTATTCCCCCCACCATAGCCGATACACCACCTTTGCCACGACAGACTCTCTCTCTTTCTCTCGCTGCTCTTTTTACGATTTTCGGAGGCTTTTTTCTTCTACTTTGAGTCTAATTTTTATAATATTCTCCTTTGAATATGATTCTAACTAATGTTTTCTAAATGTTTTATGTAAAAAATACCCCTTTTTGATGGTTTTTGATAGCAAAAGATCGAATGGAAAATTTGGTCATTAACAGAGGGTTCTCTCGTTCGCCACCGCCCCTCCCCCCTGACGCATACTACCACTGGCATTTTACTCGCCTGTTTTTCAAGGCAATTTCTAAAGAAAAGAGTCTCTAAGTGTGTTTCAAAGAAAAAGCCAAAGCCCTTTTAATGAAAGACTATAGAGTTTGCTTCATAAATTGCATTATATTCATAAAAATCGTATATTTTAATCATTAATTTCATTTTTCGGATCGTTTACAGAGTGCTGTTAAGCGCAGATATGCCCGATGTAAGCCCCCTGTTAAAAATCTTTGGTATGTTTTCCGCAACATACAAAAAATACCTTATAACTAGCGATAGATTTGTTAAGTCTGGAAGAATACACTGATGAACACAACATTTTTGAGTCGAAGTCCCAAATGACCCAAATGAAATGTTAAAAAAAATAGATCAAAAATTTTATTTTGAGAATGGGACGCAGAATTGCTCAGAATCGTTTGAGGTATTCTTTTTTAGGATCGGATGGAAATTGGCAAAGATATGGCGTTTTCTAGGGGCGATTTTGGGTATTTTCGATTTTCTCCATTCTTGTCACCCAGAAAATGTTGAAAAAAATCGATCGAAAATTTTGTTTTGAGATTGGAATGCAGAATTACGGAGAATCGTCCCACAAATCGTTTAAGGTATTCCTTTTTAGGATCCGATGAAAATTGGCAAAGATATGGCGTTTTCTAGGGGCGATTTATGATATTTTCGATTTTCTCCATTTTTCAAGGGGGTAACCCAGAAAATTTTGAAAAAAATCGATCGAAAATTTTATTTTAAGATTGGAACGCAGAATTACGGAGAATCGTCCCACAAATCGTTTAAGGTATTCCTTTTTAGGATCGGATGGAAATTGGCAAAGATATGGCGTTTTCTAGGGTCGATTTGTGGTATTTTAGATTTTCTCCATTTTTGGAGGGGGTCACCCAGAAAATTAAAAAAAAAATCGATCGAAAATTTTATTTTGAGATTGGAAAGCAGAATTACTCGAAATCGTCCCACAAATAGTTTAAGGTATTCCTTTTTAGGATCGGATAGAAATTGGCAAAGATATGGCGTTTTCTAGAGTCGATTTGGGCCATTTTCGATTTTCTCCATTTTTGAAGGGAGTCACCCAGAAAATTTTGATAAAAATCGATCGAAAATTTTATTTTGAGATTGGAACGCAGAATTACTCGAAATCGTCCGACAAATCGTTTAAGGTATTCCTTTTTAGGATCGGATGGAAATTGGCAAAGATATGGCGTTTTCTAGGGTCGATTTGTGGTATTTTAGATTTTCTCCATTTTTGGAGGGGGTCACCCAGAAAATTAAAAAAAAAATCGATCGAAAATTTTATTTTGAGATTGGAAAGCAGAATTACTCGAAATCGTCCCACAAATAGTTTAAGGTATTCCTTTTTAGGATCGGATAGAAATTGGCAAAGATATGGCGTTTTCTAGAGTCGATTTGGGCCATTTTCGATTTTCTCCATTTTTGAAGGGAGTCACCCAGAAAATTTTGATAAAAATCGATCGAAAATTTTATTTTGAGATTGGAACGCAGAATTACTCGAAATCGTCCGACAAATCGTTTAAGGTATTCCTTTTTAGGATCGGATAGAAATTGGCAAAGATATGGCGTTTTCTAGGGGCGATTTGGGCCATTTTCGATTTTCTCCATTTTTGAAGGGGGTCACCCAGAAAATTTTGAAAAAAATCTACCAAAAATTTTATTTTGAGGTTGGAACGCAGAATTGCGGAGAATCGTCCCACAAATCGTTTAAGGTATTCCTTTTTAGGATCGGATGGAAATTGGAAAAGATATTGCGTTTTCTAGGGGCGATTTGGGCCATTTTCGATTTTCTCCATTTTTGAAGGGAGTCACCCAGAAAATTTTGATAAAAATCGATCGAAAATTTTATTTTGAGATTGGAACGCAGAATTACTCGAAATCGTCCGACAAATCGTTTAAGGTATTCCTTTTTAGGATCGGATAGAAATTGGCAAAGATATGGCGTTTTCTAGGGGCGATTTGGGCCATTTTCGATTTTCTCCATTTTTGAAGGGGGTCACCCAGAAAATTTTGAAAAAATCTACCAAAAATTTTATTTTGAGGTTGGAACGCAGAATTGCGGAGAATCGTCCCACAAATCGTTTAAGGTATTCCTTTTTAGGATCGGATGGAAATTGGAAAAGATATTGCGTTTTCTAGGGGCGATTTTGGGTATTTTCGATTTTCTCCATTTTTGAAGGGGGTCTCCCAGAAAATTTTGAAAAAAATCGATCGAAAATTTTATTTTGAGATTGGAACGCAGAATTATGGAGAATCGTCCCACAAATCGTTTAGGGTATTCCTTTTTAAGATCGGATGGAAATTGGCAAAAATATGGCGTTTTCTAGGGGCGATTTGGGGTATTTTCGATTTTCTCCATTTTTGAGGGTATAGGGTATGGATATATATAAGTAGATTTAGAATTTCTTAAGGACTTTTAGAATAGTGTAAATTCCTAAGATATACCCTTCGCAATGATTACAGAGTGCTGTTAGGCGCAGACGTGCTGTTGTCTCTCTGTTAAAACGCGTTAGTACGTTTTCGCATCACAAAAATACCTCACCCCCTGTTTGATGTTTTGATTTGTTTACTATCTGTGAAAATATGCAAAATATGCATGGAAAATGGCTCTGGTTACTATTAATCTTTGTAACCAAATGTGTAGCTGATGGACAAGACACTTCCGTGCTGCCGGAGGGCTATGTGGATGCAGCACAGCGTTCGACGCACACAAACAACTGGGCGGTGCTGGTGGACGCTTCCCGGTTTTGGTTCAACTACCGGCATGTGGCCAATGTACTCTCCATCTACCGTTCCGTGAAGCGATTGGGCATTCCCGACTCCCAGATCATCCTGATGATCGCCGACGACATGGCATGTAATGCTCGGAATCCTCGTCCCGGTCAGGTCTACAATAACGCCAATCAGCACATCAATGTCTATGGCGACGACGTGGAGGTGGATTATCGCGGCTATGAGGTCACCGTCGAGAACTTTGTCCGGCTTCTTACTGGCCGCACCCAAAACGGTACGGCCCGCTCCAAGAAACTCCTCTCCGATGCCGGCAGCAATGTCCTTATCTACCTTACCGGTCACGGCGGCGATGGCTTCCTTAAGTTCCAGGATTCGGAGGAAATCACCAGTCAGGAGCTTGCGGATGGCATCCAGCAGATGTGGGAAAAGAAACGGTAATCCTTTCCAAGATTAGGTTAAATCCTTCTTGAACTTTTGTGATGTTTTCCGCAGCTACAACGAACTCTTCTTCATGGTGGACACCTGTCAGGCCGCATCGCTTTATGAGAAGTTCACCTCACCGAATGTTCTGGCGGTGGCTAGCAGTCTGGTGGGTGAGGACTCGCTATCGGTGAGTGGCTTTTTGGTTGTGAGACCTTCTGAAATGTAAAGCTTTCCTCTTCCAGCATCATGTGGATCCATCGATTGGCGTTTATATGATAGATCGGTATACTTACTATGCCCTGGAGTTCCTGGAAAAGGTGCAGCCTTTCAGCAAACGCACAATCGGGGAGTTTGTACGTGTCTGAAAAGATTATTATAGATATATAGATATTAAATTGTATCCTTTTGTAGCTGCAAGTGTGTCCCAAGAGAGTGTGCATTTCGACGGTTGGCGTTCGCAAGGATCTGTATCGTCGGGATCCGCACAAAGTGCCAATTACAGACTTTTTTGGTGCCATCCGACCCACTCGTGTCTCTACAGATCGCATTAATGTCACAATGGCCAACGAAGAGTAAGTTTTAATAAAAAACCACTATCATGTTCTCAAAAATAATTAATTATTTTTAGTGATTTCGTGACCAATGATAAGGAGTTGCCTTTAAAAAAACCATTTAAAATTGTTCTTGAATCGCAGTTTCCTTCCGAATTTTTCAAATAGTTTTTACCAAAGAAATGTACGATGAAACGAAAAATTCATGTGATAATATTAATTTTATTCGTAAATACATCATTTCATTATTAATACATGTGTAGTTTATTAAATTTATATGTGATCTCGAATCGTGCTTTAAAAATTCTCAATTATGGGCTTAGTTCCTTCTTAGTTATCTTCATTTTATATATTATTATATTTGCTAACATTTTTCATTTTCATTTCATTATCATTGTCGATTCTGTTTATGTTTCATGTTCTTATTCATTACATCAATGTATCAGTTAAATTATATGCACTTTTTTTTGTATTTATGGTTTTTTTTTTTGGTTTTTTGGTTACCACTACATCAAACGTTCACTAATCAATCAATCAATCTCAATCCATCGTGTAACATTCATATCAAATCCAAAATGAAACAAAAACCATATCGTATAAATACTTATATAAAAGGTAAAAGTCGACATCACCGTCAACTGCTACATTTGAATTAGAAATGCACACTCAAAAAAAAAAAAAAAACACTGTATTCCTATAATTTTTTCGATTCATTATGCTTTTCTTTTTTATATATATATGTTTTATATTTATATTTTTTTTTCACAATTTTCTAATTTGGGTATACACAAATTCAAAGAGTAACAATGGGCCTCTGAAGCGAGATCTCTTCACTCTTTCCTTTAATTAATATTATTAATTTTTTTTTGTTTAGCATATGGAAGGATCTACTTCGTTCTTTTTTTTATTGAATCTTTTTTGAATTATTGATTTTCCTTCCAAAAATCAATACACCATATACATATACACCTAGTATACATATATATATATTTTATATGTAGGGGAGGGGATTTTTTTTATTAATATTATTTTATGAAATTTTTTTTGTTTTTTTTTTTTTTTGTTTTTTGTTTCATTGCATCAGTCCCATAATTTGAGTTGTAGGCTTGGGTTGTTTCCTCAAGATCAAGATCCAGATTTAAGCACCATAAGAAGTTCAAATTGCATCCACGCTATACACTATATATGGGGACTTTATGGATCAGATCACGCACGGTTACGACTCCGGCGGATGCAAATCGATTTCTAAGCAAGCGGATTTTTGGGGTGCCGGATTTTTTTTGGTTTTGTTTGGTTGGGAGTGCTTACTGAAGGTTGAGCATTCTATCCGGAAAGGGGACTATATAGGGTTAGTGGGGGCTGGGTGGTCACCTATGTATGTAAGTCATTAAAATTAGCTAACTAATGTTTATGTCTCGAGACGCCAGATGTATTTACAAAGACACTTTCTTTCTGCAGCGAATCCTCCATCTGGTTAATCAAATGGGGTTTTTTGGAACTAGGACAGGATAGGACTGGGAAGAGTGATATAGGGTCATAGGTTAAAGGGTCCTTTGATTGATTTTTGAATCTCGATTACAATTACATTTAAAGTCTAACACTTATCCGATAACACGCTGTGCAAAAATATTTTTTTTTTCTTCAGATCTCATTGTCTGTTTTTCTGATTTTTTTTTATTTTTTAATTTTTTTATACTCTACAAAAAATGTTAATCCTTATAGCCTTCAGCCCCTTAACTCGTCTTCTTCTTCTGAGAATTTTCAATAATATTTTTTTGTGTGTTTTTTTTTGCCATATTTGTATTCTGTAATTCAGATATATAGATTATTATACATTTTGTAGCAGTTAAGGTAATTGAAAAATATTATTTAAATTTTAAAAACTTGTAATTTTTAAAATATAATATTTTTCAGTTCCCATGACTGCTAAGAAAATGCCTCATATTTGTATATGTACTTAAAATATGCTTGCTATTTGGTATTTTCTTATTTTTTTCATTTATACGTTTTTTTTATTCACTGTTTTTTGTTTTTTTTTAGCTTTTTCGTAAAAAAACTCTCTACAGAAAAAAATCGAAAATAACATTTTGAAGGCAATTTGATGTCAGACTCTTGCATATTTCTCATTTTCTTTTTTTGTTTTTTTTTTGTCTTTTTCTCGGCTTCTTCCGAAGACAATCTTATTTGTTTCTTCTTCTGTTTCTCCATTAGCACATTTTCTTCTCATTTTTTTATCCTTTTTTTCATAAAGGTTTCTTTCAGAAGGAATTTTGGGGCTTTTGGAGGGATCAAGGACACGTTTATTATTTGGGTTTTGCTATCTACATTAAGTATTTCTTCCATTTTCCCTTTCAGGTTCCATTCTTTCCATTAAAAATAAAAGAAAACTTTGATAAAATAATGAATTAAAAAAATAATCAAAAGTGTTGCATATTTTTTTGGGCTTGGGAAAAATGCACTGAGAGATGGCGCCACTGAGACAAGTGTCAAGTAGATAAGGACATCTAAGATCTTTGGGGGGGGGGAATCTAAGATTAAATTAAAAAAAGATAAAAACATATTCAAGAATTACATTTATTCAAAAATGTTGTTAAAAAAATGTATACAGACAGCAAAAAAATCAACAAAATTAATACATTTACAAAATAAAACGTAGTACGGCGACACGATTACGATATATCGTATTAACCGGGTTATACAATAATAAAAAAAAAATAATCCTTTCATTTCTTTTTCTTTTCTTATCTTTGTTTTTGTTTTCTATTTTCTTTCTTTCTCTCTCATTCACTTTCTTCTTGCTTCTTGCTTGTTGGTTTCTTATCTTTCTCCTCTTAAACTTTCTCTCTGGTTGTATGTACTATGCGTAATTTTATGTGTAGTATCTGTATATATATATATAGTATATATATATAGTATATTTAAAAAAAAAATAATATGCATAATTAGAACTAGAGTTATGTGGTTTTTTATGTGTGTTTTTTGTGTTTTACATACATTGGTAAATCCTAAATGTAGAATCGTGATTATGATTTTCTTAACTTAGGTATAGAGGGTGTATGTGTATGTGTTTATGTGTAGGTGTATGTGTATGCCACCCCTTTTACCCCTCGTCCCGTCGTCCCCTCTCAGATCCTCGGGTATATAATATAATATATATATATATTAATTAACGGGCAAATGCTTGTGAGTCAGTATTCAGTATAAGATGCAGTTTTTTTTTTGTTTTTCATTTGGGAACCTTTTTTTCTTTTTTTTTTTTTTAATTCCCTAACACATATATATATATATATAAAGTCTAGCATGTATGTGTGTGTGTGTTTGTATATAACATGTGTGTGTGTGGGGGTGTGGGATGTGGGGGGTTTGAGGGGCTAGTTTTTTTTTTTATTTAATTGTTAACTAACAGTAATCTGCAAGAGTGGCGAGCCAAAACGAAAAAAAAAAAACAAAAAAAATATATGTATATATATGTATGCTTGATGTGTCAGTCCAGCCTACTTCCGTGTATGTTTCCGTTTCCGCTTCCGCTGCCATGGCCGCTTCCACTTCCGTTTCCGTTGCCACTTCTCATAATTAATTCCTACTACTCACTAAACTCTAGCTACACGGACTTTTTGACTCTACAATTGATGCCCTCCTCTCTTTCTAATGCCCTCTCTCTGTCACACACGTTATCTCTCTCTCGCTTTCTTTTTCTACATTTATGCGTGTGTGAGTGTGTGATATATATTTTTAATGCCTATAATTTACATTGATTAAAGTAGCAAAAAAAAAAAAAAAAGAAATTAATATTTTCGATAAAATAGATAACTGACAATATATGCTTGCTTATATAGCTGTGTGTGTGTGTGTGTGTGGCATTGTGGCTACTTTTCTTTTCTTTTTTTTTCTTTAAACTTTACCTACTCGTTACATTACATACTCGTTACTCGTTACATATTCGTTACATCGTACTCTCGTTATATCCATTTCCTGTTTCTTGTCTATGCTTCTTTCCCAAAAAACACAAACAGTTTGTAAAAAAAAAAATAATAATATATATATATATGATTACATGCTTAAATCTTTCAATATATATATATATATTTATGTATGTGTGTGTGTGTGTGTGGGGTGAGGATCAATGCTTGTGTTTTTGTTGTTGTTGTTTTTTGTAGAAAATGGGATACAGGAAATCCAACAAACATTCTTTTTTTTTTTTTTTGGATAAAAACTAAAATACATCAATTACGGTCTACATTATTCATGTAGCAAATATTAATAATAATTCATAAATTCTAATAATCATAATTAATAATAATAATCATAATAGTAATAATCGATAATGAATAGTTAATAGGTAGAATTCCATAATGGATTTATCTTCTCTTCTCTTATAAACTTTCTTCTTTTTTTTTTTGTAATCTTAGTCCCTAATGGGGTAATCATAATCATAATAATTAATTAATTCAATTAGTTAATTAATTCATTATCAATATTATCAATATTATATAATTCATAATATAAAAAAACATGCTCTACGTGTACGATTCTAAAATAATTCAGTCATCAGGTAACATTGTTTTGAACACAACTACAGTAACAGAAGCTGAGGTTGCTGGCGGGGCTAGGCCGGGGCCGGGGCCGGGGCCGGGGGCTAGGGCGGGTTGTTGATTATGGGCGGTACTGTTTGTGGGTGTTGTTAGGGTTGTGGCAGTTACAGTTATAGTGGGCGTGGCAGTGGTGGCAGTGACAGTATTGGTGGCAGTGGCTGTGGCAGTGGCGAGTTGTATATAATTATTATTATTTATATTATTATTATTATTATTATTAATAATATTTAAATTGTTATTGTTGTGTTGTTGTTGTTGTTGTTGTTGTTGTGTTGGTGCTGTTATTGTTGTTGTTCTGTTGGTTCTGCTTGTTGTTGTTGTTTTAATTGATAATTGTTGTTGTTGTTGTGGCAGTGATTGTTGCTGGTGTATTGTGGTTGCAACTCCTGTTGCTCCAGTCCATTGATGTTGTTGCTGTTGTTGTTGCTGATGTTGCATTGTTGCTGTTGCTGCTGCTGCTTGTATTGCAAATGATAATGATAATGATGATGATTTTGATGATTTTGATGATAATGATTTGGATGATTTCGATAATGCATTCAGTATTGTGGCAGTGGCTGTGGCAGTGGCAGTGTTTCGTGTGGCATCGCCATCCTCATCATCGGTTTGTGTCTGCATGTTGCATGTATTGCCTCCAGTGGTTGTTGTTGCTACTGTTGCTGTTGTTGCTACTGTTGCTGTTGCTGCCCTTCCTGTTGCCTGCAACAGTTGTCGGCTTGTTGTACAGTTGCCGTTGAGCAATCGCAACGATGTTGTCCTGCCGCCGGCCACCACTGGCAAGGAGGATACATAGATGGGGAATTATTGCCAACTCACAAGGCTCACAACTCTTTCTGCTTACCATTCGCCATAGCACTCTGATTGACACTTGAAGTCTGGCGATGGCGATTAAGGATATGGGTTTCAGTGGCTGCCATGCTGCCCACTCCCGATCCCGATCCAGATCCAGATCCTGTTGCTTTATTGCCACCAAAGTTGATGATTCTTCTTGGCAGTTTTTGTTGTTGCTGCTGTTGCTGCTGTTGCTGTTGTTGCTGATGTTGCAGTTGCAACTTTTGTTGCTGTTGTTGTTGCTGTTGGCGGGCAGTGGCTATTTCACTTAAACTGGCCAAAGTAACTGCTGTCTTCAGCACATGGGCAGGTGTGGGTGATGTGGTGGTTGCCACTATCTTGTTGTTGCTTATTGATGTTGCTGTTGTTGTTGTTGTTGTTGCAACTGGTGATGTTGCAGGTGGCATAGAACGTTGCGACATTAAGGCCGTGTGTAATATTGATGTATATTGTTGTTGTTGTTGTTGATGGTCAAGTCTTTTGCTCTCTTCTAAACTGTGGCTATTGCTGCCGCCCGTTGTTGCTCCTTGTGCCCCTGCTGCTCCTGCTGCTCCTGATCCTGCCATGTTATTGCTACTCTGCGAGTAATCCCGGGCAGTATCTCTGGCTATTTGCTCGGCAGCTGCCGTTAAAGTCGCCAATGTGGCCGCCGCTCCACTCAGCAACGAAGTCTTTAAAATGGACGTGGATCTGGAGGTCTGCTGCTCCTCCATTTGCTCCTGCTCCTGTTGCTCCTCCTCCTCCTCTACCTCCTCCTCCAGGCTCTGATCCTGCACAGATCCAATCTCGATCTTAATCTTGGGCAGCAGCTTCTGTTGCTGTTGCTGCTGTCGGATCCTGCGATGTGGTATTGTTAGCGAACCCAGTTGTTGGTTTGATGATGGTGGTGGTGGTGGTGGTGATGGTGGTGTTACTGCTGCTCCGCCTCCTTCCGCGGGGGGTGGTGGCTGGTGGGGCAGCAGGCCGTGCTCAAGCATCTGCTACCTTATGCTCGCCGAGTTGAGCACGAAGGGCACATAGAACATTTTGCTTTCGAGGAGCAAACTGGCGGCCGCTTGGATCTGGAAGAAGGATTATATAGAATCTGGATATCTGGAAGAAGGGAACTCTCAAGAAGAACTCACCTCTGGTATGTGGGAGAGGAGCTCACTGAGCCTGGCCTGTGGATTCTGGGGCGAGGAGTTCTGCAAGTAGGAGCGCAGCACCTGGACATACCGCTCCTGGATGCTCTCCAGTTCCACTTCTGCTGGAGTTTCAAAAAGGTTATCGAATAAAAACTATCGAATATATATCGCTTTTTGGGATCAACCACTACTACGTACCTTTATTCAGCAGGATATAGACCTTCAGGCAGACATACTCCTCCATCTTGAGCTTGATGCGCCGGAACATGATCGTGATCTGGGTCATCTTGTCCACCATATGACCGACGTCCAGCTTCAGCTGCTCCATGGCGATCGGCTGGCCCATCAGCGTCGTCAGGCACGTCTGCAGGGTACTCAGATGTGAGTTCACTTCGCTCACAAACTCCGGATCGTCCTTGTGCAACGGTTGGGCGGGTGACTGCATCGGTGTGGCTGTGGGCGTGGCCAGGGGCGTATTTGCGGGAGAACCATGCCGACTCCCAGCAGTATCGCCACCACCACCTCTCCGTTTGCCGTGCAATGCCTGGTAGGCGGCCGTTGTCAGGATGAGGATCTCGTGCCACTTGTCCGTCAACAGCTTTGTGTGAATCTCGACGGGTATTTCCAGATAGAAGGGTAGCTTCTTTGTCCACGACACCAGCTTGTGAACGATGGAGTCACCGATGTTGCACAGCTTTTCACTAATCTCGGACTTGTCCTCGAGGAATTCGCTAAAGTGCGGCAGCGTGGCAATGTCCTCCATGGCGTCACAGTCGATGAGGGTCTGGATCATGGAGAGGGCGTGCTCGTACGAGATCTGTCGATCCTTCGAAGAGCTAACCGCCGAGTCCAGACGATGTCGCAGATGGACAATCTCGCTGGGATTGGTCAGAGCTGTTTTCAGGATCGTTCCGTTCATCAGATGTGGCGGCAACTGGGCACCACCTCCTCCTCCTCCTCCTCCGCCGGCACCGTTGCCATTTCCAGAGGCACCGGACTGGTGGTTCTGTTGCTGGTGCGGGGAGCTCATCAGTTGCTGCTGCGCCTGCTGCTGCTGCTGGGCAGGACTATGCATGGGTGCTTGCAACACCTCGGTCTTGAGCACGGGACCCAAGAACATCGGTTTCATGTCCACCAGCTTCGCCTGCTGCTGTTGCTGCTGCAGTTGTTGTTGCTGCTGCTGTTGCTGTTGCTGGTGCTGGGCGGCTGCTGCCACCGCGGCGGCCAGTTGCTGCTGCTGGGGGGAGAGCAGGTGGTGCGGCGATAGCTGCGGATGGTGTTGCTGTTGCGGGTGGTGCGACTGATGGTGCGAATGATGGTGCAGCGGCGAGTGCAGCTGCGGATGTTGCTGCTGTTGCTGGAGTTGCTGGTGTTGCTGATGTTGCTGCTGCTGCTGTTGCTGGTGCTGCTGCTGGGCGGCGGCGGCGGCCTGTTGCTGCTGCTGCGCCGCCTGCTGCTGCTGCTGCTGTTTCTGGTTGGTTTTCTTGTGCTTCTTGTACTTGACCTTGTAGAGGTTGTAGACGGCGCCACTGTTGCGACCGCCCGGCATTCGATCCTCGCGAACGGCTACAGGAATACAGAAGAGATACGGATACGGGGTGTCAAGGATGGGGGATAATGGAATACAACAATACTGACCTTGCAGCACCATGCCCTGCTCGATGCACTTCTTAAAACGACAATACTGACAACGGTTGCGCTGTGCTTTGGTTATCTCGCAGGTGCCATCCGCCACGCAGGTGTAGACCCTTCGGTTCTGCACCGTCCGCTTGAAGAAGCCCTTGCACCTGCAAAGGATCCCGATTACGATCCAGATTACTGGAGAAACTAGTGATGGAACTTACCCCTCGCATGTTATGATGCCGTAGTGAAGGCCTGTGGCCTTGTCCTCGCAGATCATGCACACGAGCGGCTGCTCATCCTCGTCGGTGGGCTCGTGCGGCGCCTCCAGGCCACCGCCGACCCGTCCGCCGCCACCCAGGCCGCCCGCTCCCCCGCCCAGGCCCGTGGAGTTCGAGCTGCCCCACTGCTGTTGCTGGGCGCTGAGGTTCAGGGCCTGGAGCTGGCCCGGCGGCAGCTGTGAGTAGTCGCCGGCCCACAGCCGTTCCATGTTGAGGGCGTGGGGTGTGCGGAAGGGGTGCGGCCGCGCGCGCATGTCCTGGATGCGTGTCTGTCCCAAGGACAGCAGCAACTGGGCGGCCTCTTCGTTATTCTGCGGGGTAACCGATGACGGGGTCAAAGATCCTCCGCCTCCGTTGCCACCGCTACTCCCACCGCCTCCTCCGCCGGAGGACGAGGGCGTCAGGGAGCCGGCCGAGGGCGAGGAGAGGCAATGCTGTTGCTGGTGGTGCGGCGACTGCTGCTGTTGCTGCTGCTGGTGCTGCTGCTGCTGTTGCTGCTGCGACTGTTGCTGCTGCTGCGGCGATTGCTGCGGATGCTGGCCGGGATGCTGCAGGTTGGGCGGCGGCGGCTCGTAGCCCCAGACCATGGTGCGGACGCCACAGCTCTCGCCCATGATCACCGTGGGGGTGCCGCGTGGCGGCGTCTGCGAGGGGGTTTGCGGCGACAGCTGCGACGACGAGGACGAGGAGGAGGGATGCGGCGAGGGGCACTGCACTGTGCCCACCCCACCGCCCTGTCCGCCGCCCACGCCCACGCCCACTGGTCGCAGGTTGCCGAGCGGGCCGCCAATCACTTCCGGCTTCACGCCATTGATCCGGGCATTCGTGAAGCACACCATCCTCTGAGCCGCCACGGCGGCGGCGGCTGCAGCGGCTGCTCCTCCGGCGGACTGCATCAGATGCGGCAGCCCAACGGCCACCTGTTGGTGCACCTCGCTCTTCACCCGCAGGAAGATGGCCGCGTCCCGGTTGCTGTTCCGCAAGGCCAACGATGCCGGATGCATCAAGGCCAGGGCCTGCGGCTGCTGTTGCTGCTGCTGGTGGTGTTGCTGCTGCTGCTGCTGGGCATGATGCTGTTGTTGTTGTTGCTGGTGGTGGTGCTGCTGCTGTTGCTGCTGCAGGTGGTGCTGCTGCTGCTGCTGTTGCTGCTGCTGCTGATGTTGCTGTTGCAGGTGTGTGGTCTGTTGGGGTTGCTGTTGCTGGTGATGATGCGGCGATAGATGCCTCTGGACCGCATTCGGTTCCTTCTTCACCCGCACCAGAGCATGCGGCGAGTGTTGCTGCTGCTGCTGTTGCTGCTGCTGCTGGCCAAGGAGGTGGTGCAGATGCAGTTGCTGCTGCTGCGTCAGATGTTGCATGGACTGACTCAGCAGGTGCTCCGTGGGCGGACTGCTCTTGCGGAGGGTCAGGGGCTGGGTGAGTTGCTGGTGAAGATGATGGGTCTGGACGATGGTGGCGCCCAAATGTGGCGATGCAGGACTTCCACTCAGACGCATGGATGAGCTAATACTTTGCTCCCTCTCCCGCTCCCTCTCCCTTTCTCTTTCTCTGTCCCTTTCTCGGTCTCTTTCTCTGTCCCTTTCCCTTTCTCTCTCCCTCTCCCGCTCGCGCTCCCGCTCCCGATCGCCCCGATCCCGGGGATTCGTGGACGTTGACGAGGGTGAGGCTGGGGGCGGTGGCTCTGATTTGATTCTTGAGGGCGTCACTAGAACCGTAACATGTCCCGCCGCTGCCGCCGCTGCTGCCGCCGCCGCTGCCGCTGCTTTGGTCTCCTGCTCGCGCTGCTGATGGAAGGCCAGCATCTTGCTGGACACGCTCAGCAGGCGCTCCTCCTTCACGGATCGTATCACACTCATTCCGGACTCACCGCCGCCGTTACCGACTCCTCCGCCGCCGGCCACTCCGTTCGTGGGCGTGGCATTGAGGCGACCCGGAGTCGTTGTTGTTGTTGTTGTTGTCGAGGGCTTCTCCTCGAGGGAGTCTGGAGAGGCACGACTGCTGCCGCCACTGCCATTGCCATTATTTTGGTGTTCATCCTTCGATCCTGCGGACGCTGCACCCGCTCCGGATCCAGCTCCGGGTCCTGCCTCTGCGGGGGCTTCGGCCGGGGGCGGGGACATCACCGTGGAGGCGGCAGCCGCCGAGATCGCACTGCTCGACGAGTGGATCTCCGTTTGCTCTTGCTTGATGTTGCTGATGTGGCTCTTTGAGTTGCTACTGCTGCTGGCTGGACAGGATGTGGCCACCCCGCTGCCAGCTCCACCGCCTCCTCCTCCACCCGTGCTGGCGGCAGCTCCGCCCGAAGGCGATGACGACGACGACGACGAGGTGGAGGACGACGAAGACGACGACGATGACGAGGAGGTGGAGGAGGAGGATAGCGAGGAGGTGGACGAGGTGGCGGCTGCCGCCGTTGTCGAGGATGTGGGCGAGGTGGTGGAGATGCATGTGCCTCCGCCACCGCCGCTCGAAGCTGTCACCGACGTCCCCGATCCAGATCCTTGTCCCGTTCCGGCTCTAGATCCTGCACCCGCTCCTCCCTCGGGTACGGCTGCCACGACCGCTGCCAGGGAAACGGTCACCGCCGATGGCTGGCTAGCAACAGGTTGCAGTGGCAGTGGCAGGGGCAGCGTCAAAGCCATTGGTAGCAGTGGCAGTGGCAGATTACTTGCCCCAGATGCTGCGGCCGCTGCTGCTGCTGCTGCGGATGCCACTGAACCGCCGCCACCGCTGTCGCAGAGCTTGGGCGACATGGGGGCGAGGAGATCCGGGGAGGAGGTGGACGTGTCCGCGATGGACTCGCCGTCGCTACTGCATCGCGAATCGATTTTCCGCCGTTTGAGTTTGAGGTCTTGAAAAAGGCTCATTTTATCGAGCTCGCTGTACGGGCCACGGCTCAGTGTCATAATTCCTAAAAAAAAAAATTATAAAAAATTAAGATTAAGATTATAATTAATATGAGAATAAATTATAGATATAGTTTCCAACAACCCAGTATTTTATTATGGATTTTTAAATTATATATTAATATTTTAAGTTTTTAAAACAAGATCTAAGATCTTGAAGAATTTTTAGAGGGATGGTTTTTGTTTAAAATTTTTATAAATTATAATATTATTATTCACCATTATATATTTTATTTTTAATGGTTATAATTGTTTATATTTGAAAAAATTTCTTAAATATTTTGCTTTTTCGAAAGTACCTAATATATTGGTTAAAGATTTGTTTAAAAAAACCATCAAGAAAAGGACCCTTTCCTCAAAGAATCTAGAGGTTATAAAAAGTTACATTTATTATTTATTACATTCCTATTAAAAAAAGGATCTGGTTGTCTTTAAATTCTTATAGTTTATTATTTGAATATCCACTTTTGATATAAAAAATTCTCTAAAAAAATAACTAAATAATAAAAACTAAAAAACAGAAGAAAGAAAAGTTCAAAAGAGGATGAAAATGGATGGTATTCCATTCTCCAAGACCCTGAAAAGCCTACAGAAACTGCCACAAAACTTTAAAAACTTTATATAAAATAAAAATTTAAAATATTTCTAATAAATTAAGGCCTAAATTAGTATACTTTTCATAAAAAAAACTATTCACAAGTCCAACTAAATAAAACACGACGTTTAAATGAATAATATCTAGCAAAATCCAGTTAATATTAAACATAATATGTTAATAATTATAAAAATTGATAATAGGCCTTTTAAAAACCACGTGTTTAAATATTAAAAACTATTTCCTTAAATTTCACTTCTCAAGAAAAAAAATGAAGATTCCAAGCCTAGATAATGTTTAGTTTTTTGTGTGAAATTCTAACAGATCTTAGCGATCTTTTCAAAGACACATCAAGAGTTTCGCATAAATTTGTTGCGGAAGTTTCTACTAAAATATACTATATATAAATATATGTTTTTTTTTGTTTTTTTTTGTCTGTTTCGGTTTCTGTTCGCATTTATTTGCTGATGGAATATAAACAAATAAGACACAAAAACAAAACCAATTTGCATTTACTTCCCCACTGACTAAACAGGTGTGGAAGTGGAATTGGAAATGCTTTGGATTTTTTCGCTTTTTGGCCAAAAAAAAAAAAAAAAGAAAAAAAAAAACTGGTTAAGACCAAGTCTCAAAGCCATCATAAACGGTCTAACCATCGATCATCTATGAGTTCTTCTGCAAGTCATAAGTTAAAATAATAAAAGGTTTCTAGAGATAAAATATAGGTCATTAGGGGAGGTGTCTTTATAAAGAAAGAGTGAAGAATTAGTTTCAAAATGAACTTGAAACTTAAACAGGTTTTAGTTAGGAATAATGGTCTAGATTTTGGAGATATAAGATGTAAGATATTAAGGATAAGAGTCTCTAAATAGTCTCTAAATAACTAAATAATAGTCTCTAATTTTAAGACTCTAAATAGTTTTGATTTTAATATAATTTCTATGATTTATGATATCAAAAAAAAAAAAAACCTTATCACTCGAATCTCTAAAACATAAACCTTACCTTTATTATAAAACCCCCCCAACTCTTCCCAACTTTTCCAACTTTCCCATAACTATTAAACATTATCACTCCCCCCATAGACCCTCTAGAACCCTACTCCCCACCCCCACCACCCCCCGCCAAAATAGGCTTTTCTGTATCTAACCAAAGCTGATCTCTTTACGCACACACACACCCATACACCTACTACAAGATACAACTACAAAGATACACAGATACAGATAGAAAAGCTATATAGCTTCGGGGGCTACGAACTGAAACGATCTCTACCGATCGTTTCCGATCGTAAAAAAATGAAAAAAAAAAAAGAAAATAGAAAAATGGAAAAAAAAAAGTTCTCTCAACAACGACGACAATGTCGTTTGTGTGTGTATTTTTAAAATTTGACCTATTTTCATTATCAAGCGCAAGATTATTCTAAACAATAAAACCATGCGTGGCTCTCTGCGTCTATATCTTTCAGTTCATGTTTTTTTTTTATATATATATACTTTTTTTTTATGTATGCGTGTAGGCGCGTGGAGTAGCTAAACGAGAGTTATGGAAAAAACAGAATATCAACAAGATATAGTATGTTATTTTTTGTATCTGTATCTGTTACTGGAAACTGCATTCTTAGTCAAGGGGTGTATCTATCTAGGCTTTAAATTTATCTCTTAACTTGGAAATATTTATAAAATGGGCCTTTTTTAATCTATAAGATTTAAAATAATTAACAGAAAAAACCTGTTTTTATTTTAAAGATGGAGTGAAACTTTTGTCAGGGGAACTATCTCATATAGGAAAAGGGTTCTTTAAAATGGAGAATAACGTTTAAGAAAATTATATTTTTCTATAAAATTATGTCAAAATTTAGGCTTTTTAGAGCCCATTATCTTTAAACTTTAACTTACTTTATTTTATCTTTATTTATATTTTAATAATCCCAATAGATTCTAATAGATCCTAATAGATTTAAAATACATCTATACCTTTTTTCATAAAAAATCTAATAAATAAAATCTCAAAAGCTATTTTTCCAGTAATTTTAAGCCCTGTAGGTCCTAAAAAATAGGCTTTTTTTTTACTAAGAAAAATTAAGGAATATTTAAAAAAGGAAACCTTGTACCTCTGAAGATGATATTTTTGAAGAAAACTAGAACTAAGTTAGTTTAATAATATTTTTAAATAACAAGTTTCTAGAATAATTATGAGAATAAAATAAATAATAAACCCCTTAAAAATATATAGAAACCATAAACGCTTAAAAAATATAATTAAAATTTAAAATGAAATTAAGGAAAAGGAAAAGGGATAAGCTTTAGTTTTTCTAAGAAAAAGCAAACAAAAAGTTCGAATTTCTTTCTTTTTTTTTTGTTAAGAAGTTTTTTTGTTTTTCTTATTGGTTTTGATAATTTTAAAAAAATTTACCTATGGAAGTCATAATTTTGTTTGTTTTTGCCGATTGTTCAAATTTTGATAAAAACAAAAAATTCTCTTCTTTGCCGATTTGCTTTGAATTTTTTTTGTGTTTGTTTTGCTTTTGTTTTTGTTTTGGATTTGTTTTGCTTTTGCTTTTGTGATTGTGATTGCGATTGCATTGAATCGTAGTTGTTGTTGTTGTTATGGTTGTTGTTGGTGTATAATTTAGATTTTGGTGTATTTGTTGTTTGATTCTGATTTTTGGTTTTGTTGTGATTGTTGTTATAATTGTTGTTGTTGTTGGATTTGTTACTCGTTCAGGAAGCATCTAGACGGGTTTTCAAACTCTGCTGCCGGCCTGCTGCTGCCTCTGCTGCTATTTTTTTTTGTTTTTTTTTTAGCAGAACAGCAGAGTTTTTTTTTATTTTCATAAAAAAATGCATTCCAGCTGACAGCGGGGGTGGTGGGGGATAGGATGATATTTTTTATTATTTTATAAAATTCAGTTTTTTTTTTTGTAGCCAATTTTTATCACTTTAGGGGGTGCACTTTTTTTTTTTTGTATAACTGTAAAACTGTTCCAGAATACAGAGAGAGAAAATAAGTAGGGGGTATGGTGCTTTAAAAAAAAAAATTGGTAACCAAGGATTATGACACCTTTTATGAATGCGTGGTGGGGTGTTGGGGGTCAAGGGTCAAGGGTCAGGGTTTTTTTTTTATGTATAAAAATATATACTATATATATATATAGAGTGAGAGAGAGAGAGAGAAGATATATGAATGCAATACTAACGGCAAATGGGCGGCATACGAGACTTTTTCTTATAATAATTATTATAATTGTTGTAATGTATATTGTTGTTGTTGTTGCTGGTATTAATATTGTTGTTGTTGCTTAGGGTATTATTATTATTATTATTGTTGTTGTTGCTATTATTGTTGTGGGCATTGCACTTGTTGCACTTGCTGGGATTGCATGTTGTTGCAGATCCTGTTAGTCCTGTTGCACCTCCTCCTCCTCCTCCTCCTGCTCCTGCTGATTGATTGTCATTGGTATCCTGTTGCTGCTGCTCTTCAGTTTTAAGCAAGGATGTGGATGAGGATGTGGCAGAGGCAGCAGCAGCAACATCGCCTTCTCCACCCTCTCTTGCCGCATTATGATGATGATAATGATGATGATGATGATGGTATATATGATGATGATGGTCATTGCTATTTCCGCTTTGTAAACCGGAATCCAAATCATTATTATTATTAATATTACTAATATTATTATTATTATTATTGTTGCTGTTGTTATTATTGTTATTGTTGCGTATATTATTATTGTTGTTGCTGTGGGGCAGCAACAAGCTGCCATTGGTGTTGCATTTCTTCAAGAGTGTTTTATTCAACGGTGTCTTAATAATCGTCAACACATCCTTAACATCCTGCGGCTCACTCGTCCTTCTCTCCTCCTCATCATCATCCTCCTCACGATCTTCATCATCATTTCGTTCATCATTGTTGTTGTCATCATTTGAATGACTATTGTTGTTGTTGTTGTTACTGCTGTGATTGTTGTTATTGTTGTTGTTGTGTTGCCCATTGTGACCATTTAATAATCCTCCTCCATTACCGCCACTAACTCCAGATGATCTCTCGCAAAGGCAGTTATTATCCACCGATGTTGCTCCTCCTGCTCCTGCTGCTGCTGATGTTGCATCTGCAACATCTACAGATGTTGCTGCCGCTGCTGCTTCCACTGCTACTGCTGCTGCTGGTGGTGGTGCTGGTGTTGTTGCCACATCTGTGGCCTTGGGCTCGAGGATCAGGGGCTGGTTGGTGGCATTCATTTGGGGGCGTGGTCTTTTCCTCTAAGCCTCTCTAGGTGGGCAAATACACACAAAAAAACAAATGTTGTGCCATTTTGGCCGCACAACCTCCGTTACTAGTCCACATTTTCCATTTCAAAATTAAGCAACTTTTTTTTTTTTTTATTTTATTTTTGAAGAACACTTTTTTTTTTTCAACAACAATTTTTTGTTCAACTTCTTCTTGATTCTTTTATTTTTTTTTTAAGCTTAAGTTTTAATTTTTTTTAGAACTTTTTAGAAGAAGAAGTCTGCGTCCATTGCCAATTGGAATCAAAAATTAATGCACTTGAAAAAAAACATTCAACAAAAGATATGAAAATGAAGTTAGCTTTTCCTTTGATCCTCGAAATATGATTTGAAAATTTTGAAGATTTCTTTTTTAAGATTTTGAGACTGAGATGATATTTGTATATGTGTGTAAGTGTGTGTGTGTATAGGTGTGTTAAGGTGTCTTGGTTTTTTTGTTTTTTAATTTTTTATTTCATTTTTTTTGGAAAATGATGTTTTTTTCGTCGAAAGGCACATACCAACACTTGGCTTTAATGCCTCTTGTTTTTCTTTCGTTTTCAATATTTTATTTTCAAAAAAAAAAACTTTATTTCCAACTTATTCTTGAATTGTTATCCAAGGCCAGAAACTGTTTACAAAACACCACAAATAAAAAATAATAATCATTGTTTCTTTTGGGATTTATTATATTTCGTTATAACCGATAACCGTTTTATATATTTTTGTTTTTTAACCGCTTCGAGATGCCAAACCGTTGCCGCCAAATCGCATATCGCAACTAAGTTCGAGTTTCGAGTTTGGCTCCAAAAACCCAAGACTCTTCCGCGTTTGTTTTTTTTTTTTTTTAAACAACAACAGCAACATGAGACATCAGAAAGATGTTGTTGCTGCTTCAGTATTTTTTTTTTTTTGGGGGGCTTTGGCTTTTTTGTTGTTATTGTTGTTGTTGTTGGGAGTAAGTGTTTTTTTTTTTTGGGGGGCTTTTGCTGCTCCGCGGTAAACGTGCGTACATGCGAACGAAATAAAGTGAAATGAAAGGAGTAAGCGAGCGAAAGAAAGCAGCAGCCACAAAATGCTGTCGCTGCCTTCTGCTGCCGCTGTCTCGGTCGATGCTGGCGTCTCTGCTGTCGCCAGCCAGCAGCGCAGGCGTCCGCCCCCCTCTCACTTACTCACTAACACACTCACTCACTGCCCACTCTCTCCCCAAAATACTGTCTGTCTGTCTAACTTGGACTCTCTCTCCCGCTCTGCCGGCGATCGGGCATTAGAAACGTCAGCGTCGACGTCGTCGCTGGCAGCAAACGAAAATGAAAACCAATAGACAAAAAAAATAGAAAAAAAAACAACTTAAAAGCTAGACAAACACAACAACAACAACACACGACGTCATAGTTATGCTTTTACGCCAACAGCGACAGCGACGTCGACGTCAGCAATAGCTCTCTCAGTCTCTGTCCCTTTCTAATGGAGGGGGGGGCCTACTATACCACCCCGGCACACTATTTTGGGGAGTTCATCGTTGCAATTGCAACTGCAACTGCCACATGCAACTAAATTCTAAACTTCACGGATATATCTATCTTGCTCTCTCTCTCTCTATCTATCTTGCTCACTCGCTCTATAAACTAAACATTGCATTTAAATTAGAATCCATGTGTGTGTGTGTGTGTGTGTGGCATGTGGCAAGTGTATTGGTGTGGACGTTGACCGGCTAACGAAAGGGTTGTGGCAAGGTGACACAGGCTAAGGGGGTGAGGGTGAGGGGGAGTGCAAAAGCTATAGGGAGGTAGGGAGGAAGCAAACTCCCATTTTTGAGGCGCCTCCTTCCTCTATTTTGTTCTTCTTCTTCTTCATCGTTTTTTTTTTTGTGTTGCATTGTGGAAAACTGTGCCACAAGCTGCCATTGCACTTTGAGAAGAGGAAGAGACGGCCACATTGGGGGACGAGAAGGTGAGAAAAAGCTTTTGGAGAGAAGCACACACTTTCCCGCTGCTCCAAGAGAGAGAGAGCGAGGAGGAGAGAGAAAAGCAGCATTAGATGCAGCAGCGACAGTTGCAGCATAGATTGTTGCTTCCTGCTCTCCCCAGCTAACCATCTCTTTTACCCACCACCACCTCCCCCACTAGCCCCCATTAATGGAAAGTTCTACGATCAGTTTTAATAAAAAAAAATAGACACTAATAAAGGTAAAAGTTAATAAAAAAAAAAGTAACTCAACAATGGACAAAAGTGACAAGCCAACCATTGCGCAACATAAAAAATACAAAAAAAAATACAATAAAAAACAAATCAAATAAAAAAAAGCAAAATCAAAAGCAACTGGAGCATACAAGTTCCAGAAGCAATGTCATGAATTGCGAAATGCCAGCTTACTGATTTTATTTTATTTTTATATTTTTTTTTGTTTAATTTTTTTAGCATTGCACCCACATACAAAACAAAAAAAAAACAAGTCGCAGAAAATCTCTTTCTCTAATGCCCTTTTCATACGTTCGTTGACCATTGTCTGAAAAGCACTTTCGATTTCAACTCGTAGCTGCAAAAAAAAAAAGCAAAAAAAAATAGCAACAACTCCAATAATTGTTTGGCGCACATTTCATTTCCTTATTGCTCACTGACATTTTGCTCACAAATACAAACAAACAGAGACACACACACACACATACACATAGACATTGACAAACGTAATGCATAACGTAAATGGCTTACGACTTTATAATGAGCAACAACAATTGCAATCAGGTCTTAACACGTTTGTTGTTGTTGCTGTTGCTGGTGCAAGTTGCAATGCCAGGAAGCCTTTGGTCACACCACAACAACAACAAGAAGATTACAACAACAAAGATCAATTTGAAGTTAGAGTTCGACTTGGCAGGAGGAAGAAGTTTATTATTTTTCTTAGATTTTAGTCAAATTAGTTAACTAAATTTTGTTTTAAAATTTATAAAAATTAAATCCCTAATAATTCTTAGTTAATTTTAAATTTTTGAATAATTTTTAAGACCAATTTTTAGTTAAAAATTAGTTAAAACACAAGTTAAAAGCTTCAAATACCTTGATTCTTAATAGGTTTAAGCTTAAAAACCTTTGAAAATATTATAATTTTTTTTAATATTTAATTTTTTAACTAAAAAGTGATCTTTAGAAAAAAACTAGTGTAATTTCTGCAGGAAGCCTTTTCTGACCACCAGCCTTCTCGCCATCTCTATCGCTCGGCCATTCGGCCAACTCTTTCTGGCCCATTCGGCCTAACCCCATGCTCTCTTACTCTCTCTCCCTCTCCCTCTCTCTCTTTCTTGCATCTCCCCCGTAAAGTGAAAGTTTTTTTGTTTTTGTTGTTGCTGCTGCTGCTGCTGGGGGGTTCTTGATTCATGATTTGGCTTGCTTGGATTCGAGCAAACGAGATGGCATGCGGAAATGTGCAACTTGCAGTTGCATTTTCAAAAAGAGCGGGTGGGAGAGGAAGGCATGGAGACGTCGTAGTGATCGCGGGAGAGTTTCGCTCTCGTCGCTCTCTTAAGCTTAAATATTATTTTTTGTTTTTGTTGTTGTTGTTGATCACTTACCGGACCACAAAGCCGGGCCAGGCATTTTATTTTTTTGGCCTGACGTCTTTGGGGACTCCTTTTTGACTCTCTCTCTCTTTCTCACTCTGTCTGTTGCTTTCTTTCACCTTTCTTAAGGGGGCGGCAGGAGGCGTGGCCTGCCCTCTCTCACTTAGTATTTTGTCTGGATTTTTTTAAAATCTCACTTGCACAACATATTTTTGGGGTCAGCACTTTTCAAGTTCCAGAACTCACATTAAAAAAAAATACAATTTTAACTCATTTTTTTACGAGTTTTTTTTTCTTCAAATTTTTTATAACAATTTTTCTTATTTTGTTGTTGTTTTTGGTTAGATTTTTCTTTAGCGTGGCACGAACCACGAATCGAAGCTGCTGGGCCAAAACTGAAGCCAAAACAAAGCCCGCACCGCTGCCAGCGTCGCAGTTGCCGTTGGCAGAGCCGTCGCCAGCGCGCTGCACTTGCTCTCTGCCCTACACACCACCGCCCCCCTTCTTCTTCTGTTCCACAAACGACATCGCACTATTACACTATTTTTTATTTATTTTTTTTAAGCTTGGCTTTGACTTTTAATTTTATTTATTGCGAATTTTGTTTAATTTTTTTTATTTCTTTTTTTTTTCTTTGAATTGGTTTCAAATAAATAATAAAATATTACTCATACGCCGTGTGTGCGCTGGTGCTGGTGCTTGTTGGCTTCTGGCGGATATAACGGAAATGTGCAACTGGCAGCCACCAAAACAGCCGCGTAGCGAAATTGTCAAACAGAAAAACAGCAGAAAAAAGCCAGAGAACTGGGAGAATAGTGTCTCAGTTTGGTCAGAGAATTTGAGAACCCGAGCGCATATCATAGAGAATTCGAGAGCTTCCAAGCTTCAAACACCAAAAACAGTGCAACAGCAGAGGGGCACAGGCAGGTTGCAATGTTAAAGGGGGGGTGGTGTGGCGAGGCAATCGAAATCGAAAACGAAAACGTACAACATTGGCAACATATTGCCGCCATATCGCAAGTGTTGTGGGTTTTCCTGAATGATATATATATATTTTTTTTAATATAATCGTTTTTTTAGGGCAAGTTATAAAATTTTATATTTATTTATAATTTTTAATATGAAATATTAAGTTTTATGAGTTTTTAGAAGATTTTATAGTAATTTTAATAAAAGGATCCTTAGAGAAAGATAGGATGGAATACTTAGAAATAGATACTACTTTAATTCTTTACATAAAATATTTCTAGAAAAAATAATCTCTTAATTTATTAAAAAAGGATCTTTGTTTTGGATTATGGCTGCCATGGTTGCAACATATATTGCCAGTGTTGCTGTTGCTGTTGCAGTTGCAGCTACTAATGTTGCTGGTGTTGCTCTTGGCCGACGTTGTTGTCGGAATGGCTTCTAACAACAACAACAACAACATACCAAATCAAGTGCACATGGCGAGCTTTACTCTCAGGCTGCTCTCTCTCTCTCTGTCTCTGGCTGACTCTCTCTATGTGTCTCTTTTAAAGGCTTGCATCATAGGCGCAATATCTCTCCATCTCTTTCCATCTATCTCTATCTTTC